TATCAACATATTGATTATCATCTATTGTTATTGTAACTGGGAAGTTAGTAAAAAAAGCCCAAGCATTGACAACAAATTACACCTCTGATTAATTTAAAATATTTTTTTACATCTTAAATATTATTATGGTGGATATCCTTATTAACTTGGATATCCTTATTAAGTTGGATATCCCTATTAAGTTGGATATCCTTATTATGATGGTGGATATCCTTATTATGGTGGATATCCTTATTACGGTGGATATCCTTATTATGATGATGGATATCCTTATTATGATGGTGGATATCCTTATTGAGGTGGATATCCTTATTATGATGATGGATATCCAGTCTAAGGAGGATAACCACCTTATGGTTAATATCCTGGTTATGGTTATGTTGGATATCCTGGTTATGGAGGATAATTTAACTAAGTTTATCCTGGTTGTGGTGGATAATTTGGGGGTGGATAGGGAGGTTGATTCATTAATTAATTAAATTATGTATATTTTTTAGTATTCTATGCTATTAAAAATAAATTTTAATTAATAGAGAAAATTTTTATATTTCTATAATCTTAAAAATTATGCTATTTTTATTCAATAACATTTTCTAAAATGAATATCATTTATAATACTATTTTTTGGTTAATCTAATAAATAAATAATATACAAAAGAAAATAATTATAATATAAAAATTCTTGAAAAATCATAAGAATTATTTAGAATTTCTATTTCCTTAAATATAAATAAATTCACTCTAAAAAAAGTCAATTCTTTTTACTCATTTATATATAATGAGGTACATTACCAAAATATATAATTTTATCAGAATAACGATTTTCGAAGATTGATTAATATGACTTAAAAAATTCCCATTTTGTTGATTTTTTTGAATTATAAAAATTAACAATATTGAACAAAATTAAAAGAAATAGGGTATTTGAGTTAGAAATTCATAATCTTAGTTGACTTTGAATGAGGTATTATAAAATACAAAAGTAAAAAATTCATCTAGAAATTTTACTAAAAACTCTAAATCACTAGTTAAGTATTTAAATTATATATAATAGGTTCTTGATGATTATATTTAATGTTATACAATGTCTTTATAATAAAAAAAGGATGTTGATTAAATTATTAATATCTAAATAGAAACAAAAATTAAATTGTGATTTGAAATATGGTATTTATAAATTTAAAATTCACTATGATTAATAAGGTTTAATAATTATTTATTGAGAGAGGAGTGGAAAATCACTGAAATTAATAATTATTTATAGATGATCTTATACTAAAGGATTATAGATTTGTTATAACATGAGTTTGAAAGTTTAATAAATGATTAATTTTTTAATTTTTCAATCTTTCTAAACTGATTTTACTCATGAATGATTGAGTTTTAATCCTTTATAGAAAAAGGGAAGATTTTATTATTTATTTTATAAAACAACTAAATCTTATATTATACAGATCAAATGAATGAAAACGATGTATTTCTAATTGAAGGATTAAAATTCTAGAAGGGTAACATATAGTCTATCATATTGGTTCCATAAGGAAATGGTTTGAAGATGATTGTAAGAATAACATTGATTAAGAAGGCTTCTGATCATTCATTGATATTAAATATTGATTTTTGTGATGATGGTGTGATATTTGATTGGAGTCCTTATAAAAAAAACAATAGTGAGGAAAATCTGTATTTTGAAATAGATTTTCATGGATAGTTATTCAAAGTTTTTGGAACTTAAAATTAATTAGATTCTATGTATGAATATTCTGCAGGAAAATTTATTTTCAAAAGGAATGACATTTACACTTTGGATACTATAAATGAAACAATGTCCACACATCAAGTATTTATAAGTTTTATTTCTAGTTATCGACAATAATAAATAGACTTAATGGTAAAAAATATATTGAAAAAAGAATTAATTAAATAGATTCTTAAGATATATCCAATTCAAGTATCACTCATTTTGGATGGGAGAAAGTACCTGAAGAGATACGTATTATCTAATTGTTAAATATTTAACGATGTCCTTATATCTTGAAAATTGACTAACTTACCTTTGATGGGGAATGTTATTCAATAATATATTAATGTTCAACTTAAATTTCGTTAAGATAAATATTAAAGAAATATAAGAATCCTCCCGTTTCGTTTATAATTGAAATCCTAGAATAACTACTTACAGGTAATGAATAATCAAAATTTAGTCTTAAACATATTTGATGAACTAAAAATAATTCATAATGGAATTACTTTAGACAATCTATTTTATTCATAAGAATTTAATTGTATATTTCTGTGTAATTTTTCTCATTCTATCTTTGAAACCTAGAACAGATCATTAATGTATTATCAATTCTAATTTTAGAAAAGGAAATTCAATAGGGTTTGTTCCTCCAGAGTAATATCAAATCAATTCTGCTGTATCTACATAAGCTAATATTTACTAATTGGGAGTTCTTTTATACTATATGTAAGCATAGTAAAGCTAATTTAGGTTATTTAATGAAAACCCATTTGGCAAAGATTAAAAAAATATATTATCAAATAATATTGCTGGAAAATATTAAATTCCAAATACTAATTAAGACAAGAATATTGTTGAAATTATGAAATCAATGCTTCAAAAGAATCCATAGAAAAGAAAAACCTCTAAAGAATATTTAGCATCAAAAATCTTTAAACCATCATATCGATCAAAAATTTCAAAACATTCTTTCTTTACTTTCTTTGAAGACAATTTTAATTTCAAAATTGACGAATTCGAGGTAGAGGAAGATTTTAATTTTATTTAAAGTGTGAAATAATTGTAAATAAATAAAGGAAATAAAAAATGAAATGATTTATATTTGTGTTGTAGAATTATCATTATTCATTTTAAAATTATTTAATATATATATTTAGTATTATCTTTTGATTTATAAAATATATTTTATAATGAAAATAAATAGAGATAAATAATTGAATGAAATGAGATCCAAAATTAAGTAATCTCTATTTACTAAAAAAGAAATAATAAACAAAAATATAGATAATGCTAGAATTGTTAAAAGATCAACAAGCAATACTTAATTAAATATTTAATCCTAAGCTAAAGCAGACTAAAAATAAAAGCCTTTTATTTAGAATCGTTTTCATGATTTATACTAAATTGGTTCCATCATCGGTTAAGGCTCAAATGGAATTGTTAAAGTTTGTTATAAAAAAACTTAGTCAAGCAAACTTTTGAATTTTGGCCATATTCCAACAAAATATGCAGTAAAAATTATACCCAATGCTGATGATCCTGAATTAATAAACACTATTACTTAGACATTCAATATAAACAGAGAATTGAATAGCTTATCATAGATTATTTAAGTTTTTGATTTATTTATAGATGAAAATGAAAAAGTTGCATATTTGGTAATGGAATATTGTGAATGGAAGAGTTTAGAATACTATGTTCAAAAAAATTAATTGACAATTAAATAAATTAGAGAAATTATAAGAAGTTTAGCAATTTCTTTAAAATCTATACATAATAAAGGAATTTGTCATAGAGATATAAAGCCAGACAATATTTTAGTAAAGCTTGGAGATTAAACTGAAATAAAAATAATAGATTTTGGTGTGTCAAAGTAGTATTTTAAGAAAAATAAGAATGGGATTATTATTCATGAAATGTGGACAAGAACTGGTACAATATTATTTTAAGCACCAGAAATCTTTCTATGTGGAATTTATAATGAAAAAAGTAATTAATTAAATTTTAATTTATAGTCGATATTTGGTCATGTGGAATCATTTTGTATTAATTATTATGTCATAAATTTCCATATTTGGCTGATACAATTATAGATACAATTGAAACAATTACAAATCCAAATTATAATCCATGGAGATAATAAGAATTTTTAGATCTACATTATTTGTAATAAGATTTATTAAAACGTACACTAAGCAAGAATCCAAAAAAAAGATTATCAGCAGAAGAGTTTTTATTACATCCATGGATTTCAATGAAAACAAACTAATATGATAAAACAATGGATGATACTGAAATATCAAAGAAGAAATCAAAATTACGTGATTTTAAAATTGCAACTTGTCTCTAATTAAGTGATATTTTTAATCCTTATAAGAATACAAGTCCATTATATTTAAATCCAATATAAAATGGAAATACTATTAATAACAATAATAATATGAATCATGTGTATTTTAACTATAATAATAAGAATGATTTTAAGATAAGTGATTTTATGATTCGAAGTAAGTAGAAATTAAGTGGAAGAAGCAGTTTTTTATTTGCAATAGAAAATTCATAGGATAATTCACCAAGAATAAATATAGAATAATAAGAATTATAGTTAGATGAGAAAAGATCAGATGAAGTATTACAATGTAGATTAGAGACAAGATTTTTAGAATATGGATGTCAGAATAGAAAGTTTTCGAAATGAATTGATATTTTTTTGTTTATTAACACAGAAAATACATATTTCTATAAAATAATTTGAATGAAAGATAAAAAATGAAATCAATCAATCAATTAATTTATTAATGAGTAAGGTGTAAGATTCTTTGACAGCAAGAAATTAAGTATGAGGATTAATATCTATTAATTAGTAGGTTTGAAATTTAAAAAATGGATTAAGTGATTTATGATTAATGTTTTTAATAGGTAAAATTAATTGGTGATCTTTAATTTTGGATTAAGATTTGGTTGTTTAAGGTAACAAATTTAATTAAATAGGAGTGTTAATAATATGTTTTTTAGGTAGTTATGGTGGTGTAGTAATAAATAAATGATGAAATTCTTGATTAATAGATTGATTGAATGATTAATGATGAATTTGAATTTAGGTAATTTTTTGATGAGTTGATGATTTTTTAGTAAAACAACAATAATAATAATAATAAAATTAAAATGATATAGAAATATGATATATGTATATTTTAATGGGATCACATATAACTTGCCAAGATTCCTTCTTTCCATACTCCTCTAATAACTTATCCATTGACAGTTGTGTATTATCCTTCTCCATCAATCATTCCATCATTAAATTTACCTTCAAATTTTTCACCATTAGTTAATTAAAGTGTTCCTTATCCATGCATTTTACCTTCAAAGAATTCACCTATAAAAATAATAAATATAAAATATACCTTCATAACCTAACCAACCATTATCAATACCACTAAGATCTTAATAATCAAAAGGACCTTCAATTTATTCAGCTTAAAAATTAATCAATTTGCCTTAACCATGATATTAATTTTCATGCCAATAACCACTATAAACTTCATTATCATTTTAATCAGTTAAAACACCAAATCCTTCTCTTGTAGCTGGTTCATATCCTTATCCTCTATATATATATCCATCTTCATATTATAATGCTAAATCTTATAATTATTAATCTTATTCATTATTTTCAGGACTAATATAATATAAGATATAGATTACTTTTCATATTATGGTTATTATTGTTATTATTATTATTATTATTATTTAGATGGTTAATATTAATTTTATTATTATGGATTTTGATATCTTTAAACTAAATCTCTAGTTCTATCAATAGCATCTTAAAACTTCTTTTCTAAATCTTCATCCTTTTATGATAATTATTATGGTTTATATTATTATTGTTGTTATGGTTATTATTCTGGTGGTCTGTATTATGGTACTTGTTAAGTTTTGGCTTATGATGGTACTTATTATTATTATAATTATTATGGAGGTTAAACTACTTTGTTTTACATAGGTTGTTAAGCTAATTATTATTAGATTGGTGCTTAGACTTAAGGTTGAACATATGGACGAGTCACTTATTATGTTTAAGGTTATTAATATTATTATGGTGTATATTGTTAACCTTAAATTGTTCTTGGTGGTAATGTCTACGATGATGGTGGTGGTTGTTATCTATATTATTAAACAGTCTAAATTATATTATAGATTTATATTATTACAGTTTGCTAAGGATATTATACTTAAGTTGTTGGTGGTTGTGGTGGTCTCTATGGACTTGAAGTATAGATTGGACCTTATTAATATGGAGGATAATTTTGAGCTGGCACTTATTATCCTCCATATCCTATTGGTGGTTAACCATAAGAGATCCTTTATCCTTAAGGTGGTAAAGGTTTATTAACTATCTAAGTTTGAGGATAACCATATACTTGGGGAGGACGATATCCCTATTATTATTCAAAATAAATTCAAATTCTACCTATGGTATTTAAGGAGGATATTAACCTCCAGATGGGTATTATGGTCTTGCCTATACTTATGTTGGTGGAATAAAAGGTTAACTTTAAACTTAAGGTCTTTATGGTGATGCCATGTAAAAAGGCTATTGATATGCCATCTATATATATATATATAAATATAAATTTAAATATTAATTCATTTCTTTAAACCTTCTCACACTTTATAAATTTATTTTCATTCACGATTTTATAACATATCATATCTTATTTCATTTTATTTATATCCTTTCTTCTATTCTCTATCTAACCAATTAACATTATCTAATTATTAATTAATTATTTAATTAAAATGATAACAGCAACTAGATCATTCAATTTTAGATTACCATAATTAAGTATTAAAAATCTTGATAAATCTAATAAACCAACTATCAGATCTATTAATAATGTTTATGATTACTCAAATTCACCACTTAAAACTAAAACTGATAATATCTCTCGTGGTTCACTTTCCACTCCCTTACAATATTGTAGATATTCCTATTATAATATATGTAGAGTAGATTCTTCATTTAATGATTAAGAAATATTTAGTGCACAAATTAAAAGTGTTTAAAGAAATAATAATAATAGCTATAATATTAATTAAGATTAAAGTGATAAATTATCATCAAGAATCAAAAATCTTACAAAAACTAAAAATAAAATCAAAGAATCTATCTCTACAAAATAATATAAAAAAACTGAACCTTATATTCAAAAACAATCTGATAAATAATAATCAAAAAGTCCAAAATTTACTCTAAAAACAGAAGAAAAAAATGATGAATTTGCTAATGAACAAAAAAAACTCATCCAATAAAAAATGTAAGATATCTATACATAAGTATAAACTATACTCAAATCTCATAAAGGTTATGTTAGATAGTCAGAAAAAAAAAATGTCTATATTAAATTAGTCTAATTAAAAAAGGAATTTAAACTTGTTAATCAAGATTATAATGAATTCTATATTAATCATACGAATGATCAATTTAAATGTAATATATAATACGTCTATGATTAGTGGATTTTTTAATTGTCGATCGAATTGAATAATTAAAATAATTATTTGAAAATAAAAGACCTACTAAACGTACTTGTGGTAGTCTTTTTGATGGAATAGATATATCTATTGTAATTCATACAGAAGCTGATGAAAAAATAAATAATATTGATTTTAAAGAAATATCTGAAAAAGATTTTGAACAATCTCATGATCAAATTGAATAATTCGCTGATTAAATGACAGATTGTTCACCAACTAATAGTACAACTAGAAGAAGAACTACTAATTTAAATAAAAGAGTCTCCAAATAATATGCTCTATAACCAATATAAATCTAATAAGAAATTAATCAATAATCTCAATAGATCAGAAGAAAAAGTAGTATTAAATCAATCAATAGTCCTCTTACACCCAAAACTCCTAATTCTCCATCTACTATAACTTCAAGGAATAATAAGTTTACAGCTTAATAAATTTTATAATAAAAATTAAAATTACCAGCTACTCCACCAAAAAAGTAAGAATAATAATAATTCTAAGAAGATTAAAATAGTATTTTAAAAAAAGAAATTTAAAAAAGGTAATCTAAACTCATTTCTCGTAAAACAACTTTAGATATATAAAAGGAATCAAAATAAAAGTTTAATTTAAATTCTAGAAACAGTCTTATAGAAGTATCTGAAATTTCTGAAAATGAATAAAAAATTATCCAAAATTTCTAAATTAACTAATCATAAATTTCAGAACCTGATCATATTTAAAATATTTTAGAATAACTCTAAGTTGAAAATGAATAAATTACTATAAAAAATTAATCATAAACTTAATAAATTGTTTCAAAAAATGAATAATAATAAGAATAACATACAACTTATAAAGAAATTAAAGAGTCTAAAATTATATAAGAATTGTATTCAACTAATTTTATTTATGATCAAGAGATTTTGAATAAACATAGAAAAAATAAATACAAAAATCAATGGTAATAAGATATTTAATCAATTTTATCTAATTATTATTAATTTTTTTGATTAATTTTTGTTTTATAAATTTATATACAATTAGTTAAATTAAATAATATAGCAAAAATGAAAATAAAATATTAAAAATCAAAATCCATAATCAAAACAGTCTCTAGTTTATTATCCATTTTTAATAATTTCCTACTTTTTACCTGCAAATGGTATTCTATGTAACCAATCAGCAGGAACTCCTTTATAATTCTTTGGATTAAGTTCAATAGGATCTAATTATTATAAATAATTAGCAGGTGGATTTCTAATGTTAAAAATGATAATACTTATCATCAAAAGATTTAATTTCTTATAGTTGACTTGTAACTTATTATTTTTATTCTTATCTAGGAGAGGATTTTAACAGAGATGGATTAATTTCATTAACTTTACATGTAAGTCTGTTAGCTTTCTCTTTTTTTTGTTTTAATTCTTCTATAAATTTATTATTAGCTTTATCTGGAATGGCTAATTAATCATCAATTTATAATTTAGATTCTGATTAAATCTAAACTTTTTTGTCTTATTTCTTTTTAGATTCTTTAGTTTTCTAATCATTACTAAGTTTAGATTTGTTTTCATCTTTATCTTTTTAAGATTTCGATGCACGATTATCAATAGCAGATGAAGGTCTTTTTGATCCTTTTTGTTTAGGTTGTTTTTATGATTTATCCTAAATCTGAGATTCTCCTTAGATACTACCAGCTTCAGATGCAAATCTAAGAGTATTAGTTAAATCTGGTTTTTTAATGTTGAATTCAGGAATAGTAGATTTACCTTTTGAATCAATTTACTTTTTCAATTGTGAAAATGGTTATGGAGTCAATTAATTTCTTTATTTTTATGCTTCTACTTATTCAGGATTTAATCTATCTTATTCTCTACAATTTCTAGGTGGTTCAGGTTCAACATTTGCAACAGCAGCTCCTTTTCTTAATGCATTCTAATAAGTTTAAATATAATATGGATCATTTTTATTTCTATGAGGTTATACATTATGAGATAACATATGTTATCCATATACTATACCTCCAACAGATGGATTAATATTATTAAATCCATATGGACCCCAAGCAGGTTTACCAAAATATGTTGTAAATGCTGTATCAGCTATCCATCTTGTTTCTCCTTAAAATTTCTTTATTCTATCTTTCCTTCTCTATAATTTAGCTGCATCTTCTGGATCATTTGGATCAAGAGTCTTAGCTTTCCTTATAAATTTAGTTGTCATCTTTTTTTATTATTAATCCTCTTCTTAATCATTTTCTTAATCTTCTTCTTCAGATGATATTATTTCTTCTTCATCTTTCTTTGAATCATCATAATAAAAACCACCAAATGGATGCTATACTTTATATTAACCTTTAAAATTTTTATTATTTTATTCTAACTAATACATTAACTCATTTGTGTCTTTTATATCTTTTACTAAATAATTATCTCGATATGCTGTCTATAATTTAGGATTCCATTAAACAGGTAATTTATATTAAATATTTTAATCTTCCTATAAATTAATTTATTAATTTGGTTATTTTTAAACATCATTACAATCACATTATTATGCTATATTTTTTATTGTTTTCTCATCCAATTCTATATTATTTTAAGATTGTAAATATACTTTATACAAGAATTTATGAATCATCTATTTTTAATTTTTCAATGTTTCGAAAATTATCTTTATTTTCAGTTAACCAATGTTAATTCTCATGATTTATTCTAGTAATCAATTTTTTAGTTTCAGGTTCTTTTTCAACTTATATTTTCTTTTTGAAATCCCAAGGTTCATCTTATTCCACTGGCCATTTCATTATATCAAACATATTAGGTTCTTAATTTCTTGGTTTATTTTTTTTACCAAATACTTTATTCTCATCTACATTTAAACTATAAGTTACTTTCATAAACTTATTTTAACACTTATTCTTTATTTTTCATATGACTGTTAAAATTTGATGAGTAATAAATAAATTTAATTTTAATATTATTTTATTTAAAACTATACTGTTAAAAGGTAATATATCATAATTATTATTATTGAATATCATCACTTTATTCCTCTTGATATTATTTAACTTCTTTTTCAATTTATTATTTTATCTATTATTCTACATTTTCATCTTTTCTAAAGGTTTCAATTTGTGATTCCTCATTAATTTAAGTTATTTCTAATAATTATGGTTTAATTTATTGATTTTTTATTTATTCTAATTCTTATTATTATTATTGAATTTTTTCTTTAATTTCCTTTATTTTTTCTAAACCTTTAATTTCATTAGATTTGGCTTTTAAACTAAAAATTAATATTTAAGTTTTATTACTTAATGATTGGTTAAAGTTAAAATATAAGTTATTGTTTTTCTTTTTTTTTAGAAGTAATTGAACTATTATTAGTAGAATCTCTTTAAGAATATGTCATATTGTTTCTTAATTTAAAATTTGATAAGTTTATTACCTGATGATATTCATATAATTTTAGGATTATTGATAACGTTGTAATCTCATCATCAATCTTTAATTTTGTTTATAAGAATGTGAGAATTCCTCTATTTTCAAGACTGGTTCTTATTTCATTAAGCGATCAGCAATTTAAATATTTTCATATTGTATTTATTGAGCTTGATTCTTGCGTAATGTTAAATTTAAATTGTGAGGATGATATAGATTTTCATCTTCATATTTAAAGTAATCTTATTACATTGGTCTATTGCATATTTCTGTTATTTTTTAATATAACTAGCTGTTACCCTTATTTATACGCTCTGATTATTCTATGAGAATAAATAAATGAAAGATACGATTTAAATCAAAACGTCTCCGTTGTTATCGAATGTTATTTCTTTTTTCTAAGGTTTCTAAATGTTATACTCTTTATTAAGATTAGGTTTTTTTGGTTTTGATTTCATTCAACTTTTTTAAATGAAGATCATATGATCTATTTATTATAAATAATTTACTTCTCTCTCTAAAATATTTAGTCTAATTTATAATTATAATTGTATTAATGATTAGATCTCATTAAATAAAATAAATAATATAATTAATAAGAATGTCACAACCGTCCGTAACTAAACAATCAATATAAAGTGGCAGGATGGTGTTACATCCATCTTTAAAGTTAGATAAATCAGCTGCTTTTTTCTAAAATACAAGAGTAAGTTCATGCTCTTATGTAAGAATGAAAAAAGGTAATCCTGAAGTAAGATATCATATAAATATTAATAGGCTGTTCCATTTTATGAAATTGCTAATAAAACACCAGCTGAACATGAAACTAAATCTACATATACAACTTCATCTTATGCGTATTAATTTATTGTCATAGAACAAGAGATGATTATAAAGTTAGACCTAATTTACATGTTGGATCTACCAATAAATTATTAGAACCTTATAATACAGGATCCTTTAGATCTAGATTACCTGAACCAGATGCACCAATTTTAACTAAAAATGCATCATAAATTGAATTAGGAGAAAGACAGTATATAACTATTATTAATCCTTTTAGTTTCAATGTAAAAAGACATTTCTTAAGCACTGCTCATAATGTTTATGGAAATTTTGGAAAATAAGGAAATATTACAAATCCAGGAATATTATCAGAAAAAACTAAATGGCACCATCATTTATAATAAAAATGATTATTTCCAAGATAATATATATATTATTATATCATTTATCCTTTATATTATCTTCATCATCATCTTTATTTGATTTTGGAATCATTGAATTCATTTTTATACTGTCTTTATTGAAAACTATATTTTTATCCTTACTCTCTACTTTCTATTATCTTGGTACATTCTCTTTTTATTATTTACCTTTTTTAATTATAAGATTATTTTGTAATTCTTGTTCTTATTTTTAATATTCCTTAATTAATTATTCAATCTTATCAGAATCATCATCATCATCTTATTCAATCTCTCTCTTATTTTTAGTTTTTGGATTCTATTTTTTATCTGTATCTTATTTTTAATCTTTATTAATTTTCTTAATTTATTTTGTTTACTTTTTTGTTTATGTTTCTTCTTCACCAAAATTAAAAATTGCTGTTTTCAATTTTTATCCTTTCTTATCCTTTTTACTATCTTATGGTAAATCTAATGAATTTGGGTTATACTTTTTATTTTCACTAGATTATTCTTCAGATGATTATTTATTATTTAATTTTGTTTATTTTTTTTGTTAACTCTATTTTTTTATTTTATTTTCAATCTATTACATTTATTAAACTTATTCCATATCCTTATATTCATCTGATTGTTCTGAATCTACAATTCTTTTTGATTACTTCCTTTTCCCATTTCTATTTGATTTTGTTGATTACTTTTTAATAGTAGTCTCAAAATCTGAATTAGAATTAGAATCTAATTCTGAATTAACACTTTCAATTGGTCTCTTTTTTTATTACTTTTTATTACTTTTTTATCCATTATTATTATTATTATCTTTATTATTATTATTATGTTAATTCTTTTTACTTTCTTAATGATTTTCATTAATATCCATGGGTATATTCATACTTCCAAAAACATCATCAAAATTTTAATCATAATTATTAAGGAATTCAGTCATAGATTTTTTAACTATTGGTTTCTTTTTAATTTGTTTAGCTTAAGAGTCTAATGCACTAAATAAAGATGTTTAAAATAATGACTAAGATTAAGCATTCAAAGATTTTCTTTAAGTTTCTTCTTATTCAGATTCAGAACAATCTTCAATATTGAACTTTTATTTTGACTATTTTGATTGAATCATTTATTATTTGGGTAATAATCATTTTTTATTATATATTACAATATTTTAAAGGATTTTAATTTAAATTGGATCAAAATAATTATAAATTAATGATATTAGAAAATCCTATCAAAATCAAATGGAAATAATATACATTAAAAAATATAGAGATTTATTAGGAATATCAAAGTATTAATGTCTAAAAGTATTACCACCTTAACCTACACTCCTATAAATTTTGATCATATCAACAAGTAAAGGTCAATATCATTAAAATAAAACAATTAAAACATCTTGTTAAGTTCAGATAGAAAATCATTACATACAAAAATATATACTGCATGTGAAATGAACTCAATTATTAATCATGCAAAAATATGTGGATTATTGAACAATAATCAAACTTAGAATTCTTAAAATAAATTAAACCAAAGTTTGTTAGAATAAAATAGAAAATATTTTTAGGATGTCAGAAATTTAGAAAATAGTTGGAATTACAAAAAAATAAGATAAGAAGAATAAAATAGGTAGTTTAATTCAATTCCTATGGAAAAACATTATTAATTAAGATTAACCTAAAAAAAGACCGATTTAAACATACAACAATTAATTTAAGAATAACGTACTCTATTTCTAACCAGCAACACTTAACAAAATAATGAATTACTATTTTCTAGCAGTCAAGAATGAATACTATGAATAAAATTGTTTATATTTTAATATAAATATCTCTATTCATTTTAATCACTTCTTTTCATAAGCAAAATTAGAATGAAATTCATAAATATTAAAATTTGGAATTATAAAATTAAAATGACCAACAGGAAAACTAACCTTTCTTCAATAACTAAGAACATATTCAATAAGGATTATGATTAAGAAATTTTATTCTCATCTCCATTGAAATCAGTTGATAAATCTAAGTCCAAATTCTTATCAAATTATTCCCCAATGAAGCTAGACAGTATTGACAATTTAATGGAAACTTAAAATACTTTAAGAACTAATAGACCATCTGAATTTAATCTGAAAAAAATGTTATCTAAAATGGATATTGTTGAGACTATTTCAGAAATTCCATAATAACATAAAAGCTCTCGATTCCGTAGAAATGAATCTAAACCAGGTTTGAAAATAGAAGTTAAAAACGATGTAGATGAATTCTTTAATAACAATACACCAGTTAATACTTAATTAAAAGAAAATAAAGAAATTAAGCAATATTAATTAATAACATTTACTGATTATGTTGAAAAAATCTATGGTAAAGATTGGTTTACAGCACCATAAAGAAGATTTAGAAGATAAACTTCAATCTAAGAATTTTTTGATATTATCGAATGAATTCTAAATTAAAGTTGCTTATATTTTATTTTGATTTTATATATCTTAATACATTTTTAATAATGAGAAATAAAATTTATATAATTAAATGAAGAAGTATTCATCTTAGAGATTGCTATTGACAAATGAAGAATTATTACGTATTTAAATTCTAGCTAAAAACTCTTTTCGACCAGCATCCAAATAAAGAATAAAAGAGAAACCACAAAATGAAACATATTAATTCAAACCTGAAGTATAGAATAAATTGATTTTAGATTAACAAATAATCTGTAAATCTATAAAGATCTATAAATGATTTATTCAGATGGAATTTAAATAGATAAATGAAGAGATAATAGATATATGATGATGAAGTATTAAATTTTGATTAATTTATAGTCAAGAGAACTATTTAACAATGCAAATAGATTAACTCATGAACTTACTAACACTTCTGTTTTTGATAGATTATATTAAGTACGAAAAAACAGTGAAAATATTATATGTAATCTGAAATTTCAATATAATTAGAACAATCTAAAAGAAATACTAGCAATTTTGGACCTTATTATACTAAAAATATGACTAGTTCCATGTATTAAGAATATCAACGTTAATAATAGTTAGAAGTATCATAATTCAAATCTAAAACTAATGCCACTGATAGTAAATATGAATTATCACATTAATAAACTCCTAATCCTAATTTTCTTGATTCTGATTAATTACCTATTGCTGTAAATGATGTAATCTCTTATTCTTGATATTCTCTTTAGTAAATTAAAGTTTCAATACCTGTTCATCAATATGTAGATATAACTGAATAATTGAGTAATTCTATGAATGAACCTGATTCTCCTGCTAAATCCCCTTTACATTAGAAAGATATCGAAGTCATGGTTGAAAGGTATTAATCTAATTTACTAGTAAATAGATTGAATAATTGGTAAGCTAAAAAACAACAATAAGAACAATAAGGATAATAAGAAGATTTAAATCTTAAATCTTAAATCAAACCAAATTTTATTAATCAAAACCGATAACCATCTTTCGGAACTTCGTAATCTCAATCCAAATCTTATTCGACTATGTTCCTAAATAATAATAATTGATATTAAATTTTAGATATTTTTATATTATTATACTTGTTATTATTATTTTCAATCTCAAATTCTTTTTATTATTTTACTTATATAAATTTCTTCTGCATTCATTTATTGATTCAATCCAAAAGAATTTTTTTAATTTTATTCAGACACTTTGCTTACTCTTTATTCCTCATATCTAATTTCATTTTAAATAATTATTCAACATAAATTTAAATAAAATCGTTTTTAAAATTACTCATTAGGATTTTCATAAATTCTTACAATCAAATAATCATTTTAATAGAAATAATTATTTCAGTTTTGCATTAATATTTTTCTCATCTTTTTAAATCTAAGAAATTCAATCTCATCAAGAATATTTTTTTATTTTCATAAATAATAAGTAAAATGAATCATCAATGAAATTATTTAAACTCTTAAAACTGTTGAAAACTATTAACTACAATTTTATTTTCCATTCAGATTAACTTATTCTGTTTCATTGATGGTAATTAAAATGAAAAGAAGTTAATATTTGATGCTTGTTTATTAAATCTATGATTTACATTAATTGATTATACTAATTAGCCTTATTAAGTATAAATTAATTTCTATGACTTAGTTACAAATAAACTTCAATTCTTGTATGAAATTTGTAACATTTCTAACCTTAAATTATTTCTATCTTTTGTTTTTCGCAAGTGTGATTAATTATACATTAAAAAAATTTACAAATTTATCAAAAATATATCTAAAAATTATGATAATATTTCATAATTTAATTAGAATTCAGTAAAACTATGTGATTATTTTTTTTCATTGTTAGAATGATGCATAATATTTCACTTTTTCAAATACAAGTATAAGTAAAAAGAATAATAATTATATGATGTATTTATAATAAATAAGATCGTATATTTCTATGATTATTTTCATTTTACCATAAAAATTGGTTTTACATATATGATCATTTTTATTATAATAATATGCATTAATTTAAATTATTAACAAAATTTAAATAGTTTTTTTATTAAAATTACTTGTTGATCAATTATTTGTATAAATTTTGTTTCTTTTTAAAAATATAAATAATTCAATTTATTAATTTTAAAAGAGATGTGTAATTTCAATTAATTTCAATAAGTTTTAATCATTCATCAGAAGAAGGAGATTTAAAAGATCTAAAGAATATGAATAAGTGATTTTATATATATTTCTCCCTTTAAAGGGTATAATCAATCAATCAATCAATCATTCATCTAAAATTTAAATGCAACATTTTGTAAAATAAAAATGTATATACCATTCAGATGAAGGATCATTTTTAAGACTTTCTGGAAACCAACTTTCCACTTTATCATTTTAATTACCACTTCGAGATCTCTCTTTAATGAGATCTTTTTACTAAAAAATTTAATAAATTTTGTATTACAATAATTAAATTACCTATAACACATTATATCCTTTATTAAGTCATATCTAATAAAATTTATAGTATTTCTTTTCCTTATAAAAAAATTGGTTAATTAACTTAATATTAACATCCATAGAATGAAAAATATGTACTCGAATTTTGCATATTTCGAACACCTATATTCAAAACTCCAAAAGGATGCTGGAATATTAATTTCAATTTAAATTCAATAATATCATTAATCTGAATTTTTGATTAACTTATAAAATCTGCATATCCTTATCCTTCTTCAGTAATTATTTTTCCATCCTAGGATTATTTTACATTTTTCAACTTTGAATCAAGTTAGAAGTCTTTCAAAAATATTTTATTCAAATCTACTAATGATTCATTTTTTACCTATTTAAGAATTAGGTTTTTATGATTTTTGAATCATTTATAATATTAAATATATATATTTTTATTGTTTAATTATGAAAGAAATAATCCTTTCATTTGGAATTACAACTACGAGCTATCAAAATAAATAGTTAAAAAAAAAAAGAGTATTATATCAATTGAAAACATTGAAAAATATAATATAAAATAAATTAATGAATGAATTCTATTTAATCAATATGTAATATGGGTAGATTATAAATTGGATAAGACTAATATTCATGTATAAATAGGAAAGATAAAAAATATTATAAAGACTTTATCTAAATATATTTGAATGATTGTAACATATAATAATTAATTTACAATTAAATAACATTATTTGATAAAAAAATAGGAAGATATTTAAATTTATAATCCAATACAATGTGAAATTATTAAAGACAATAGAATATAAAATAAATTAGAAAATTATAAATGTAATAAAAAGAATAGCTTATAATATTTTCCTATAATTAGTTTTTCATAGATTTCAAATAGATAAGGCTATAATAATTTTAATACTACATTTGATTTTTACAAAATTCAATTAATTTATCTCTTAGAAATGGAATCATATAAAATTTTGTTATTTACCAAACGTATTAAAACCTTGAACAAATTTCTGACTAAATTTAATATCTCGACAATTGAAATAATTATATTGAACATTGATTTTGTTATAAGATAATAAATAAAATTATCAAAATCTTTTTGAGAATTGAATTTTTCTTTATCAAATTTATTTGTAGATATACTTTTATGGAGTAAATTTATTTGTCATGACATATATTTTAAAAGAATTGAAAAATATATCTATAATTTATATTAATTAATATATTTTGAAAAAACATATATTAATAAATGTTACTCACTCTCAAATATTTGAATAAGGTCAAATAAATAAATTTAGATAAACGAGTAAATGTGTAATCTTTGCAGATACTTTTGGTTTAATTATTTGGTATAAAAAGCAGAATAATAGGATTAATTGATTAAGACGGTATGAATAATTGTTAATTTTTCAAGGTAACTATTTTGATTTATCATAATTTATTTAATAATTGTGTTATACGAGATGCAATGTGTACACTATTGCAAGTGAAGAAAATTAAAATTAAAATGATAGCAAATTATTATAAACATCTTTAAAATATAGTTAGATGTCAGATTACAACAACAAATTATAATTTATTGATTTCATATATGATTTGGAGGAATTTCAGTAGATTTTAGGAGGAGATTAATATACTTGTATTTACTTGATTGATGAAAAAGATTATTAAGGGTTAGATTTTTTATGTGCTTTAGAACCCTTAATTAATAATTTCAATAATTGGGTTAACTTTTACTATTCATTTAGCAATAGATTATAAGATTAATTAAGAGATCATGAATTTTATCATAAATTTTTATGGATATATAAAGGATCTAAGAAAATAGTTTCAATTTAATTGAACAATGATAAAAAAATGAGATAAATGGATGAAATTATTCACAAACTTGTATAAACTTAATTATAAGGGACAAGTACAACAAATATTAAAAAATAATCTTAAATATCTTCTTAATAATCTCCTGATAAAAGAAGAAGTAAATCTATTAGAAAATTGGTTGAAGAATCTTAGATATCTAATAATAATTCTTTATATTTGAATTAGAATGTTGGTGCTTCAAAATTAATTACTAGAGTATAAGCAAAACTTATTTAAAGAGTTCCTTCTAGAGGTAGTGAAAATTTTGAGGATTATAGATATTAATAATCACATTAATAATAATAATAATAATAATAATAATAATAATAATAATAATAATAATAATAATAATAATAATAAAGTAATATATATCATAATGAGTCCATTATTAGTTAATAAGATTTATTATTTGGAGTTGTAGGTGATTTAGAGGAAAAGGAAATATTAGATGTTACTATGGCTAGATTAGTTAAGCGTTTGTTAATAGAAGAAAATAAAGAAGTTATTCAAGTTTTATAATATTATTTGTAAAATAGTATAAATATTCAATAATTATGTGAAAAATTGAATAAAATTATTGAAAATTGTACTTACTAAGAGAGACCTACATCTCCTTTTTAAACTCTCAAATAAGCTAAACGTTAAGCTAAACCATAGTAATTAATAAACAATAATTCAGAAGATTCAAATAGATCTATACAATAAGAATCATCTAAAAATAATTAAGTATAACGATTAGAGGATATTAAAAATAAAGTTATTGAAACTAATAATTACACTTATACTTCTGAATAATTTGGAATGATCAATGTATTATGGAATTAATAAGATAAAGTATTATTATAATTATGTACAGACATTTATAATAAAATACTAAAAGGAGAATCAAATTCTCTCAAACCATTATAAATTTATTTAGATTCTAAATTTAATGAATTATTGTAGTCTCATTTCAAATAATCTGAAATCAATATGATTCATGACTATAAAAATAGTCATTCTGGATCTATATATGCTGTTTTGTAACATTTTAGATATTAAAGTAATATAGAATTATTTATAAATGATCTAAAGAAAGCAATCAATTCTATAAATAGCTAAAATCTAAATCTTAATTAACATGAAAAATAACAAACCTAAGTTTCTAAAGAAATCAATTTATTTAAATAATTACCACAAGCACCATCTCCTTAAAGTGTTTTAATGCCAAATTTTTAATTACAAGATAATTTATAAACATAGACTAATTAATCCTAAACATAGTTAGCAAAGTAGTATGAAAAGAAATAATAGTAATAGTAATAATAATAATAATAATAATAATAATAATAATAGTAGTAGTAATAATAATAATAATAATAATAATAATAATAATAGTAGTAATAGTATTAATAATAATAATAGTAGTAATAGTATTAATAATAACAAATAAAGAATATGCATTAGACATAACCTATTATTTACCAAAAAGATTAAAATTCAGAGGTACAATAAACAATTCAAGGATTGGCATAGGAAATTAAATAGCCAGTTTACTAAAAAAATGATATCTTGAGTACATCAGAGTAAATTTTTGCGTAAAAGAGAATTAGTGCATCAGAAGTTGTTGCTAAAGATATTATTTTCAATGAAGAAAACTTTATGTAAACAAAAAAAGAAAAAAGGAAAGCAAATTTAGAAAAAATTGATAAATTTTATTCAATATAAGAAGAAAAGGAATTCTAGTAAGTATTTTAAGATATGCTTTGGGATATGGATTTAGATGAGCCAAATGTTAGATAAGCTGAATTGTTGTTTTCAGAATATAATTAATAACTTTTTGAGATTGTTTAAGGTTGGTAATCTTCAAGAATTATCAATGTTACAAGAACTAAGCTTATGTAATTTTAAATAATATGAATAGAAAATTATTATCTGAATAATAAATAAAAAAGGAAGACTACAGAAAAATAAAGATGTATAATTTATTTATGAATTAAGTGAGATAATTTACATTATAAAATCATCTTTAAGACAATGAAAAAAATTTTTTACTAAAAATGTTTATGGATAATGATTTATAAGTTTTAGGAACATTTGAAACATATTTACAAAATTAAGATGCAGAAGATATGTTAGAAAATTTGAAATTGATAATAAAACAATATTCTAAGTTCACAAATGTAAATAAAAATATATATAAAGATAAATTCTCCTAATACAGAGTTAGATAAATAATCAATTATAGAACCTAAAAAGAATTAATTAAGTGCTAAGGAAATATTATTATAAATAAAAAAATATTTTTCAGCAGAAGAGAAGAATAGATTAGAGAATATGGCAAATGAATAGAGAGATACAAAAATAGTTGAATTATTTTAGGAATATTAATAAGATTAAGATTTAAATGGTTTTATTTCAGCTGTTAAGAAGTTAAGCTAATAAGATTAGATTAAAAAATAGTTTGAAGATTTGTTAAAAAAATTGTAAAAGGAAGGACAATTAAAAATAGATGATTATATGTTATACGTAATAAATTAGAGAATAAATGAATAAAGAATAAAAGGTGTTTTTGAATTATATCTCTTTAACAAAAATATAGAGGATTTTGTTGAAAGTATAAAAAGCATTTCTAAATTGTTGTAATAAGGTAATATAAATAAATTTATAATATAGAGTTAATTCTTTAAACTTTGAATTAGTTTGAAAGAGAAAAGTTATTAGATGAAAGAAAATTATCAATATTAAGAGAAAAAGCGTATGATTATCACAAGGATTATCAAAAGTTATTAGGAGCATTTTCGCTTTATTTTGAATAAGCATAGACAGATTAAGAGGAAGCTAAAAAAGAGATTTTAGAAACTTTAAATCTATTTAATTGATTAATGAACAATATATTATGTTTATTATAAATTAGAGGATAATATTTATTAATTAAATATGTTTTCGACAGTATCAGTTTCTGTATAAGAATTTAGAGGGATTCGAACAGCTTCTACAACTGGAACTTCAAGTTATAGGGATTTTTAAAGATTACCAGCAACTAAAACTAATTATAAAAGGCAATATTTAAAAGGAGCATCAAATCGTGTAAAATCATTAAAAGAAGAATCTCATTTTGTTTAATTATGTAGTGACAGAAAATAAAATGAGAAGATATTTAAATTTAACAGATAAGACTAACTATTAAATTATAGAAATCTTCATTTAAATAAATTACAACCAATATCAAATCAAGAACAAATTCTCGAAAATTAATAACAATAAGAATAATATAATAAATCATAGATAATATCTCCAAATAATAATTTAAGAAGCTCTGCACTTTAATTAATTACTGATGAAAAGAANAGATAAATTCTCCTAATACAGAGTTAGATAAATAATCAATTATAGAACCTAAAAAGAATTAATTAAGTGCTAAGGAAATATTATTATAAATAAAAAAATATTTTTCAGCAGAAGAGAAGAATAGATTAGAGAATATGGCAAATGAATAGAGAGATACAAAAATAGTTGAATTATTTTAGGAATATTAATAAGATTAAGATTTAAATGGTTTTATTTCAGCTGTTAAGAAGTTAAGCTAATAAGATTAGATTAAAAAATAGTTTGAAGATTTGTTAAAAAAATTGTAAAAGGAAGGACAATTAAAAATAGATGATTATATGTTATACGTAATAAATTAGAGAATAAATGAATAAAGAATAAAAGGTGTTTTTGAATTATATCTCTTTAACAAAAATATAGAGGATTTTGTTGAAAGTATAAAAAGCATTTCTAAATTGTTGTAATAAGGTAATATAAATAAATTTATAATATAGAGTTAATTCTTTAAACTTTGAATTAGTTTGAAAGAGAAAAGTTATTAGATGAAAGAAAATTATCAATATTAAGAGAAAAAGCGTATGATTATCACAAGGATTATCAAAAGTTATTAGGAGCATTTTCGCTTTATTTTGAATAAGCATAGACAGATTAAGAGGAAGCTAAAAAAGAGATTTTAGAAACTTTAAATCTATTTAATTGATTAATGAACAATATATTATGTTTATTATAAATTAGAGGATAATATTTATTAATTAAATATGTTTTCGACAGTATCAGTTTCTGTATAAGAATTTAGAGGGATTCGAACAGCTTCTACAACTGGAACTTCAAGTTATAGGGATTTTTAAAGATTACCAGCAACTAAAACTAATTATAAAAGGCAATATTTAAAAGGAGCATCAAATCGTGTAAAATCATTAAAAGAAGAATCTCATTTTGTTTAATTATGTAGTGACAGAAAATAAAATGAGAAGATATTTAAATTTAACAGATAAGACTAACTATTAAATTATAGAAATCTTCATTTAAATAAATTACAACCAATATCAAATCAAGAACAAATTCTCGAAAATTAATAACAATAAGAATAATATAATAAATCATAGATAATATCTCCAAATAATAATTTAAGAAGCTCTGCACTTTAATTAATTACTGATGAAAAGAATTAACTTATAGAACTAATTTACAATTCGTAATCAGTGATAAAATAATAAAAGAAGTCATATTCTAATTAATAAAAAACTGAAGGTTTTCAAAATGGTAAAATACCTACTTAAATAACAGTATAATCACCTAAAGCTTTAAAAAATCAACCTTAAATTTTGGGTTAATTAATAATTCCAACTAAAAATAAAAGTGATCTTTTTGTAAAAAGTACATAATTTACCTCTTATGGTTCTCTAAAAATAACAACATAAGATGAAAGATAAGGTATTCCTCCTAAACCAAAGATTCCAACTTCTTTGGATGGTGCAAAGAAATATATTAAATAATTTATTTGAATTAAGTAATATTTATGTTAATTCTCTTATTAAATAATTATTAATTTATAGAATCAACAACAAAAATTGGATTTTGCTTGTTAGCTTGATTATTCCAGTTTAATATTTTATACTTTTTCTTCTAATGACATAATATCTTTAATTTATTTTGAAATGCATTAGAAAGAATCAATAATGTTTATACCTTCTTTTGCAGAAGTCTCAAAAAATTTAATGCCATAAGAATCTGCTAAATTTTTACCTTATTCAAATTAAACTGCTCTATCATTAAGATCTGATTTATTAGCAACTAATAAAATAATTACACTTTCTGATGCATTTTACTTTATTTAATTCATCCAATTTTAAATGTTTTGAAAACTTTCAAGATTATTTACAGCATATACTAAAATAATGCCCATAGCACCTTTATAATATGTTGATGTAATTGTTCTAAATCTCTCTTATCCTGCAGTATCCCAAATTTATAGTCTCATTAGTTTTCCTTCAACTTCTAAATCACGAAATTTGAAATCTATGCCTGTTCTAAATTTAAATTTATTAATCTACCAATTGTTGAAACAAAACTAGGAGTATATTAATTTTCACAAAATCTTTTTAAAATGTTTGTTTTCCCAACAGCAGAATCACCAATTATCAGTAATTTTATAATTGGTTTATCACATGTATTCATTATTATTTAATAAATAATTTCAATAATAACAAATATTTATTTTTATTCATTTACTTTAATCTAATATACTTTAAGCTTAAAAATGAATTATTTCATTTAACTTAATATTTAATTTTTCAATATAAGGATGTTTATTTATTATTAATGCAGTTAATATGTAGTTATGAATTATTTCTATATTTATTAATTGAATTGAAATATAATGAATTAATTATGACTACTATGCCATTTGAATGAAATGTTTCTAAATAAAAAAAGATATTTTATTTTACATCTAATTTTTTTTTAAATCATCTTATGCTTCCTTTATTATATGCCCCATCATATATGAATTATCCATAACTCAATCTTTAATAGTTCTATATGCTTCCAAATACCACTACAACGTATGCATTACAAAATCCTAATAAAGAAACTTGTGATTAAGCGTGTTAATTTCCAGAGCCTTGCTTATTAGAATCATAACTTCAAAGTAACACTATGAAATTCGAAGAATAAGCTGAATAAGAATTGACACTTCTACTCAAATACTTATCCAAGCATATTTCCTTATTAAAAGACAGTATTTTTGATGAGTTTGTGTAAGAAAATTTAAAAGTATTTCATTGTAAATATTTCTTAGACTTTGTCCTCTTTGTAGAAAGACCTTCCAAACATGATTAAAAAACGATATATCTTAGTCAATAAGACAAAAGAAGAAATGACAAAATTTATCATCAGAAGATGCTTTCTATTTATAAAATCTCAAATAGACTATGAAGAAAAGGAAGGAGTACCAGCTGAAGAGAGGGATAGAATTTTTTATAACTCTTTCTTCTCAGATGATAAGGAATTCATGAAATCTCTTCATTTGGAATCTATTGATGATATGATCCCATTTAGAAAAGATTCTAAGATGAAAACCATGAATGATAACTATTTAAAAAGATTATTTGAATCACAAAGATTCTCCAAATATTATTCTTTATTTCTGAGTATTTATTTTTATAATTATAAAGGTCAATTCAAAGATATTTGTTTAAATGAAAACGAAGAAAAAATAGAAAATATGACTAAATAATTGATCAAAATTATTATGACCAGAGATTATGGAGTATTATTTTATAAAAAACTTTTAAATAGAAAATCAAAACTTATAGGAGATTCCCTTGGAAGAATCATGAATTAATTAAATGTCAAGAAAGAGCCAAAGAATTATATTGCAAATATTCTAACTCTCATAATCAAAGTATTTGTTCATTCAAATTAAATTAGAAATGAAAAAAAAATGTCTATCAAAATGTGATTCGCATACATCTGATATTTTGGAAAAGTACTCTGAATCTTTAAGTTGATATTGCTATCAATAAAATAATTTTATATTTTTAAATATTTTCTTTTGCACCTTCTTCAAATGCTTTTCTAATTTTATATTCATTCCATATCACTCAAAGATTTATTAGTATAATCAAATTAAGATACTTTATAAAACAATAAATTATATTAAGTATCTATCTTTAATAGTTGAAAAATGAGTATATTCAGTAAATAATCATTTTCTTTTTATAATAAATGAATTTGAGTATTATTTTAATCCAAAATTTATAATTTTTGTTGGATGAAAGTTTTTCATAATTTAATCCAACTTGAGACAAAATTTTAAATATTATTTAAGGATTTACGAATCTAAAGCATTTTTATAATTGTTTGTATTCTTTTTTTATTAATTTTCTTAAATATATCAATAGTACTTTATAGATAAATTTTTTCTGAAAACGAAGAATTAGTCATTAAGATAAAATATTTTATATTCCAATAAACGTTAAAAAAATAATTAATACAATAAAGAAACAATCATAAATCTAATATTTGAACAGTAGTTCTAACTGTGTGAATATTGAGAAATTTTAAATAAATCTATCCTCTTTCTTACGATAAAAAGAAGGAGGAAGATAACTTCAAAAAAACACAAGAATGAAGAAAGAGGAAAACATTTATAATAAAACTCTTAAAATGAGAATCAAAATAAAAGTTATGTATCTTTTATGCATTTCTAAGATTTTGTTTATAAACTTTAGTTTTACATTCTAGTATTCATTTTTAAAGTTAAATGAATTAACTAACATATTAAAAAATTGTAATTTTGAGAGAGACCTAATTGATACATTTCAGATATTAAGATATTTTTAAGAATAAAAAGGTAATTTATTAAATGAACAAAAGAGAATTATTGATTAAAAGTTATTCATTGTATAGAAGTATAAAAAAAGAAGCAGGCTTATTTAGATAATCAAAGTATATAGTAAATAACTAATAATTTAAGACGAATCAGATATTTCTTAAAATTTGTTGAAATATTTGTTTAGCATTTGAAAAAAAGTTAAGATGTATTTATTTTTGGAGAAGGTTTTTATAAATTAATGAAGAAAGTTGATTGAATGTTAAATATCTATTTAATTTATTTTTTTTGAATAAAAACAATAATAAATTAAATGTTTAAAAATTTATTAAGAATAGGAGTCAGTCTTTCATTATTTAATTCAACCTATGTTTTATGTAAGTAAATAAAGGATGAAAAATTGCCTCATTATCATTTTCTTAATGACTAAGATTTAAATAAATTATTAAAGAAACATCAGAACTTATCAATAATTGATAGAACATACACTGAACATATATTATCTATAATAAGAGATGTAGAGACTGATACAGTGGTAATGTGATAAATAAAGGTTAGGAATTCCGAAAAAGTTCAGATCGATTAATTAGAATACTAATTGAATAGGCAATATCTTAAATTGAAAAGAAAAAACATGTGAAATAATCGCCTTTAGGATATTATGATGCTCATGAAGTAAAATTTGAAGATGAAGAGTAAAATATATACAATTATTAGAATATGTTTTGTAAGTATTTTAAGATCAGGGAATGCTTTTTTATTTGAAGGGTTAAAAGCAGTATCAGGAGCATCAATAGGATAAATTTTGATATAAAGAAATGAAGATACAGCTTTGCCTTCATATTTATTTTAGAAGCTACCATCAAATATAAAGGATTAATAAGTTATATTGATGGATCCAATGTTGGCTACAGGTAATAGTGCTACATTGGCATTAAGGATTTTAAAGAATTAAGGAGTTAAATAAGAAAATGTCACATTTTTAACTTTAGTAAGTTGTGAATAGGGAATAGATAAATTGTTTAGAGAATTTCCAAAAATTAAAATAATTACTGCATAAGTTGATCCAATATTATTAAAAGATTTTAATTATTTAGCACCTGGTATTGGAAATTTTGGAGATAGATATTTTGGAACAATCAAAAAAAGTCAATAATCTGTATAGCAATAATGATAGGAAAACAATTACATTATATCTTATTATTTAAATATATATTAATTAAAAAAAATATATATATATATCAAATAAATTATTCAAAGCTACTATTACTAATTTTATTGTATTTTATTATAAAATTTAAAAGCTGAGTTTTTTTTAAGTGGAGTTGTTTCAAATTTTAATTTGCTCAAACTTAAATTATCTTTAAATTAAGAATGTTAAATGAAGCTTTTATTTTCTGATTTGAGATTAGGTGTTTTTTTATTAGACTAATGCATGGCTTAATGTTTAGGTGTGAGTAAATTAAGTAATTTAGAAGGTGATTCAATTTGATGTTAGAAGTGATCATCATATTTCACTTCTAAACAGAGATTGCTAGGACTATTAGTTTCATTATTTTGATTATTGTTGTTGTTATTGTTATTATTATTATTAATATCATTTTAATTTGTTTAATGAGGATCAGATTTTTCTTTCAAGGGAGTCTTAAATTAATTAAGAGAAGGTAATTAATATTCATCACTATTATTATTTTATTCATAAATTCTACTTAAATTTTTAGAAACTTAATTGGCACTATCTTATTTGTATTTATGTAAATAATTATAATAAAAGGATGGTCTTTGTGATAAGAAATCTTTTATAACTGAAACAGTAAAAACATCTTAACACATGATCCAAAAGTTTTTAATCCATCTATCTACTTTTTCATCTTAATCATAACCATGAGCACCTACTTTTTCTTATATGTATTCATATAAATTATTTTAAATATCATCTACTTTATCTTCATTCCAGAAAATGGAGTCTGTAATTTTGGCGGTTTTTTTCAGCATTTTATTTTCCATATTATAACTTTCAATTCCATCTATTTTAATTTCATTCATCATTTTAGAAATATAAGAATTGACAGAATTAGGATTTAAATAATTTTATTATTTATTAGTTCTTCTTCTAGGAATATTATTATTAGGCGAATAAGATCTTGGAGTCATTTATCCATTTTATTAAGAGGATAGTAATTTTTATAATAACTATCTTTCAAGAGAAGTAAATGAATTCATTAATTCTGAATTAGACATTCCTATTAAAAAATAATTAAAAAAAAATACCTCCTCTTTTGCGAATATCCTTTAATCTATCTTCCATTTCTGGGATTCTTTTTTTCATAGCTGAATTCCAATGATTTTTAATGGAATTATCAGTTCTTCCAATTAATTATTTAGCCATTTCAGCCCATCTATTACCCATAACTCTATGTGATAAGAAGAGTATCCATTCTTCATAATCTCCCCAATGTGATTTTTTAATTTGGGGATTCAAATGATTATGCCATCTCTCTCTACATTATTTACCAATTCTTCCAGGTAAGTGTTCAGCAATGAAAGTCCACTTTTATGGTCCATGCATTTAGACTAATTTGATAAGTAAATTATCTTCTTATTCAGACCATGGTCTTTTCTTACCCTTAGACTATTAGATTAATAAAGGAGGATTACATGAAATAGAATATCTTCATCATCATCATAATCTCTCTCTTGAGCATATTTAGGTGTAACTGTTAAAGTGAAATTGGTTAAGCTCTTTTATTTGGTTGCTGCAATATCTTATAATATATTTTATTTCTTTTTATCTGTTGGCTCAATAATGTCACTATACTCATTTTTATTCCTCAACCTTCTTTTGATAATTGGAGGAGATATAGATAAATGATTTTATGATTTCACTCTCAATCTCTAACTTCTATACATATATATATATTAATTAAAATAATATTTTTTTGAATTTGAATTTCAAAATTAAATATATATATTATATGTCTCATTATAATAATAATAAAATAATAAAGAGTATATATAATCTATGAGAATAGATGCCCCAATATTGTGCTGTATAAATCTTTTGAATGCATTCATCATTAAACATGATCTATGATTACATATGATAGAACTTCACAGCTTTCTAATAGTTAATATATTCATCCTAATATAGAGAAATACAAGGACCATATCTTAAAATAGTATGGCAATATTAATTGACTTACAATAACCATTAAAACAATTCTAGAATTTTTAGATACTCTGGATCTCCTTCAGCCAAACTACAATATGAAAATCCACCAGCATTAAATCCACATTGACATTCTGAATATCCAAATAGTTTATTATCACTGTCTAATAAAATGCAATCATTATCAATTTCACATGGTTTACTTTTAGTTAGACTATGAGGACCGTTTTAACAAGTTCCATTATTAGGGTTTATATAACCAAAATAACATGCTCTTGGATTATCAGCTAAAATATTATTTTCAAGAGAATAATAATATGCACATCTACCCAAATTACATACACAATTATTAGTACATTAATAATCATTTGTACATGGTTATTCAAATTATACTTACTCTTTGCAATATGTATCACAATAATAACCGACATCACAATATTAATGTCCTCCACATTATTAATTTAATTTCAATCCCAAACATTTTCCACCTTAACAACTATTTGATAAACAATCACTATCTCCACTACAAGTTTCTCCTGGTAATATCTTTTCTTTTGCTGGTAAATCTGTACAATATACTGGTTTCTAATATAAAGCTTCCTCCCATAAACAAGTCTTATCATCAGCACATTTTTATAATTCGTGAACCTTACCTCGATATTCTGACACATTTACACATACATTATCTTAGTTCTCCTCTCCACATTTATATCTCTTTCCTCCACATTTAGTATTTGCAAATGCATATACCATAATGATCAAGTATAATATTAATAAAACTTCTTTTATCATTTTTATTAATTCTTTTTATATTCAATATGAGAAAAAATGAATTTATGAATGATGAAATCAGAAAATAATGGTTTGCTAATTGTAGATCTATTCAAGAATATGAAAGATTAGATAAACTTGGAGAAGGAACGTAATTCTTATTCAATCTATACAAAGTTATGGAACTGTCTATGCTGCAAAAGATAAAAAGAAAAATTAAGTTGTTGCCATCAAAAAAGTTAAAATTCATGATAGTAATGAAGGATTCCCTATTACTTGTTTAAGAGAAATTAAAATATTATAAAGATTATCTGCACATCCTAATGTTGTCAATTTATTAGTAATAATTTATTATTTATTTAAGGAAGTTGCTGTAGGACCTATCAAAGATAGTATTCATCTTGTATTTGAATATTGTGCAATAGATTTAGCTATTTTAGTAGATAATATGTTTATAGGTAAAATACATATTGATCTAAAGAAAATTATTCCTTTCGTGAAAATGAAATCAAATGCATTGTCCTTTAATTATTAAATGGTCTTGCTTATATCAATTCTAATTTCATTTTGCATAGAGATATTAAACTATCAAATCTCCTATTAACAAATGATGGAATTGTTAAAATTGCAGATTTTGGTCTTGCCAGAGAATATGGTAATTAAAATATATTAAATTAAGAAATTCCATAAAAAAAATACACTAATCCTGTTGTCACTCTTTGGTATAGAGCACCTGAACTTTTATGTTAGATGAATAATTATAATACTGCTATTGATATATGGTCAGTTGGTTGTGTTTTTGCAGAATTAATTAATAGAGGATTTCCTATTCTTTAAGTAACTTAACAATTCAAATCAATAGGGTAAATCTGAAGTTCATTAATTATAATTAATGTGTGAAATGTTAGGATATCCTTCAGCTACTATTTGGCCAGATTTACATAAAAATGGCAATAAATAGATTTTAAAAGAATTAGAAAAGTTTTAACATTGCAGACCAAATCTCTAAAATGTTATAAAGGATGCATCTCCATAAGCTCTAGAATTGATATCAAGAATGTTAACTTGGGATCCAGAAGTAAAATTCAATCTATAAAATAATAGAAACGCATTGGAATCATGGAGAGTCTATTACATTAATATTTCTATACTAATCCAAGACCTTCTATGCCAGAAGAATTATCTATTTTAAGACAATTAGATTAATTAAAAAAGAAAAATGCTGATCGTGCTGAAAAGAAAATTAAAATAAAATGATTAATTTTTGGTGATATTTCTTTATATTCTTCATACATTCTATTTCAAACTGGGGCAAATAACTTATCTTAAGATTTTACAAATTAATTTATTATGAATAATTGAAATGAAATTATTACCAAGAATAGCAATATTTTTATAATAGTTGAAAATGTCAATTATTAATACAAATTTATTAAGTTTGTATTAATTGTTTATTCTCTATGATATGATTCTTTTTAAAGCATTTAAATCCATCTAAAATCTGAATCTATCTCATTCAAATTCCTCTATGTTTATAATATATCATTCTTTGATGCATAATTTTTATCAATCCCCAAAATGTCAAAATCAAATTCAACTAACATTTTCATTTATCCATTATTTTTAAAACATATCCTATATTTTCCAGTGTAAAATGCTTTCAATTATTGTTCATTACTCTCAAAATCATATTAAATATTATAAGGATCAAAAAAAAATATCTAAACATCCTTTGGAATTCCTTCTAACACTAAATATTTGATTGTTATATTATCATCTTTCTTAGCATTCATATAAACACATCTAGGCTTCTTGTCTCTTAATTCAATTCCTAAACACTTTATTTATCCAATAAATATTGATGCTAAAATTAATATCAAATACATTATAAAAAATATTCATAGTATTGTAATACTTTATATTTTCGATGATTAATCAATTAACAAAAAATAGAACTCTTTTTGATTGTGAAATTTTTTTAGATTTAGAATATAATTATTTTATAAAAATATGGCTTAAGTATTTAATTCAAAGGTTAGCATTATCACCAAATCAGAAATCAGATATGAAGGTACAATTTATTAAATTAATCCTTAATAACAAACTATTGCATTGAAAGATGTACGCTCATTTGGAACTGAGGGAAGAAGACCTGGTATATTATTTTTAAATAAATTATTTAAGATCATGAAATACCCCCCAATTAATAAAGTTATGATATTTTAGTATTCAAAGCAGCTGAAATTAAAGGCTTTAAAACTTTAGAAGAAAATAAGCCTGAGGAAATCAAATTAGAGAATGTCAAATAAGAAAACCAATCTCAATAACCACAAATTTTCTAACCACCTTAAAATATTGAATAAATAGAGTAGTAATAAGATTCAAGAGCTTAATTGTAAAATAATTACCCATAAAATCAATAAACTAAAACAAATGGAACAAATCCTAGAGCTTTTAATTTTGAAGAAATGCTCCAAAAAGCAAATGAAATTGAAAAAATTAAAAAATAAGAGGTGAAACCTAAATATAATCCTACTTCGTTTTTTGATTCTCTTTCTACCAGTACTCAAAAATAAGAAAGAATAACATAATAAAGAAATCAAAATCAGATAGACACAGATACCTTTGGTAATTTTTATAAATAAAGATAAAATAATAATAACAATAATAACAATGGTTAAAGAAGAAATAATAATCATAACAATAATAATTATAATAATAAAAATAATTTTAATAATAAAAATAATAATAATTATAGAAGGAAAAATAATGATTAATAAAGAGTTATTTATGTAGAAAAACAATCTTTAGAATAATATTAATAATAGCCATAATAATAATAATAACAATAATAGCAATGAATATAAAATTTGTTATTATTTAAATAAAATATACAAATGCATACTAAACAGTCAATTATTAATAAATTCTTTCATATTTTAATCAATATATAATTTAAATAAATGGTAAAATATTGTCAAAGTTGCAATATTCAGAAAGCTTTTATGATGAGACCAAAGACTGGAAATCTAATTTGTTAAAATTGTTTTTTTAAAGCATTTGAGGATGAAATACATCATACAATAATATCAAATTAAATGTTTAAACCTGGTGAGAAGATTGCAATAGCTGCATCAGGAGGTAAAGATTCAACAGTTTTGGTTCATGTGATTACTTTATTAAATAAGAAATATAACTATGGATTACATTTATACTTATTATCAATTGATGAAGGAATAAAAGGATATAGAGATGATTCATTAGAAACAGTGAAATAAAATTAAATTACATATGAATTAGATTTAAAAATTTTATCATATAAAGAACTCTTTAATTGGTCAATGGATGAGGTTGTTGCATAAATAGGTCTTAATAATAATTGCACATATTGTGGTGTTTTTAGAAGATAAGCATTAGATAGAGGTGCAATTTAATTAGGAGTTGATAAGATTATTACAGGACATAATGCAGATGATATGGCAGAGACATTTTTAATGAATTTATTAAGAGGTGATATATTTAGATTACCAAAATCTACTGCTATAATAACTGGAGATGATGGAGATAATGGAATTGCTACATTACCTAGATGTAAACCTTTTAAATACACTTATGAAAAAGAGATAGTTATGTATGCTCATTATAAAAAACTCATTTATTTTAGTACTGAATGTACTTATTCTCCTAATGCATTTCGAGGACATGTTAGAGAATTAATTAAAAATTTAGAAGCTATTAGGTATCATTATTTTTTATCTATTTTATAGACCTAGTGCAGTTATTGATTTAATTCATTCTTGTGAATAATTAGATGCTCCTAATTAAAATTAAAAGTTACCACAAAAGTAATTATGTTAGAAATGCAATTTATTGTCATCTAATAAAATTTGTAAAGCATGTACATTACTTGAATCATTAAATTAAGGTAGAGCTAAATAAATCTTATAAATTTAAGAATGATTTTATATATATATATATAATTCTTTATAAAATATAAATTGAGATGAATGATCAAATTATTGATAAATAATGGAAGATTTATTATTAAAATAATATTAATTATGTTCAAATGGATCTCTTCTTAATATAAATAATCTAAATTTTTATAATAAAGTCAATATATATATCATTAATTTTAGAAAAGCTTTAATAGAAAATTGATCATATGGACTAATTTTAATTAGAAGAGCTATGCTACGAAAATACTTAATGTCATGATTGGTAGTGTTAGAAAAAACATCCTCGATGCTTTGCAGGAATATGTATTGAAGGCAGAATCATCGATGAAGAAAATGGAAAATGCGAAAAACCTGATTGCCAGCTAATTCATATGACAGATGATAGATTTAGTAATGAACCTAATACTGGATAAATTAATGGAATTTATAGGGATAACATTTGTAAGAATATATAAAATTGCAACAATAATAATTGTAAATTTCTACATCCTGTATGGGCAAAAGATTATTGTTTCGAGTAGTTTAAAACTAATAAATGTAAAAAAAAATGTTAAAATCATTCTAATTGGAATTAAATAAGGAAGAATGTTTATGAAAAATTTGATATTTAAGGGATGAATCCAGAAAATATTTGCCAAAAGCATAATTGCAAATGTGATAAACATTTACTAAGTGATGATTTCTGCATAGATTATTTTCGAGGAATTTGCCCTTTAATAGAATGTTCTAAAAAACATGTATTTTGGGAGGAATTAAAATTGAATAGAAAACTATAATTTGAGCAACCAAAATTAATACCATGCATAAAAACTAATGCTAAAAATCAAAAAAGTTTAATTGAAAATTAAAATAAAATAAATTTTATGCTAGATGAAGAAGAACTAAAACGTATGCATAAAGTCATTAAATAATAAAATATAATAGATATTATTTTTATAATGGATTGTACAAAAACAATGGATCCCTGGATTTAGTAATGTCATTCATAAATAGCTAATATAATCGAAAAATTTGAAATTTAAAGTAAACCTTATATTACTCGAATTGCATTTGTTGGATATAGAGATATTATAATTGAAAAACAGCAAAGTGTAATATTTTTAGATAGAAAAAGTCTGATTTTACAAGATTAGAATTTTAATTAAAACTTAAGTGGTAAATAAATTTTAGAGAAAAATCATGTAGTTTTTCATGATTTAACAGATAAAATCGATTCTGTTAAAGAATTTATAAAATAATAAAAGGCTTTTGGTGGGGGTGATGAAGCTGAAGATGTTTTTGCAGGTATAGAAAAGGCATCATAATTAAATCTATCTAAACATTAAGATAGTGTATTAATTACATTTTTATTTGCTGACTCTCCTTGTCATGGTAAATAATATCATGATCTTGATGATGATGATTTTATGGATGATGTTCCATTAGGTACTTTAGAAAATTTAATGATTAGGTATAGAAAATTAAAATTTAATAATTTTTTCTTTTGTTCTAGAATTACTAAAAAAACAGATAAAATGTTTTAAATTATGAAAACTGCCTTTCCTGAAATTTCAATTACTGATATTTAAAACCCAGAAGATTTTCCAAATTTAGTTGTTTTATCTTTAAATCATAGTTTTTCTAGAATTAGCAAAAGTCAATTATTTAAGACATTAGAAATTAAAGCATAATCTATTAAATCTAAGTTTATTGATTATAAGTGTCAAACCAAAGAAGAAAAATTAAAGTTTTGGGTTGATTTTACAAAAACTGTAGATTCATAACTTAGAATTAATGAAACTACAATTAAAATAAATCCCAATCCTGAAAAAATTTTAGACAATGAAGATGGAGTAAATTCATATATTTTTAAAGTATTTGATGTCATAAATAATCAAAATTTAGTTGCTAAAATACCTAAAAAAATAGTATTGGCATACAATGAATAAAAAGAAAAACTTTAAAGAGAAAATTCAGAATTACCAGTTTAATTATCTGATGAATTAATTTTAGAAGCCTAAAAGTTTGCTTAATAAAGATTTTAATCACAAACAATTGCAAAACAATTAGCATAAATTTATAGAGATAGAGTAAAAAATTAATAAGGAGCTCCTCCTATTTTTTATGTTTCACCTATGTTATATAAACTTTCTATACCATTTTATGGTTTAAATTATATTTATGCAGAAACATTCATTAATCTACCTAATATTAAATGGGAAAAATATTCAAACAATTCAAATTATATCAATCCATAATATTATTACTACTCTTCATTCAGTCATTTTACTTATGATGAAACAGATAGATTATTATTGATTACAGATTTATAAGGAAAATTCAATATTTTTAGTGATCCGTCTATTTAGACAACAAATCAATATAGCTAAAATTTAAATGAAGATAAGACAAATTTCAATAACGAGGGTATAGCCAACTTTTAGGGTGCTCATCAGAAATGTAGTATTATTTGCAAAGAATTGAAATTATAACAATTTAGTTAAACTGAATATGACTAGACTTTATGGGAACAAAATGAAACATAATTATTATCTGTTATATGTGAGACATGTGATGAATATCAAGAGATTAAATTAGAGGAATATTACACTGGATTTCATAAAAAATGTCCTTAATGTAAAGATCTTGAAAATGTATTACATCAAGTTCAATGTTTTTGTTGTAGGGAATTATTTTAAACTCCTATAAATTAATAAATGAGATTAGGTACAGTTGTAGAAAAATGCTCAAGTTGTAAAGTGAGTTGTTTATAACGAAATTTGGCCTGTGTGTATTGCAAAATTGATTGTAAATTAAAGGTATCAAATGAGAAAATAGATGAAAAAATGATTGGGTTATGTAGGGAAGGTAGAAAATATATATCATCTTTAAAATGCTTATCATGCAATTCAACATATAAATATGATTAATTCTTGGAAAATAATTAATATGAATAAGGGATTTATAAATGTAAAAGATGCATGAATTGAATATTCATTAAAATAATGATCATTATAATTCTTTTATCTTTATAAACTTCATATATTATAAATAACATTTTCTAATAATTTGAAAATTAAAATAATTGTAAAATAATCTTAAGATAACATAAATTAAGCTTGATATTTTGACCACTAAAGGAATAAATATTCTGAATACAAAATATTCATATAACCATAATTTAATACTAAATTTAACTTATAGAGTATAAAATTATAGCTTGTGATAAACATTTAAAGTTGATAGAATATTATTGAGATTCTAACTATATTAGTTATCTATAATTCTGGATAAATTTTTAATTGAATTATAGAAAATAGTGGAAGGATAAATGAATCATATATGTATTATTATAATATTATGTTATATATTATATAAATAAAATGTCTTATTCATAAAAAAACTTTGTAAATTAACCATTTTACTCTCCTGCAAAATTTGAGAATGATCAAAAAGATTTGATGATATCATAATTGAAAGCTGAAAACTTTGAATTAAAGTAAAATGATCGAGATTACTAAGAATTGGCTACACATTTGAAATCGTTAGAACATAGGTGATAAACATTTAACAGTAGATATAATATGTTGCATGAAGAAAAGATGAGAAATGAAGTTGAATATAGAAATAGAAGTGATTAAACATTAAAGACCATAGCTAATTTAAGAAATGAAATAGATAATTTGAAATCCTAGTTAACAGATAAACATATTGAAAATTAAGAAATAAAAGCAGAGAATTTAGCATTTAAAGAGATTACTGAACATAGATCTTAAGAGAATCAAAGAGTGAAAAATGATATGAGTTTATTGTAAGAAAATAATCGAAAATTATATGAAGAGAAGCTCAGATAAGAAACAGAGTTACAAGCAGCTAAAGATGAGAGAAAAAGGTACATTAGAGAATATTAATTTATAGATTATTGCATGATAGAGAAATATTGAATAATACTTATGAAGATGTATTAGATAAATTAAATGAAAAAGAAAAGTAATTTACACAATTATAGAATGAATTTGATAATCTTGAAAAGTAGAGTTTAATTTATAAAGCTGATGTAGAAAATGTATAAATATTAATTGTATTAGAAAGATTAATAATGAATTGAAATAAAAGAATGAAAACCTTAAGTATACTCGAATGCAATATTAAGAAGCTTAAAATTATATTTCATAATTGTAAAATGATTTGGAAGAATTGCATAAGCAAAAAGAAAGATTTAAATAAGAGAGTTTATTATATTAAAAAAATTATTAACAAGAGGCTGATACTTGTATGGAATTGAATGCTTAAGTGATTCAACTAGATCAAACAGTTAAACATTAAGAAAAAACAATAATTGATTAGAGGAATGAAATTGAGAGATTAAAATCTATACATATGGAATGTTTAGAGACTACTGAAGAATTAAATCATGAATTAGATTAAGTTAAAAGAATTAATGATTAATTAGATCATTAGCATAGAGATGTATTTATATGATACATTAATAGGTTATGGAAGAATTAGATAAGTTTTCTTTAATAGAAGAATAAGCTGCTTTGAGTAGAGCTAGTAAATATAAGGAATTAAAGACTAAATTAATTTTAGGAACTAAATAATTATAGTAGTTCTAATCTCCATTTAAAAGGTTTTCTACTAATAAAAAATCTTAGCTAAAATAGTATGATTTTTGAAAGTGATTAATTACTATAAATATTTTAATTTTTAACAGCTTTTGAATATGATTGAAATAAGAAGACCATTATCAGAAAAGAATTTAGCTAATAGATCAAGTAAAGAATTACAAAGACCAAATTCATCTAATTCATAATAAAAATAGAATTTATAGACTATGAAAAGTTCAATATAATTACAAAAACAAAATCAAAACTTTTATTCCAAATATTTTAGTACTAAAGATTAAAAAGAAAATATTGAAATTCGTTCAAATTTAGATAGAAATCCATCAACTAAATCAAAATAAACACCTTAAGATTATAAAAAATTGTAAGATAAACTTCTCTATTTGGAAAATAAAATCTCATCAATCAAATCTCATATAGATAATAGTTAAAGATAATCTAAAAATAGTATAGCATCAAAGTTTTTTTCATAAAACACCTAAAATAATTAAAATTCAACATCAGTTTAGAAATCTGTGTAAATTGATATTACAAATAGGGGTTAGAAAGAATAGAAAGAATAAAGAGAATTTACTCCTTAATAATAGAATAAATTAAAATCCAGTACTTTAGTTAATAATAATAATAATAATGAGTATAAAACTTCTATTGAAGGTACAATAATTAAGAAACCAAGTTTATCAACTTTTGTTACTTAAGTAAAAGCTCCCTTATCTGAAAATAAAACTAATTTTAAAAACTTAAAACCTGATTCAGCAAAGGCTGGTAATTCAATTAAAACAAATTTTAAAAGAAAAAATTCTCAAGAAAAAACAGTGGAATCTTCATTTTTATATTACATCTCTTCAATTATTAAAGGATATATGCAACCTGAAATAACAAGACCAATTGAATTAATTAGAGAACATTTGCTTTAAACTATGTAAGCATCCTTGTTCTAAAAGTCTGTTAAAATTGTAACAAATGTTGAAGATAAAAAAATTAATTTACCTAGTACAAATAAAAAAACAATAGTATTTGATTTAGATGAAACTCTAATTCATTGTAATGAATCAATACAAGTTCCAGGAGATGTAATTTTACCAATTAAATTTCCATCTGGAGAAATTATAGAGGTATTTTAAAAAATAATTTTAGGCTTCAATAAATATCAGACCATATGCTTAATAAGTTTTATAAACTCTTAATAAGCATTTTGAAATCATAGTATTTACTGCATCACATTCTTGTTATGCAAATGTAGTTATTGATTATTTAGACCCTAATAAAAATGTGATAGCTCATCGATTCTTCAGAGACAGCTGTATGCAAACTGAAGAAGGTGCTTATATAAAAGATTTAAGAGTAATTGGCAATAGATCTTTAAATGAAATGGTTCTAATTGATAATGCAGCATATTCTTTCTGTCTTTAACCATTAAATGGAATACCTATTATTAATTATTATGATAATAAAATGGATTAAGTATCTTATTATTATGAATATAGGAATTACTTTATCTGTAAAATTATTTGATGTCATTAAGAACAGTTAGAGATGTTAGATAATACAATAGTTAAAATCTTAAATTAGATAAATTTGCTCAATTTACCGATCCTATTGATTTACTGTAATCTCTTCATAAAGATTATATCCCTTGATTAATATCAAAATATATAATTTAATTAAAGTTCTATCTAAATCTTAAAACAAATATAGTTTGTTATTACTATGTAAATTGATGGTTAAAATCTCTTATTTTATATGCATTATTCAATAAATCTAAATAATTAAAAATACCTCATTTTGCTTATGTAAAGAAGATAAGATATGAAGGCTTATCCATAATTCAAAATACTAGTTAATTAAAATCCAAGAATCTATGAAACCTCCTAGATTTAGGGATGAATATAATACCTCAAAAAATAATAAAACTGTTCCTTAGAATATTTAGATCAATCTAAGGATAGGTTGTAATAAAAAACATTTAGCTAAAAGAATATAAAAAGTATAATTTGTATTAATTCATAGGGCGTTATAACTATAAAAAGGAAGCTGTAGTAATGCTATAAAACTTTATGAATAGATAATTTGTTTATAAGGATAAATAACTTTACTTAAATTATTTAAGAGACTCCTAAAATTAAGGATTAGCATAAATATTAAATAATGTAAAAGTGTTAACTTATTTATTGAAAAGACAACTACTAATTCAAAGAGTAATTGAATGAATAGAATCCTATTTTTATAAAATTGAAAAGAATAAGAAACATGTTGTTTCATTTACTCTATCTTACATATGATTTTATGGATTCTATTTTTGTATATTTTTTAAAAATTATATTAAAAGATTTTATTTAACAATGGTATGTATATTTCATCTATAATTCGAAAGCCAAAAGCCCCTAAAACTAATAAATCAAAGAAAATATCTAAAAAGATTGCTGATAGAAAGAAGAATCCTCTTTTTGTTAAAGAAGCTAAGAATTTTAGAATTGGAAATGATGTCCAACCAAAGCGTGATTTATCAAGATATGTGAGATGGCCTCGTTATATTCTACTTCATAGATAAAAAAAGATTTTATTATAAAGAATTAAAGTACCAGCAGCAATTCATTAATTTAGTAAGACACTTGATAAAAACTAAAGTAAATAAAATTATTCTAAAATAGGCTCTAAAGTTTATTCTTTATTGAAAAAATACTCTCCTGAAACAAAGACTGAAAAAAAACAAAGATTAATTAAGGCAGCAGAATAAAAAACTTAAAATTAAAAACCTGATACAAAAAAAGTAAATGTTCTTAAATTTGGATTAAATCATGTGACAACTTTAGTTGAAACAAAAAAAGCTAAATTAGTTCTAATTGCTTATGATGTTGATCCAATTGAATTAGTTGTTTGGTTACCATAATTATGCAGAAGGTAAGAAGTACCATTTGCATTTGTAAAAAGTAAAAATGTAATTTAATAATTTTCTTAGATAAAGCTAGATTGGGTAGTTTGGTTCATCAAAAAACAGCCACTTGTGTTGCATTAACTGAAATAAGAAAAGAAGATTAAGCTGAATTTGATAACTTAGTATAAATTTATATTATTAATTAAGGCTAGAGATTTAAGATAACATTATAATGAGAATCATGAATTATTGAGAACTATTGGAGGAGGTTAAGTAGGAATAAAGTCTAGACATTAATAAGAAGCATTGAAAAAGGCTTTAGAGTTAGAAGAACTCAAAAAAACAAGTTAATGATGATGATGTATATTATTAAAATATCGAAAATATTTGATAAATCAAAATCATTTTTATTTGATATTCCTTTTCACCTAAAAATCATTAAGATCTTCTGCAAAATCATCAAATCGACTCTCTTTAAAAAAATCTACTGGAATATTTAATTTTTGTTATTTCAAACAATCTTGAATAAATTAATTATTCAAAAAAGTCTAATCATATTGCTTAAAAAATTATTCCTCATTTGATTTTAAAGCTTTATCTCTTTTTAGGAATTGATTTTATAGCAAACCTTTCACTCCTATGTTCTTAAGAACATATCTTGACATTATCAATTGATATTATTTATTTTTACAAGAAAAATATTTAATATTTTTTAATAGAAATATTTTAGTTTTTTATTAAGATAATATATTAACTCATTATATTAATTCATATTATAATATATGTTTTTTCTTAAATGAAAAGTCTTATTTTTTCTTTTATTACCATTTCAATTCAAAATCGAAATAAAAAAAAGGTCCTTTTATAACCTTTTCATTTTCCTCCTCCTTCTATAAGAAATAAATTAATAGTTACATATTAAAAATGCTTATCTTTTTTCATCCATAATCCATGTTTAGTATTGTAAATCCATTAATTCTTAATTAATTCTCTCGCTGCCATTTATTATTCAGTTGGTTCTTTATGATAATAAAATACATAGAATAAAGTATCACTACTTAATTGACTGAAAACTGAATGAGGTAACATTTTGTATTTAGGTAACAAACTATTTAAATTCAATTTCTCTTTAAAAGTTGGAGGTTGATAATAATCATTTTTTTAAGGTCTATCGTTGTAACTAAAATCCATCATTTTAATTTTATATGCGGCAGAATTTTGATCAACTAATTAGGCTTATTGAGTTGCAGCTTTCTAATCAAATGGCTCAATCATTTATCTATTGAGTTAGAAGACTCTATCATTCCATGGATTTTGCACAGTTTTTGTTTGATACAACTATATAATTAGCTAAAAAAATTGATATTCCATTTACTTAATTAAATTCTTATTCATGTTCAGGATTATCTATATTTTAATACATGATATCCAAAAGTGAAATCAATTTTTACCATTTCTTTTCCTATAAATATATTATAAACATTTGTTACATCTATTACTAAATACAACATATCCTCACCCAATTATTTTATTTTATCAATTTGATTTTGAAGAGTTTTTAATTTGACTTATCTGTCTTGACCTCCTTAAGTTTTCCTTTTCTAAAATAAGAATATTATTATACTTTCTTAATATCTTGATTAATTTCTTGGGCTCTTTATTCAAGTGCATTAATTTGGTCCTTTAATAATTTTTGACGACTTTAAGTCGAGATGCCTGATTATTAAATCATTAATAAATATTATGAATATTTCAGAATTGTATTGATTGCACCTTTGTTTTGAATACTAATTTTGGAACAACAAGTTTCTCATATATAAATGTGATAGCAGCATTAATTATAGCAATAATACCTAATAAACTAGTCCATGATTCTGGCATAATATATTGATCATCAAAACTTTAAAAAATGAACTAAAATAATAATTATTATATAGTTTACTCCCATAATGTCATCAATATAATCGATTCTCATTAGAAGGAATATAATTGCAAGAATAAATAGAAAGATAGTACTTCCTATGAAATATAGATTGGTATAGAATGGTTTTCGGAAAGGTTTTCCATTTGAATAAGCCAAGGCAATCATCAAATATTGAAAATTGCCAAAAATAAACAAAGTTGTGTTTTCGAAACAAATCTTCATAGAATCATCATTAAGATCATCTTGATTTAATTATTCATTAGGGATAAACCATGATTATCCCAGTAATAATAGATAAACTGCTAATTGGAAGGCTAACTAAATTACAGTTTGTCCAATGACGGATCCCAATACAGAAAAACTAATTAATGAAGATCCAGGCACATATTTATTAATTTTTGCAGCCTAAACTAATCCCATAGTCATACTCAAAGGGAATATAGTAAATAGATCATTATAAAGATATTGATTATCAGTTAAATTTGATTATTTAAGATAAAGAATTGTAACTTGAATGAATTGGATCATAGAATAGAGTGCCATAAATTTGAAACAGCAAAATGAAGTAGTTAAGGCTGCTCTACCTTATGATAATAAAATAGGAACACATGAAATATCTTAGATTTAACTTGTAAATGGTGCAGCAATAGAGGCTTCTGCTTATGATAAAGAAATTCCTGCATCAGCAGTTTTCAAGGCTCCACAATCATTAGCACCATCACCGCAGAACCCTACTAAAGGTTATGATTTATGTTTCTATAATTATTAAATTAGATTGGCTTTCTCTTCTGGTCTCATTCTAGCATACACAATAGTTTTTTCAAGGATGTTATTAAGAGTTGCTTATGATCCAAATTTATTTAAATGCATAAATGCACCACCAGATATGGCCAATACATAATTCTCATGGTCTTTCCATGGTTGTTCTTCCATGAAATCTCCGTCAGTATAAATTTCACTAATATTATCAAGTTAGATGTTCACAGGAGGTGGATCTTCCAGCAAAGATTTATTTTTTACTAAATTTTTAGAGAATGATCTCTAATTTAAGTATTCAAAATCCTATTAAATATCTACATCTTTTTGCATTTCTTCAAGATTGTTAATGATTTTTTGTTATGGTTCCAAAGTATCTTCATTTAATTCATTTTAATTATATTCAAAATCCTTCCAAGATACATAATATTTTCCGTTTAATTTCTTTTCACTCAATTCTCCCAAATAGACTCTCTAATTTTCAATTAATCCACATTATCTAGCTACACTAATAGCAGTTAAAACATTATCCCCTGTAACCATAATAGATCTAATATGAGCATCTTTCAACTACTTAATAATTTTAGTTGTAATTGGTTTTAATTTGTTCTCCATAATAATAAATCCAATAAAGTTTAAATTCAATTCAACTTCATTTCTATCCATATCTATTTATGATATATATTTTTATGCCATTCCTAAAACTCTAAATCCATTTAGAGCATAGAAATCTAAAATCTAATGAAAATTGAATGGAATCGATTCATTATTACATAATTATCTTAATTTCTCAGGAGAACCTTTCATATAAACTTAATATTATTCATTTTCTTTAACAATTACTGACATTCTTTATAATTTAGATGAAAATTCAAATCTCTTTATAATTTCTACATTAATTTTATCATTATTTTTAATTCTTATAATTCCATCTTTTTCTTCAATTAATTCACAGTTTGTAGATTCAAACATTTTCAATTCTAAAGGATCCCCAACTAATTTTCCTTTTACTTATGATAATCCATGACAAGTAGCCATTCCTTTTATAAAATTCACATCAGTATTATTATCTATTTCTGTCACTATTTATGAAAATCTCTGATTCTATATTATTCTAATTCCATACATATCCAAACCTTCTTCTGTTAAAGTTCCTGTTTTATCAAAACACATAATTGTAACTTTACCGCTAATATTCACTTTTTAAGGTGATATACAAAATATTTTAGAACTCTTCAATCTTGCTAAAGCTATGCTTATACCTATTTATAAACATGTTGGCAATGCTGGTGGAACTGTAATTGTTATTAAATCTAAACCTTCATTTATGAATTCCCATGTTGATATTGAATCATCCATTAAATATTCAATCTTATTTGGAACTGTTATTATAAATCCTATTACTGCTAAAATAGCCATTATTCCTACAAATTTCATTGAATCAGCATAAAACTTAAATGAATTTTAAACTGGAAACATTATTGATCTAATTAATTATCCCTTCTAAGTATTAAAAGCAGTTTGAGTTACTAAAGCTATTACTTCAGATCCTTTTGTTTCCATACAAGTTGTTCCTGCGAATAAAGTAAATTATTTTCCTGCATCTTAAGGATCATAAATTTCTTTATTATTTGGAAGCTCTGTTTTTAAAACTGGTATTGATTCTCCTGTTAACATAGCTTCATTAAATATGACCTAACCATTTAATAAAATCGCATCACATGGCATTATCATTCCATCCTTTATTATCAATTTATCACCAGGTACTAAATTTATTGATTCTATTTCTTTAACCTAACCTTCATCTAATATTTAAACTGGAATGTTAAATTTTGATAATTATTATAAGCGATAGAAACTCTTTCTTTATTCATAAAGTGTTATAAATATTGAAATTAATGACGTGAGCAAAATTACTGTTGCATATCGCTAATATTATGCCCAAAACCACAATAAAACAGAACAAAACTACTTTTTCATTAACTTTTACTTAAAATATGTAAAATGGACTCAAGACTTCTTCAATTAAGGTTTTTACAATTCCTTTGTCTGGTATTTCTGTATTATTATATCCAAATATCTCCAGCTACTCATCCCGAATATTCGATTAAACTCTTATATCTTATTACATCATAGTCTGATATTTAGTTTCTATTGGATCGAAACCATATTCACTGTATGAGTATCTATATAATCTATACTCAATAAAAAGACTTCCATCTTTTTAACAATTCGATTTAACCAAGGTTTGAGATTTATCTATAAAGTATTAACATATACCCTTACCTTGTCCAATTATTAAAAAATGAGTCGCTGACTTAGGAACACATTTCTTTGCACGGAAAAATAAGAAAATTCTTAAGTCCCACCTTGTAACTAAATACAGTAAACCACAAGTGATTAAGGACAGAAATGCAAATAATACAGTTTTGAATACTGAAATGCGACAAGATATTATTTCTGATATGAGACCTTCTTATTGGATATTGATTGGATGCTTAAATTAAATCCTATAATTGTGATTTATAAATGGTTATTTCATTTAATTAAAAATGTTAAACTTAAAATAACTTTTAATTGCACTACATCTCATCACAATAATACTTTATTTTAATCGATTGCAATATTCAATCTAAGAGATATTACAACATTAGAGCATCTACTCTTATAAACTTGTAAATGATTATTCTGCTCAATCTATTAAACTTGTTTATTAATCTATTGGAATATCCTTGGCTTTTTACATGATTTTCACAGCCTCTTACATCATTCAATTAATAGTATTGTTTTTCAGAAGTAATAAAAACTTAAATCGATACATATATTATCACATTTATTTATTAATACTCCTTTATACTGTAGGCTAATTAGTATAAATTTATTATTACAATTTTCAAGAAGAATTGACTAAATTAACAGCTTATTAAAATGAGGAAAATAAATAGGATGCTATCAAAGATCTGCAAGAAGAAGGTCAACTTGCATAAACTATTTGGTAATTATATTTTATGTTTACTGTGATCATAATCGTTGTCTTAAAAATTACTTATTTGTATTTTGGATTGCACTAATATGCCTAGTTTATGGAAATCGAATTATGATATTTATATTTATTTTGAATGATTACAAATTATTTTACATCATTAATTCTATATATATTCTCTTCAAGATGTTTTTGTATAATTATAAAAATATAAAAAATCAATAAAACTATTTTAAATATGGATATAAATAATCATATTCATGTGAATAATTATATATGAGTCTATAAAAGAAACATACATTATTAAACTCATTAAAATATTATTTAATATTAAATATTTATTCAATCATTTATTTATCTCCAATCCTCACCTCTCCAACATGCTTCTACTTATTTAATAGTTCTAGGTACATCATTAAGTATTTCTGGACCATTGGCTGTCAATAATATATCATCCTCTAATCTGACTCCTCCAACATGCATAAATTCTTGTATTCTTTCTTTATTTAGAAATTTCATTTTATTAGGATCTTTGTAAGCTTCTTATAAGATAAATTCAATAAAATAGATTCCAGGTTCATTTGTAAATATCATTCCTACATCTAAATCTCTACGAAATTATAATTAAGACAATTCTAAATTATTAAAATTAAAAAATACCAGGCAATTTTGGAGGAGCACCCTTATTATAACCACCTACATCATGAGTTCTCAATCCCAACATATGGCCTAATCCATGTGGGAAAAATAATCTACAAATACTATTTTTTATAAGATCTTCCATTTATCCTTTAATCAATCCTGCATTAAATAAATGTTTAGTTATTGTTCTTTCAGCTAATAATTACATATCTCCCCAATTTACTCCTACTTTCAAAGAATTATGAACTTATTTTTAAGTATCAAGTACAGCATTATAAATTATAGCTTACTTCTATGTAAATCTTCCATCACTAGGAAAAGTCACAGTAATATCACTGCAATATCCATAAAATTTACCACCCATATCATTTAATATTAATTCTCTCTCCTGTATTGTTTTTTAATTCTCTTCATAATGCAAGACAGAACCATTTGTTCCTGATGCACAAATACATTCATAAGGTGTGAAACGACAACCATGATTGATAAATGTATGATATTAGTATAAAGCTTCCATTTAGTATTCTTTATTGCCTTTTCTAATATTCTTGATGACCAATTCATGAGCCTCACTACTAATTTTACAAATGTATCTCATAATATCTTATTCTTATTGAGTCTTTCTAACTCTACATTCTGTAAGGATATAATATAATTCATCATAATCTGAATTGTAATTTTATAAAAAAGGGAAATCAGGTATAGGTAAAGAGTGATGAGAATAATCATCTATTCCATAAAAATAATAAATTAATGAAGGTTTTCTATTACTTAACCATGATTCTATCTCTTCATTATAAAATACATCATCTAATTTAAATTTTTATTTGATTTCATCATTATTCAAAACAACATTCCACATTTTATAATTGGAATCATATTAAGGTACAAATACAATGGATTTTGCATTATCAACATCTATTATTGCATAACAATTTAAAAAATCAACTCCGAACAAATAATGGAAATTACTCTCTTATTCTACTCTATATTATTAATCTAAAATATTAGTTTTCAATTACCTTCATCGTGTTTATTTATTTTTTCAGCTCCTTTTAACATAATGACACTATTTCTTGCTTTATCCCCTACCGTATAACGAAAGAAGTTTAAGAATCTAGTTCTAATGTTCTGATGAAAATCTTCAGGAATCACATATTCTTATGGAAATGGTATTGGATCTGTATTCATTTGATAATTTATATTATGTCATCCTGATTAATTTATTGTGTAATTTTCAATGTCATTTATAATTTTTTTCATTTCTCACTTTCTCCTATCTATTTATTGTTGCTAAAACTTTTCTACATTAACACTTATATTATATAAAATAAAAGCTCATAACTGCCAAAGCTCTGACAACCCTAGACTCTAAGGAAATCAAACAATTATATGAGTTTAATACTAATTAACATTGAGTCAATAAATATTAACATAATGGCAATAATATTCATAATTAAGAAGCTACATTTAGTTAACAAAATATAAATAAATAAAATAATCTTAAAAGCATTGAAATAAAATTGTTTACAATTACAATTTAAAAGACCTAAGAAAAAGTAATGATATGAATGATGTTTATAAATTTTATTTAAAACCATTTTTGTATGATAAAAATTAAATATTTCCCAGTATTGAATAAAATCATTTACATATTAATAAATTTTAGAAACTAAGTAAAATCACTCTTCATTTATTAATCTATTTAATTTATTTTACGTAATAGCTCTATACGGAGAGTAAATTCGATTGAATAAAAACGCTGGTATCAAATTAGCAATTGGAAAATATATTAATTCATAAAAGAACCAATTAAGACCATCTGGTGTTGAACATGGATATTACACATTATCATCCCCATATTTCAATATTTTTACTAAATTAATTTCTTGAATCATAAGTAAGATGTTCCATAAGATTCTAAAACTTAAGGCACATGATAAGAAGATAATGCTTATAAATACCTTAATTTATATAATGAAATATTACTCTACGTTTTGTTAACTCTGGTATTTCGTTTTAAGTTCTAATAATGTATTTCTAGAATAAATATGAAGCAACTAGAAATAATATAAGCACCAAAGTTGAAATAATAGACACAATCAGACTTACTACACTAAGATTATAAATAAATTTACCTTTTTACTTAAATAAAATAAAATAGACAAACAAGAAGATTCATAAGAATTATTAATACTTCGATTATGGCATAATTTTTAACAAAATCAAAAATTTAACTTGAAATATTTAATTTTAGACAGACCAATTGTCCCCTTTAGATTTAATAATACATTTTACCATATGACTGTTGATCTCCAACAACAAATATATAATGATGTCATATAAGTTACATTGCAAATTAAATAAATCATAGGAAAAATAAAGTAATTATTGGTTTCACAATTGTCAATGAATGCAAAACCTACACATTCAATAAAATAAGAAAAGGTTTGAGCGCATACATTTACTAATAAAAGTCGTTTAATAATCAACATATCAACTTTTTCTTATTATCTCTAAATGTAGATTCTTTTTGTAGTTTAGTAATCCCTCCAAATTAGCCAAAATAATCCTAATCCTATTAATGTAAAAAGAATAAGTAAAAGGCACTCTTATAAATTAGTTACATCTATTAACTCCTAAACCATATAATCAGATTTTTTCATTAATTTATATTAAAATCAATATTATTCATTTCTTCTTCCATTAAATTAAATTTCTTAAAATCTTAACATTATTCATTTTCGATGAATTCTAAAATCAACGACAAACTTTATTTCTTTTTTGAATTAAGTGGCAAAATTAAAAGAATTATTCTAACAAAATTGATATAATAAAATCATTTAATGTTCTGTTTTAACATAAACCAAATATAAAGACTTAATTTAAAAGAGCAGTAATAATGATAAAATTATGAAACAGAATTGGTAAACATTAACATTAGGTTGCTTAAATTATTATTTTTAAGAGTGTGAATAAATACAATAATAATAAGGAACCAATCTAGTAACATAAATTTATATAAATAGAGTTTTTTGTGTAGTAATTGAAATTTGAACTAACTTAAGTATATATAAATAATTATTATTATTGAGTGATGTCTAAATCATCTAAGTCCAGTCGTATTAAAATGTTTCTATTAAGTAGGGAGCAGTCCATCCAAGAGTTAACATTAGAGTCCAAGTCCAAAATCGAAATCAAATTCACATCCAAATTAAGGTTAATCACACATCATATATCAACATTCAAAATACCTCACTATCAACTACTTCAACATTATCAACATATAGAAAAATTATGCCTCCATGTCTCCAATTTGTCCAAGCGAGTTACCGATGCCGAGTTGAAAGAAACCTTCGAGAAGTATGGCCAAATTGAATATGCCACGGTCTGTATGGAGCCCCGAAGTAAGGGGTAGTAATCTCTTTATCGCTAATTTATCTTAGTCCTGGCAAAGTATCTAGAGGTTTTGGATTTGTGAAATTTTCCAAAAAGGAAAGTGTCCAAATAGCCCTAGAGTCAATGCAAGACAAAGAATTACATGGATCAAAAATTAAAGTCGAAGTTTCCAAAAGAGCAGAGCCAAGACGAAAAACCCCAGGTCGATATGCTGGATATGCATATCGTCGCTCTCGATCCAGATCACATAGAAGAAGAAGATCCATCTCATCTGACTCTTATTCAAGTAGTCGGAGAAGACATCATAGGCATTAATTCAATTTATATTTCTAGTCGTCGACGACATTATAAAAGAAGATCCATTTCAAAATCCCCTTCAAGAAGTCCAAGTTTGAGTCATAGAAGGAGAAGAAGATGAACAATTAGATAATATTTCAAATTATCACAATATCATGTTATCTTTATACATTCCTACTATACCTTGGTTCTCTTGTACATTTTAATACTCCAAAAAAAAGTTCGCAGTTATATAATATTAATTTTTTTAAAATCTTCAATAATACAAAATTAATTCTTTTCTTTTTCTATAATATTAGAATTTATATAATTTTATATCACTATTTTCCTATATAATCAAAGATCACTATAACTAAATAAAATCAAATTAAATTTTTAAAAAATTATTAATAATCTGTAATATGAAATCATTATAACTTGATTCATGAACAAAAATTTTTTTTTTTCTTTCCTATTCATTGAGTCTCTAACTAATAGTTTGTTTCATAAACGTTAATTATTAAGCTGTTTTATATTAGTATTTCTAAACAAGCTCATTCCATTTTTTTAAAAACACGTTAATTAAAGAAATATGATTTAGAGTGTTTTCAAATTGAAGTTAATGTAATTACATACAATCCTAACTATCTATGAGTGAAAATAACAAAGAAAGAAAGCTTTATTGTGTTTAAACCAAAAAAATTAATAGTCTTAATTACAATGATAAATGAACTATAAAAATTATAATAAAATTTAGAAAATATCTTGTTTATTTCTTCTTATTTAATGAGAATTTGTGAAAAAAATTAGATGAATATGGACAGTTGCATCTTGAAGAGTTGAAATTCAGTAATTTTTACAAAAAAGTTGCTTTTTCGATATGTTAGAAATCGAGGAATATTGTGGAAGTAGTTATAAAAGATTTTCTGGATTATATAGATTATAGATATGAGATTTGAAATAGTCTTGAATTGATGGAAAGAATGTTTGAAATGATGATAAAAATTTAAATATTATAAAATTTTTATAAAAAATAGTTAATTTTTATAATAATTTAGAATAAAAGTGCATCATTTTAGAATGACATACTATTAGTTTGAATTATGATATTTGAGTTTATGAGGTTTTATAATAATTAGCAATAAGATATATTTTTTTTAAATAAAAGATTATAAAAAAAATGGAGTAATAAGATGTTTCATAAAATGCATCAAATAACTTGACTGGATTGGTCACAGTGCATGGAGGGAATGAATAAAACAAATTACTACATAAAATGAGTGATTAAAGCAGTCCTATGAAGACAGACATTTAGATTAATTCTAATAAGGAGCTTTATACAGAGGAAGAAATGAAGAACTTTACAAAAAGGGGAATAATCTCGTTGATAGGAGGTGTAATTTTACACTTAGAATTGGGAACATTTTATGTTTGGGGATCAATTAGTAATAAATAAAAATAATTATATTTTCAGGTCCTTATGTAGCAGCATGGATGAGAGAAAAAGACAAAGGAGTAACACTAAATTTCATGGCAATCATATTTCCAATCTTAGGAGTAATAACAATGTCAGTCCTTTCATTTGGTATAAAGATTGCAGAGAAAATTGGATTTAAGATAACAATAGGAATAGGATCATTTACTATAGCATTAGCTTTCTTGATTATATCGTTTATATAAGAAATAGGAGGATTTATAGCAGTTTATTGTATAATGGTTGGCATTTCTGGAGGTTTATTGTATATGCTTCCAATAATTTGTGGATGGAGATACTTTCCAAATAGAAGAGGATTAGTATCAGGAATGACAATTGGTGGATATGGATTTGGGTCATTTATATTCAATTTTGTATGCAAAGCAATAGCAAATCCAAATAATTTGAAGCCTACAGTAATAGAAGTAGAAGATGGAAAAGATGTGAAATACTTTGACAATGAAGTAGGAGATAAAGTACCATTAATGTTACAAGTTCTTGCAGCAAGTTATCTAGGATTGGGCATTATAGCAACTATAATGATTAGATTTCCATCTGAAATAGACCCTGATAAGATGTTAGCTACATTAGAGGCAGAAGAAATAAAAAAAAGAAAAGAAGGTGCTGCTGCTCCTCCTCCTCCAGTTTTACCAGCCCATAAAGAATGTGTTGAAGTGTAAGATATAATATTTAATATTTAGTTCTCGAGGAATGAAACATCCATCTTTTGTAATTCTCCAATTGATTGTTTTGATGTCTTGCACTTTTGGTATGTTGATATCTAATTGCTACAAATATTATGGATTAGAATTGGGAATTGATGATGCTACATTAACAGCTACAGGTTCTGTTGCAGGAGTAATGAATGGATCATCTAGATTCTTTTGGGCTACTCTAACCGATAAGACTTCATACAAATTTACATTTACACTCATATCAATTCTTAATCTCATTACGACTGCTATTTTACCATACAATACAGATGGAATAGGCTATCTCTTATTGATTGCTATTGTCTATCTTGCAGAAGGAGGATTATTGGCTACTTATCCAGTTATTTGTGCAAAAATCTATGGAAAGAAGATTGGAGGTCTAATGTATGGATTTATGTTTTTCTTTGTTGGTGTATCAAATATGATTGGATACATCTTATATGCATTTGCTAGAAAAAAAATTAAATGGGAAGGTGTCTTTTGGATTTGTTTTGCATTAAATGTTATTGGAATTGTTTTAGGTCTCATTCTTAAAGAAGTAGGATATGATTGGAGAGATTAATCAGTCATTGATGCAGAAAAAGAAAAAGAGAGAGAGCTCTAAAATAAGGGATAATTGGCTGCATTCTAAAATTGAATTAGTATTATTTTTTGGTTTCTTTTTATTTAAGACTACTCATGTCTAAATGTTTATTTTTTTTCAAACTAAATTACTTATTTATTAATTATTTTCAATCCGATATAAAACATTTTGCAAATGGATAAAAATGAAGAATCGATCTTCACATCCCAGTTTTGGAGGGAGATAAATGAATAATATTTCATTGTCCAATCTCCAGTTCATATTACAGATATCGATATTCCTAAAAGCAAATGTATTATCATTGTTGATTAGAATAGCTAGAAATTGCTAAAAATCAAAAAGTCTAAATCTCTTAAGCAAGATTGTTAGATAGAACAATCGAACTAAGCTATTTTAAACAAACCTAAATAATTTAAAAACAAGAGTATAATTGCTTTTCCTTCAAAGACAATTATCGAAAGAACCAATTTAAAATTTAATGGATGAAATGATAGACTAAATTTGTTTTGATCATTTAACAGCTGGATTATAAGAAGCTCAAAAATTAATTATGAATGTCTCACATAATCAAGAATCATAACAATTACAAATATATAATCAAGAAGCAAATTTATTATCAAAATTAATGTATCAAATTGATTGTCCTGATGAATTAAGTATCCAAATAGAGCAACATCAATAATAACTTAATGAATTAACAATCTATAATAAAGATCAATTATAAAAGTATTTACTATTCCTATTTATATTAGTTTAGAATAACACACAAATTAGATAAACTTAACTGTATTGTATACTTATAATAGCTAATAAATTGGAGAATAAAAATTGAAATTGACAAGAAGTAGAATGACAAATCATTAAAATGAATTAAATTCACTAAAATAACTTATAATCTCCTTACAAGATTATTAAGTAGCTGAGAGTATTGGGAAAGCAACCTTTAATGAAGACAGTAATTATTATATTGATCTTTATTAGATAATACAGTTTGTGTTATCTTTGATAAGTACTTGAGTCAAACTCCAATCCCTTTAAGTTTAGAGGATTTCGGTAATCTTCAAAGATTGCGAGAATAACCATTTGATTTAAATACTCAACCATGTTAACTTAGATCTGATGTAAATCTAAGAGTATTAGTATAGAATGTTTTTGAAATGTAAATGTGTCATTATTGCAAATAAATGGTTGAAATCAAAAATCTCAAATAGTGTCAATATAATCATTATTCTATGGGTTTGCATGAATACAACGAAGATTTATTAATTTGTTAAAGATATTAAATTAATAACAAATAAACGCAATAATATTTTCTAGATTTATATTCTGAGAATTATATAATTGAAGGTATATCATTAATTAAATCTTAGATTAATAAATTCTTTGCCAAAGATACTTTTGTTTGAAATGTTTGAAATATGATTTTGACTCTTATGAATTAAATTCTTATTTATGGATTTGTCCTTTGTGCAAAGTACTATATAATTAATATACAAAAGGGTCTATGCACTTGTTTAAGATGTTCAAGAAATGATATGATTTACAAGTTAAAAAGACAATTCCTAGAGCTAGATGGAGATTTAGAAGACATTTACAAATAGTCCTATTTGGAAATTTTAGTAAAAGACAAAAGATAGCAGTTGCAAAATATACCATTTTTAGACTTTCTTAAAATTTCAAAAAATGAATATGAAAAAACCATATCCAAAAAGATTAATTTGAGATAAACTCAAATCAATTCAATAAAGAAAAATATCAAAAAAGACAATTCAAAAATAGTTAAAAAATTTCATAAGCTTTATCAATAAGATAGTTCATCATCATCAATAAAAATAAAGAGATCTAAAGAAACAACTTAGAATACAATTAGTAGCCTAGATTCAATTAATTCACAAGTGTTTATCTAATGATTTTAAAATTCTTTTGTAGTTACTTCTGAAGAAAATTTAGAATATTCTCAAATATAATTCTAATTTATTTAATATATTATATATGATATTTATCTATTTTTTATGAATATTTTTTAAACATAGAAAATTACTATACTTTTGATAAAAAAAGGCATACTATTTAAAAACAAGAACATACAAGTGTAAAATAATATTGTGGCTGAATGTAGTAATTAGAAAATCATATTTACTTTTAATTAATGCTGGCTATTTATACTGAAATTTAAAGCAACTATAAAATATTCAATATCATATGAAAAATTCCATTTTGTTTATATCTATTTACATAGTAGGAATAGCAGGAATGTTCTGTAGCTATTATCCCTTAGATCCAGTTGCTTGCGTATAAAAGACTCAAGGAATTGCATGTAAATTTGGTTTGAGAATATTTCTAGGTCGATTTAGTCTTTTTGAAAATCAATGTATTGAGGTGAAAAGTAATTAATTAGGATGTGATCCTACTTTGAATTTGTAAGCTTGCATGTTGTAGAAATAAAATTCGAGTGGAAAAGAAGTTAAATGTAATTATCTAGATATATTGTGTAAGGCTACTTTGGAAAGAAATGCATTGATGCTAATGAATTTCATTTAAGACATTTAGAATGTAAAGATAACTTTTCTATATATGGTTGTGTAAATATACAATAAAAATAATGTTATTGGAATGGATTAACCTGTTCATAATTTTAAGGACCTATTCCTTCAGAAAATGATTGTACCAAAATTTTCAGAACATCGGTTGCCCCTGAACTATGTTCCCAGATTTAAGACATCCCATGTAAGTTATATGATTAAATGCTGCTAGGTTATAATAACGGATTTAATGGTGGATATATTTGTGAAAATGTGACTGATAGCATGTTATAAGTGATAAGTTGTGATGTTTAAGGGCTGAACTAAGTAGCCTGCACTTCAATTAAGACTCCTGGATAGAAATGTAAATATTGCTTTGACTTTTAGGCATTTTTTAACATGGAATATGTAGAAATTTCGAGCAAACGGATGAAATTAGCTGTTTATAACTTTTAAATGAAGAAGCCTGCCTTAGAATTTCTAACCCAGCTGTTAAATGTGCATGGAGATAGACTGGATGTTAGATCTATGATGTTAAGAATGATACTAAATGTTCAGATGTTTCAAATATAAATCCAAGTGTTTGTATGGCTATATAAGAATTGTGCTAATATGATAAATAGACAAAATCATGCAAACCTATAACAGGATTGACTAAAGTAAGTTGTCAAACAAAAGGATTAAGCAAAAGTTCATGTATGAAGATAATGGATGAAAAATGTAAAATATTATAATTAATTCTAGGTATATTTAATGAAGTATTTGGGTGTCTTGAATTAACTGAGGAACAATTAAATATGGCTTTATGTTTAGATGACATTAATGAGATGGCATGTATTAATATAACTACTCCTTATTAAAATTGTTAATGGAATGGTGAGAAATGTCAGAGAATAATAATCAACTAAGATTTAGACTGTCCACTACCATTAATTAATAATGTAGCATATAAAGTAAATGGAAATGTTTGTTAGTCAATATCAAAGAATGGAGTTGGTTGTAAATACGATTAAACTAATCATTTATGTATAAAGAGTACTGGATATGAAGATTGTTTAACTCCTTTTATAAATTTATTTGCTTGTGTAAGTATTCAATCACAAATATCATGTAAATGGAATGAAGAGGTAGGCCAATGTGAAAATGTAGAAGTTATTGAATTAAAAACAACATGTAGTGAACTAAGATTCTCAAACTTCAAAGCTTGTTCTTAAGTAACTGAATATAAAACTGATAAATTTATTGGTTGTTATTATAATGAAGAAACATCACTTTGTTCAGAGATTAAGTTCACTGATTTAATATAAATGGAGTGTGAATAAAAAGGATTAAATAAACATGGTTGCACAATGATCAGTAAATTAGGATAGAGATGCAGATGGTATAGAAATGAATGTACAAAAATAAAAAGCAAAGAATCTCTGTCTCTTGTAAATTGTATAGAATTACAATTTGTTAATCCAGCTATTTGTGCATTAGTAACAGCAAATTCAGAACCATGCAAATACAACTCTGATGCTTTTGGATGTGTAAATAGTGTAAATTATAGTGACACAGGTGATTTTTGTACTACTCCTGGATTAAATGCTTTTGCATGTTCTCAAATTACAAGAAACAAAACTGGATGTTATTTTGATTAAATAAATAATATTTGTGTGACTGCTCCAGATCGTAAATCATCTTAAGAAATTGATATTATTGCTTCTATTGAATTATTATCAACTGCTAAATGTGTAGCTAGTTCTCCAACATTGAATATATGCATGGCTATTTAAACATTAGGAGAGTCTTGTATTTGGAACACAAGAACATCTAGATGTAATTATAACTCAGTTTAATTAAATGAAAAATGTTTAGATTATAATACACAAGAAAAATAAAAGACTTAACCAGGTGCTTAAGTTTATGTAAATGAAAATGTTTGTGCTAGCATTGTTATGAACTTTGTAATTTTATTAATTTATATTTTTAAGCCTAATTATGATCCTAGTAAAGGCAAGAAGATTGATGTACTAAGAGGTTATTGCTAATATAATGGAAAAGGAAACTGTATATTATATTAAGAGAAACCTTGCACAGAAAAATGTTGTACTAGTGTTTCTGGAATCAATGCACATGTATGCAGTAGATACACAGATTAAACTGCTTATTGTTATTTTAATGAAGTTAATAAATGTGTCGAATTAACCAGTGAATAAACAGATTTAACATCCTAATAAGCAGTTAAAGATTATTATAACTTTATGAAATATAAATGTTCATCAATGAATTCTAAATCTTGCTGGATGATTGAATGGTCTACAAGTTAAAAATGTTATTGGGATGGCTTTGTATGTACATAAATCAATTACAGTGATTATACTACATTTACTGCAACTTTATTTCCACCTACATCATTAAGTAAATATGGATGCTAAGGAGTTGAAGCTATAAAATCTAATTATGCAAAATACTTTAAATATATTGATACAAATTATTGTGCGGTATATTTGGTACCTCCTATGTTAATTGATTGTGAAACACCAGGAGTGAATATTAACTATTGTTTAGGATATTCAAAAAATCTTTATTGTAAATGGAATAAGCAAACATTAGCATGTGAAAGAGTAGAAGATTATTTAACACTTTTAACTTGTGATGAGAATCAAAATGAATTAGCATGTATTTCAAATCCATATGTTCCTTGTGCATTTTTAGATGGATCAGATAAATGTGTATCTAGTCCTAAAGATGTTAAATGCAATGATTTTGCTTTAGCCTCATCACCTTATTATGCTAAAGTAAATGAATAAGCTTGCAGAAATATTACAAAACCGGGATAAATTTGTAAATTCTATGAACCATTAAATTATTGTGTATATTCTTATGACACTTCAACTAATTGCGATTTACCAGGAGTTAATAGTATTGGTTGTTATGCAAACACATAAGGTAATTGTAGATGGGATTCAACATTATTAGAATGTTATGAAGAAAGTGATGAAAATGCTTTAAAAACTTTAAAATGTAATGATAACATAAATTAATTTTTATGTAAAAATTTATTGTCTGATAATTGTGAATGGTCTATTACAGATTTAATTTGTACATAAAAAGAAGCATTAAATAAAGTTAGTTTAAGTAATTTATATAATTCTTAAACTTGTACTAATTTAGTTGGAGGTGGATACTATTTTAGTAATTATAAATGTCTTGAATTAGTAAGTTTAACTAATGATTGCACTTCTAAAATAATGAATAAACATGCATGTTTAACTATGACTAGAAATCATAGATGTTTTTTTGATCCAGCTTAAGAACCTGAATCAAAATGTTAAGAATTCAAAGAAGAATAATTAACTTGTTCATCTGATAAACTTATAAGTATTGAAGTTTGTATGAATCTACCAGCTACTTGTTATTTTGATTTAGAAACATTAACATGTCGACCTGTTGATGTTTCAGAAACTACTAAATGTTCAACCCTTATATAAAATAATTAAATTTTTAATAAACTTGCTTGTTCATCTGTAAGTGAAACTTTAACAGATTCCTCAACTGATGATGAAACAAGAGTATGTACTAGTGATCCTGTTGCTGATAAAGCATAATAATGTTATTTTGAATCATATTGTTAATTTGACATTGTAAATTATGGATGTAAACTTGCTAAAATAGTTAATGCTTAATTTAGTAGTAATCAAAATGGTCAATATTGTTCTTTGGCTCCTCAATCATTTTAATGTACAAACATTAACTCTAAAGCTATTTGTCTTTAATTAGCAGAAGATTGTTATTTTGATATTCAATAAGGTGGTTGTAATGAATATACTACTAATTCTTTCAAAGTTAGATCATGTAATTAATTAAATGGTAATACATGTATGAATAGTAAAACTGAAAATGCTTATTGTAAGAAAGTTCTTTTAGAAAATTATGATTTTACTCCAGGATGTTCAATAGATCCAAATATTACAGATTTATGTGAAGATGATATGTTCCCCTCCTCTGTATGCACTTCAATTATTCCTCTTAAAGCTGATGATTGTGTAATGGCTTCTGAAAATTGCTTTTATAATGGAAGTTAATGTGTCAATCCTACAAGTTCAGATGTTATCACTTGTACAACTCCAGGAGTAAGTAGAAGTCTATGTTTGACTATTGACCATAAATGTGATTTCTCATCAGGAAAATGTACTAATCTCACTATTCCAGTGTTAAAAACTGATAAATCTAATTATTATTATGTCTGTAATGAAGTCAATTATTTGATTACTTAACATAAAGAGTATGCTTGTGGTCAAATATCTACTGTACCATGTAAATTTGCTTAAAACTAGTGTTAAAGAGCATTCTATGATGATTGTGCAAACTTAGTTGGAATTGTATCAAATAAAGTAGCTTGTATTCAATGCTAAAATAAATCAATGATTTATAGTTACACAGAATCTATATGTTAAGAAAAAACTGACTTGAGTTCATCATGTGATACAATTTAAGCTTAAAATACATGTCAATAACAATCTACTAATTGTGAATGGAACGATACTATTGGAAAGTGTCATGTAAATCTACAAAGATTAAATTAAAAAAGTTGTATAAGTCTATCAAATGCTATATTAACAAAATGGGATAGTTCCACTAATGTTTGTGTAAGATTAAGTTAAAATACAGCATTTAATTCAACAGTTTGTGCAGGTTTAGGAAAGAAGAGTTGTTTGACTTCAAAAAGTTCATGTTGGTATGATACAAAAACAGAAAGTTGTATTGATATTGATACAATCCCATTATCATGTAGTGAGATTAATGAAGTTGGTGGATAATAATAACATTGTTTATTATCATTTAAAGAAGCATGCAAATGGGTCAACAATTCATGTGTTTAAGCTAGTCTTGACAGTGATACATGCTCTGTAATGAATAAATTTGGATGTCTTAACACTAAACAAAGAGTTCCATGTGGATGGTCAAATGTTAATGTTGCTTGTATGGCCTACTCTAATTATAATTATTTTGGTTGTAAGAATTATCTATGGAATAATAATTACAATTAAGTTAATCCATATTTTTGTTAATTATTACAAGGTAATGAATCCTGCTTCTATGATTAAAAAACTTATAAATGTACAAATGTTGGTTCAACTGACTTATATTGTAGTAAACATTAAGGAATTAATAAATTGGCTTGTTTAACTCGAACTTTAGATAAATGTAAATTCGATTCCACAATAAATAAATGTGTTCCAACAACCGACACCGATACAAACTGTCATGCATCCTTAAATAAAGTTTCATGTCTATAAGTGCCTAATAAATACTGCAAATTTTATCTCAATGAATGTAGTACATTAACCTTAGCAACTGCAACTATTTATGCCAGACCAGCACCTCCTATAGGATAAACTTACTCAGCTAATACTTGTGTTTATTATAATACTGCTTTTAATGATGCCTTCTTTATTTATGATGATAACAAATAATATTGTGTAGATGCCAATTATCTAAAAGAATATCCTAGAAAATTCATTGCTCTATGTAGATCTACATCAATAAATGAGAGAGTATGTTTAAGAAAAACAATCAATTCTTGTAAATTTTTTATTTTTTATTTTAGGTAAATATGTGGATAATTAATGTTTGGATATTTAAGCAGATGAAATTAAATTAGAAACCTAATGCAATTCTGCTTATAATTGGAAAGCTTGCATTCAAATCAATAATTTTTGCAAATTTTTCCAAGGAAAATGTCAGCTAATTAGTTCAACTGATACTTGTGCTACTTTAGTGTCTACTGCTGCTAATCCTCTTTATGTTGGTCCTTAAGTCTGTGCTTCATTTTCTAATACTTTATGTAAATACGACTAGGAAGATTATGATTGTAAAGCTGCAGCTACTATTAATGAAACCTGTGATACACCAGGATTAAGTAAAAAAGCTTGTTTAGAATCAACAACCAAATCATTTTGCTTATACAATGCAATTACTAATAAATGTGATTTTACTTATGATAATACTCTATCTTGCTAAGATACTTAAACTCCGAAAACTTGGTATCTTAATGTAGCTAGATGTTATTACTTAAGAAAACCAGGAAGTGTAATTAAATTTATTTTAATTTAGACTTGTTAATTTTTAAATGGAGAATGCACAGACTTTCCACAAAATAAATTAGCAGAATGTAATGCTGAAATCAAAACCAATTTAGTAACATGTTCTAAAGCAACTGTGGGATTCTGCTTTTACATTCCAGGCACTAACTTATGTTATAAAGGAACTTAAACTTCAACTAATGCATAAGACTGGAGTAATGGATAATCTTTTAATAAATAAGCATGTTTAAGATATCAACATGCAACGATAAAGATTCCTACAATGTGGGATGATATAAAAGGTTGCTTAGAGGCTAGTAGTAATGATTTAAAGAATTTATAATGCGAATCTCCAATTAATATTTATGCTTGTTTGTTGATTACAAACCCAACATAATTTTGCTAATATGATTCAATTGCATAGAAATGTGTATCTTATAATTACTTAGTACCTCCAGGTTAGATCGGTTCATGTACTACTTTAACAAATGTAAACAGATTTGAATTTTGTTAATATGCAAATAATGATTGTGGTTATAATTCAGCAACTCGTAATTGTTAGATTTTTGCAAAATAAGATTTTACAATAGCTACACCTAGTGATTGTATAAATAGAGGATTTAGTAAGTCTTTTTGTATACAATTTCCATTATGTAGATATAGTGATGAAAGATAATTATGTTATGGTGGTACCATCTTTTGTCAAGATAAATCAATAGAAACATGTTCATCAGTCACTATTGAACCATGTTGGATTGTTAATGATATTTGTACTGGTATTACTTATTCATAATTAAATACTGTTAAATGTTCAGATGTCTTAAATTAAGTTGGATGTACAAGTATTACTAATCCAAGTTAAAAATGTTAATTTAATATATAAACATCGACATGCTAAGAAATTGCATAATTTAATTTAAAATGTACAGATTACATATATGTGAATACATACTCGGTTTGTGAAAATACATTAGATGTACCTTGTAAATATGATTATGTCAATAAATCTTGCAGATAAGTACTTAAGACAGATATTTTCGAATGTGATAGAGGATTAAATGAATAAGCTTGCTTATTATATACTAGACCTTCATTAAAATGTCTATTCAATAATTTCTGTTTTGGTCCTACTTTTGGTGTTAATTAATGCTCTGATTCAATAAATAAAGAAGTTTGTTTAGGATATAAATATTTATGTACTTGGGATTCAGTAAATAAGGTTTGTTAAGATTTTGATATTACTGGTAAAACCTGTTCAAATTTATAAAATGCTCAAACTGTTGTTTCAATTTAAGTCTGTTATAATAGTTAAACAAATTCAGGAGCTTGTGTTTACAATTCCTTAAATAATACATGTAAATTAATTTAACCAGTTGCTTGCCATGAACTAGAAACATAATAATAATGTACCTAAATCTTAGATCTTCCTTGCATATGGGCTAATCATAAATGTTAATTTATTTAATTAAGTACTACCGATACTTGTTAATTTGTAGGAGATATAGGAACAAAAAGAGCTTGTCTTGATGTTATTAGATAAGGTTAAATGTGTTAATATGTGGATTCAACTTGCTAAACCTACTAAGAAAGCTATCAAGATGAAAATTGTAGAGAGAATATTAATAAGATAGCGTGTGTAACATAATAAAGTAGTAAATGTATCTGGATTACTTCTACTCAAGAAGTTTTTATTAATTCAATTAATAAGATTAACTATGTTGCTGGAGTCTGTACTTCATTTACTCCTAATCCTTAATAAGATTGTAATTCTTCGTTAAGTTATGCTTCATGTTTATCTGTTAGTAAATCTGGATCATTTTGCAGATGGTTAAATGGATCCTGCAGATTTATTCCTGTTTCAATTAATCAATCAACCATCTATTATAATACTTATACTTTAGTTAATGTAAATTCATGTGGATTAGTTAATGTAGGAAGAGTCAAATATTCAGAATAATCTAAATCATGTGTAATTATTAATGATGAGGAATTAATTTCGTGTAAATGTGGTTAAGAAACTAAAGGTATTAATTAAAATGCTTGCTTAAGTATTAAAAATCAAAAATGTAAATGGAATGGTCTGATTAAAAAATGTGTTGAATAAAACACTACTTGTGAATTTAGTTGATATGAAATTAATTATATTGTTATTGATTATATTGAATTCATCATTTATTATTAATATTTCATTTTAAAAAAAAATAAATATATTTTGAATAAATTAACTAATTATTCTAATTTATAAGTCTATTTCTTTAATATTATTGAACGTGGGGTAATAGCTCATTTGGTAGAGCGTATGCTTAGCATGCATGAGGCGCTGAGATCGAAGCTCGGTTGCTCCATATTTTTTTATTTATTTTATTTATATATATAATAAAATTATATTCTAACTATATTTTTATAAATTATAAGAAAAATTTGATTATTCATCAATCAATTAATGATTTAATTTAATGTGTTATTTTTTCTATTTCTGAATCCAATCTTTCAATTTAATTAAGCAATCGATAATCATAATCTTTCTCTTTACCTTTTATCTTTTTTTACATTTTGCATAAATTCTTCTATTTCTCCTTTATTTTCTTCTCTATTTCCTTTACTCTCTCGGCATTCTTCTACTGTCTCTTTTAAATAAAATTTTAATTGAAATCATAATCATTTTCTTAATCATTTTCAAATGATTAATTCTATGAACTTATATGTGATTATTCTTTAACTAATTTATTTATAAGCTAATTTTAACGTCTAATCTATATTATTAAATTTATATTATACTTCTTAAATCTGTTACTTATAATCATTTACTAAATTTATGTTATCTTTCAATTAAGTCATCAAAAGATGATGATCTTAATCATCTAATGATACTGATTGAGACATCTCTTAATAACCTCCAACTTCAATCTCTGTATTTCTAATCATAACCAATTATTCTAATTCTGCTATCAAACCCAAAGATTCCTAATATGCTTTTTATTTGCTCAATATTATTTCAAAATTGTATTCCAATTCCAGCTCTAATCGTTTTAAAGCTTTTTAGAGACTTCCAAATATTTTCTCTGCTGAATCTTAAAAAGTCATAGCTGTTAAAATGAGAAAAATTAAAATTATTTAAATTTCCTTTTGAGTTGCTTTATTTTAATATATAAATATTAATTAAGTGATAATTCATTTCAGTATTGAATTGTATTCAAACCTGCCTATATCATACTTTTTTTCCTATCATTTTATTTTGAATAAGATCCCTAACTAAGTATTTAGGATTTTATCAAAGGCTTATCTTTTTATGCATCTAATGATTGAGATTTAGAGCAATAATATTTTTATTATATCTATTGTAAAGGCTCTTTTGTTTAAAAATTACACTCACTATTTTCCAATTTATAGTGACCTAATTATCAAAATGATTCTCTTACATAATGCCTCTTTTGGTATAATAATCAATTAATAATCATTCAAGTTAAAATTTGTTGACCCTGTCTTTGACAAAGAGTGTTATTAATTATTATTTAGTTCTATTTATGATTTTGACATATTTAGATTAGAGCTTGTAGTTGGAGGAGATGCTAATGATGATTTTCTATTATGAAATGCACTAATATTTGTAATTATCTTTGGATCCTTGCTTTTTGGTGTAAAATCACTAGAATAGAGAGACTATTTCTCAGAATCAGAAATTGTATAGGATGCCGTTGTAGCAAGCAATGAGCTAAAACTCTAAAAGGTAGGCAATTTCTCAATGGGATTCCCATTTGATTTTATTATTCCAGTTACTCCTTCCTTCTTATTCATGGTTTGTGTTCTGCCCTTGAATCTAGTTAAAAAATCCATTGATTATTTAATTATGAATGGTTTAAAAGTGATCAATCAAATATTTATATCCATCAAAATTAATTTATTTAGAAGATATAGTTTGAATCATAAATCGTAATGTTTATCTTAAAAATATATACATCCCTCTTTTATTATATTTATGTAATTTATAAAAACTTTAGTTAATAAGTCTGCAGATTAATTAATTTATATTGAAAAATATAAAGTTATTAGCATTTAATACTAAAAATGGAACAAAATTAATTTAATTGTAATAACAATACCCATTAAGAAAGAGTATTATAAATTATATAAAAGATTTAAATATGAATTCTTAAAAGTGTAAATTAGGTATTATGAAAACCAATAGTGTAGACTTATTCATAGAGAATTTATTATAATATTCAAGATAAATCTCAATAATTGATATAATCTATGATTATTTTTCTTTAGACGAATTTCACTTAGAATTAGCTATTATGTTATATAAAGTCAAATGAAATTACAGAATATAAAAATATGCACTTTTGCTAAATTTACAAAATTATATAGATTAAACTAGATTTTACAATTACAATTTAGGTATAATTGGTAATGATAATTAAACTTAATTAGCTAACAAACTTATAAAAGTAGAATAAAATAATCTGAAATACATCAAAATTAGAAGATAGCATAATAATATCTAATAACTTTGGAAAATCACTTCATTATTAAAAAAATTAAAATCCTCTAAATCTCGCCATAATGTTAATTGAATATATATTTAAAACTAAATATAGAAATTACAAAAAATAAAGTTGATCCAATTAAAATATATTGAAACATTTTTAATTTGTATGTTTTACTTGCAACAGGTTATGTGAAATAGATATAGAGATATTTGAGTTGTGTTTAATTTTTTTCGTAGATATATAATGAGTTTAGTAGGTTGGGTTTTGTTTAATTAAGAATAGGTATTTAAATGGTTCTATTAAAATTGATAGAATAATTTGTCTTACAATTTTTGGAATCTATGATATATTTAGATTATTATGAAGTTTAAAATATTAGTATCAATAATTATAAATAATACATAGAATCTGCTGTGTAATGATTTTAATTCAATATAATTTATTAAGTATTTTTCGTTATGAATTAATGTTTGAATAAAAAGAGCAAGGCAATTATAATAAAGTAACCTGATTCTAGCTTTATGAGGGCATTAAATATAAGCAAAAATACAAAATCTAATAACTAAATACCAAAAGAACAGTAATAAATAATCACATAAAGAACATAAAGAACTATAATACCTTCAATGTATTAAACTAAGTTAATATTAAAATAGAAAATCAATATCAAATAAAAATAGTTAAGAAAAGATCAGAGTATACGATGTTTTTAAATAGATTCCTAGAAATAAAAGTTAATCTCATCATAATCATATTAATAAAATGGATGAATCAAGAGATATACTAAAAAAATTAAATTTTTAGAAAAAAATCAATGATGGTAAATATTTTAAGTTTAAATGAAGTAAAGATTGTTAAAAAACATTTAGATATTAAGAACCAATATAAACAACTCATCGTATTGAACTACCACCTTCAAACAAAAAACGATCTTATAGTAATGCTTAACCCTTCGATAAACTATTTAAGATGAATGACAATTCAATTTCTTATATCAAACCACCTTTAGAAACTCAAAGAAAAATCTCAAAAATAAATGCTAATTTAAAATTATAAAGAGAAGATAATATTTTAGATTTATTACTATTGAATACTTGTGAATTAAAAAAAAAACTCTCAAATAAGTCAAGTAATAATAACAGTTTTATTTGTGTAAGACCTGGAAAGCTGCCTAAAGACTTCTTTATTTATAATTAATGATATATGTATAATTTATAATAATAATAATCCAAATTATAAAAAATGTAATTAGTTTAAATGTTAAATAATGAATTAAATTTGTTGGTTAAGAAAGCATACAAGCATAATACATTAAGTAATTTACACATATGTATATTCCTTTTAGCTCCTTTAATATCTTAATTTAGGAAATAAATGATAATAAATTCTAGACTTACAGTACGAAACAAGAGTAAATAAGAAAATATCAGATAAGCATCAACAATTTAAACAATTCAATAGATGAAAAGCAATTAATTTAGTGGACGAAATAGCTCAAAATTGGGAAGCTCTATTTTAATTGTTAAATAAGAAAGAAGAAATACATCATCTCCTTAAAAAATTATGCGTATGCTGTCACTTTATTAAAATGAAAACATATCAAAACTATCTGATATCTTAGCTGAAATTAGTAAAATAGATTTAGAAACCGATATTAAGCATAAGAGTTAAACCTTATAATTAAGAAATATCAGAATAAATAAATAACAATTTACCAAATTTTTGGAAAGAATTTACCCAAAAATTATATGTGATTAAATTGCTAAATCTTTGAAAATTCCATAAGTATTAAATGCTTAAGAATATAAATAATTGATTGAAAAATTAGAAAATTTAGATTTAAAATAGTAAATTCGGCTATGCTTTTTAATTTATGATTTCAATAATTAAGGATACATAACAACGCATGATTTAGTAGAAATATATAAAAATAATAATAATTAAGCAATTGAAATGGATTTATTACATATGATCAAATCAACTAAAACATAAATATCAAATTAAATTAATAATGACATTCAATAAAGTAATTCTATTCTACTCCCATCAAATTTACTTAAAGTTAAATTAGATAAGAGTGTCATTTTATAATAAAGAAGATAATCATTAATACTTCATGATTAAAGAGTTCGATGTATGACTCGAATTAGTTAAAGAAATTCATTTGATTTAACTTAAGAGATAGAGTAAGATACCATTTAATAAAACAAGAATTTAACACCAATTCAAAAAGTAGTTTTGATTACTTAAATTACTAAAATGGAATAAAATAATAATTCAACAGATAATTTGATCTAAGACTTATAAAATTATAAAACTGAAAAATAAAAAAATAGGATTCAGGTTAATAAGGATGATAATAAGATCAAAACAGACTTAAATGCATTTATTAATATATGGTTTCCAAATAAGCCCAATTTATTTTAAGATATTATAAAAACTCTTACTGAGAAAAATTGATTTAATGATATTTATTTGATTATTAAAATTAGTAGATTTTTTAAAAAATCTTGAAAAATATCATTTAAGAAATTGAAATTTTTTGAAATAAAAATTTTAATGGATCATAATGAAAATATATTATATCCAGTATTTCTAATTCTTTTATGATTGTGTGAATGGAAAAGAATTCTAAATTTTTATGATATAAATTTTTGTGAGAATGGATTTGATTAATATTAATTAAAATATTTAATGTTTATTATTGAAATGTTATAAGATAAAAACTATTGAAAGAAAATGTGTATATGTTTGATAATATCATAGATTTTGAAACATTAATTAAAATCCAGAAAATGGTGATTGTACAAATAAATCTAACTAAAAATTCATTATTATCATAAATCTTATTGTTGACTTTTGGAATACATTTTTCTTGAATTGGATTAAACTGATATTTCATTTTTACTAAAATTAGAAATTCCCATTTCTTATTCTAATTCATTCAAAGAAACTTCTTATTTCTAATCGATTTCTAAAAATAGAAAAAAATAATATACATTCTTTATCATCATCTTCATTTTCTTGATCCATATCAGGATAAAATGAGAAAGGAACATCATGAAAATGTATACCTGGAGCATTTTCAATATGTGATAGGTAATCATAAACAGTAGCAACAATTTTATTTAAATCTTCAGTTTTATTTCTATTTTCAACATTTTATTTAATTGGAAAATGCAATAAATAATCTGGTGAATAATTATCATAATAAATATCATTAGATGGTATAGCCTAGATAATATATAATAATACTTCATCAATTTATTGACCCAAAGCTATTCCTGTTTCATATGCCCAACATCTGGAAACATTTTATATTGTATATCCTCCACCTCCAAGTAAAATCATCGGAATACCAAATGATTTCATATACTTTACACATGCTCCATGACCTCTGTTTATTAATTAATAAAATGATATACCTTATTGATAAATTAAATCCTCCTAATTTATCTAATGATAGAGAATCTGCTCCACATTGCATAACAATACAATCAGGTCTAAAAATTTACATTACCCTGCTTGTAATTTTTTTAAACATCTCTAAATAAGGTTCATCAGACATACCAGGTTTCATTGGTACATTAACTGAATAATATCTACCAACTCCAACACCAACAGAATTCAATTATCCTGTTCCTGGATAAAAATCATCTCCATATTAATGAAATGATAATGTCATAACTCTATTTGTTAAATAAAATGCTTCTTCTACACCATCTCCATGATGACAATCAATATCAACATATAATACTCTCACATATACTCTAAGCAATTCTAAAATACATAAGACTATATCATTTATATAACAAAATCCACTTGCTTCTTTCTTTTTTGCATGATGTAATCCACCAGACCAATTTATTGCTATATCAGCTTAACCAGTTAAAATAGAATGTGCACAATCTATACTTGCACCTGAACTTAATTAACAATAAGAAAACAATCCAGAAAATGTTGGATTATCTGGTGAATCACCTACTTTAAATTCTGAATTTTCAGTCTTTATTTTTTATTATTAACTCCATTTTATTATTAATTTAAATTCTTCCAATAAATTTTCTGGTATTACACATTCATTATTTGCTGAACAATACTCCTTTACAAAATTTATCTTATTTTAACTCATGAATTAACTCAGATAAATGATATAATCAGGATCATGAAATTTTCTTATTTCTTGTAATTATGCTTCCCTTATTAAATAAACATCCATCTATCGAAAAAGACTTTATTTATAATACTTTATTTCTACCCATAATTCACTATCAAATTGTGTGCCATTATTATTCTCTTTGGTTTCATTGGATGTTCTTTGCCATAATGAAATTTTCCTATAAATCGATTATAAAAGTAAGCCACTCTATTACTTGAATCTGATTCTGTCTATATCATTTATTAAAATAATTTATTAATAATAATAATTAATATAATCTTTTTTTTTCAACTCTAATATCCAATTATACTATTATATTCTAAGAACAAATTATGATTTTATAATATATTAAATGTTACATTCTTAATAATATTAAAATAAAAAAAAGATTACAAAATTTTATATCTTGATTAATATAATATTTAAAAGATATCTAATTTTAAAATTGTCATTTTTTTAATTTCAAAACAACAAACTTTTAATCAATTTTGTATTTCATTATTTACATTATCTTTTTTCGAGATGTTCATTAAATATTCTAAATTATATATATTAATTTACCTATCTCCAAATAATTTATTATACTCTATCCTTTACTATAGATTTATTTAAATTCTGTTTATTTCTTTACAAAATCAATATCATTATATTTTGAATCTAATATAGCAGATTGAATTTTTTCAAAAATACTAAATTATTAATATTTTTATCTAGTAAGTGAGATTCTATCTTAAACTTTAGAAGTACACATAATAGGATCTGAACTCTTTCTATCTAATATAGTATTAAATTCAGATTTTCCAGTATCAGAATATGTGTCAGTCTTTATTTTTACTAAATTTTACGGTTACTAAAAAGAACTGTTGAAAGTGGACACTGTTTCAATATTACTATTTGATTTGTTATTCATTATCAAGTCTACTATATCAATATTTGTATCTTCTCCTAAACATTTTTCTTTAATCTGCTCTAGAATTATTGTAGATGCCATGCTTTTTTCTTGACTACCTAAAATTTTTAGTTTTCTATTTTCAGGGGCATATAAATCAACTTTTGGTTATAGTTTTACAGGTTTTTATTCAATATTTTATGTTTGTTGAATCTTTTAGATATTAGATATCTCGTTTTGATTTTCAATTACTAAAATTTTTGCTTTAAAAGGGATAGAATTAAGACATTAAATTATATAATTTCCCTTTTTTGTGAACTTATAAATAAATGTTTGATTCTCATATAAAGGAGGTGTTTCTATTTCTTCTTCTTCTTATTATTAATCAGCTTATGAAATTGCTAAAATAAAATATCTATCTTAACAATAAATCTGACTATTTGATTAAATTTTAAGAACTTTGATTGTTAAAACATTGTCAAGTGAGATTATTAATGATTAAGGAATAAATTAGAAATTTTTGATTTCTAATAACATTAAATTAAATATATAATCAATTCTTGAATTGTGGTGATTCCGATGGAAACAAACTCTTTTAACATTTTAAACCTTTCATCAACAATTAAGTAAATTATGAAGTCTTGTCTGGAATTCTTACAACTTGTTAATCTTTCATAATCACTTAATCTTCATCAATTGAATTATTAGTTTCACAAGTTTAGAACAAGTTTTCTTAGAAATTATTAATAAATTGAGGTTTTTCTGAAATATTATTGAATTCTTTCATTTCATAAAAATCCTCTTTATTTTAGAATGAAATATATAATGACAAATATGTTTACAAAGATTATTGTAATTATTTACATAAAAAGTGATTCTATTATGTAAAGTTATCATGTAATGATTTGAATTGATTCATTACAATATCTTATTAAGTTAACTACTAAACAAAAATTGAATGTTCTTTAAATCTCTTCTAATAGATTAACATAATATCATTAAATGGTCCCATAGCCATATATTCTATTATATTAAACTCATTTTAAAGAATATCTTCTTCCATTTTTTTTAAAGATTCAATTGTAGAACGAATTTAGCATTGTTCAGCATTTATACACTTTTCAATTTGTTTAAGAACTTCACTCTAAATTACTATATTGTAATTAATACCTTTAATTATAATAATTATTAGATAGTTTCATCAAATATATTCTCTATACAATGCTACATATCAGAGATTCTTACACTCTCCAAATTTTACTTTGTATGTTAAATTAACTATTTAAATTAGATTATCTATTCATGTCTAATCTCTTTCTCTCTTAATTCAGGACTCTAAGTATTCTAGTACGTAAATTTATTCATTTTTATACAGTGTATGTTGATAATGAAATAGTCTTAACTTTTGGAGATGGATGAATTGTCTAGTTTAATGAATTATATTAATTTGTATTCATTCTTTTCTCTTCATTACCTTCATCTTATATTATCTTCAATACCTATACAATTATTAAAATTTAGTTTCACTCCAGTATAGCTATTCTATTATGTTAATATTGGATTTGTTCTATTTTATATTTTCATTAATGATTTCAGTATTTAACTTTCTTTTTTTATAATAATCTTATGTACAATTATGTAGTTTCTAATCTGATGCTTATGTTGATATGTTTTTCTTTGGTTAATTTGGAGTTTAATGTTACATCTCATTTAACAAAGATCTGTTTGAATAAGAATTCTTTTCTAAAGAGGATGTCTTTTGTTTACTCTTGTTCAAATATGAATATTTTTAATTCTGAATTGTTTTCATGTTTTCTTTCATTAATGGACTCTTCCGCATTAAAATATATTTTTAACAACTTTTTTTATTAATTAATTATGTAATTAGAAATTTATAAAGATAGAACCTTATCTAATGATAATACTTAATAAATTAAAGTAGCTGAAATATTATAATCTCTGGTACAATATATAAATGATCTCACAGAAATTGTTAATCAAATTAAATTACAAAATTAAGCAGAATTTATAATTGCTTACTAAAGTCATATGAAAAAAATTAAGGCTGAATTAAAAGAATTAAAAAACAAAACTGAACAATAAAGAAATAATATGTTATAGAATTAAGTTAAAATAAATCAAAATGACAATGAATTGGTAAATTTTTATTTGNTTCAGCATTTATACACTTTTCAATTTGTTTAAGAACTTCACTCTAAATTACTATATTGTAATTAATACCTTTAATTATAATAATTATTAGATAGTTTCATCAAATATATTCTCTATACAATGCTACATATCAGAGATTCTTACACTCTCCAAATTTTACTTTGTATGTTAAATTAACTATTTAAATTAGATTATCTATTCATGTCTAATCTCTTTCTCTCTTAATTCAGGACTCTAAGTATTCTAGTACGTAAATTTATTCATTTTTATACAGTGTATGTTGATAATGAAATAGTCTTAACTTTTGGAGATGGATGAATTGTCTAGTTTAATGAATTATATTAATTTGTATTCATTCTTTTCTCTTCATTACCTTCATCTTATATTATCTTCAATACCTATACAATTATTAAAATTTAGTTTCACTCCAGTATAGCTATTCTATTATGTTAATATTGGATTTGTTCTATTTTATATTTTCATTAATGATTTCAGTATTTAACTTTCTTTTTTTATAATAATCTTATGTACAATTATGTAGTTTCTAATCTGATGCTTATGTTGATATGTTTTTCTTTGGTTAATTTGGAGTTTAATGTTACATCTCATTTAACAAAGATCTGTTTGAATAAGAATTCTTTTCTAAAGAGGATGTCTTTTGTTTACTCTTGTTCAAATATGAATATTTTTAATTCTGAATTGTTTTCATGTTTTCTTTCATTAATGGACTCTTCCGCATTAAAATATATTTTTAACAACTTTTTTTATTAATTAATTATGTAATTAGAAATTTATAAAGATAGAACCTTATCTAATGATAATACTTAATAAATTAAAGTAGCTGAAATATTATAATCTCTGGTACAATATATAAATGATCTCACAGAAATTGTTAATCAAATTAAATTACAAAATTAAGCAGAATTTATAATTGCTTACTAAAGTCATATGAAAAAAATTAAGGCTGAATTAAAAGAATTAAAAAACAAAACTGAACAATAAAGAAATAATATGTTATAGAATTAAGTTAAAATAAATCAAAATGACAATGAATTGGTAAATTTTTATTTGTAATTCTTATAGACTCTTTTTAGATAAGAATGTTTGAAATTATATGCCAAAATTGAATCAAAAAATAAAGAAAATTAAGAATTAAAATTTAAATTGTGAGAATAAGAAAAAAACAATTAGTTTTTAGAATAATAAACTAAAGGTTTAATGAAAAAACTCAAATTACAAGAAATTGAAAAAAAATAACAAAATACTCCATTATTAGAATAAACTTTTTGTACAACTGCTCCTGCAAATTAATTTAGTAATTTTTTATTTTATTTCTAAGAGTTTCTGAAAAGAAAAATAACATAATGTTAATCAAAATTAGATCTACCTTCATCTTTGTCTAAATATCATTTCTTAAACATTAAAGAAATGTTTTCCAATGAAGAATCAAACAATAACAACTAAAAATGTAATGAATTAATTGAAAACATTTCTAAGTATATTTAATTAAAATAAATTTATAGATATGTTACTTAAATTTAGTTCAAATAACAAAAATAAATATAAAAATTAAATTAAAAAGTTCATAATTTATTAATTTCGTAAAATAAAAAAAGTATTATTAGAAGTGATCTAGAATCCTTCTTTTTAGAATGTGTTGAAAGTGTTAGAAGAGATATTTTAAAAAAGAAAAGACCTTTTGGGAATAATTAATTATAACAATCTTAAATAGAAAATATTACAGATTTTTCTTAATTTTATAAGGAAGATAAATTGAAAATATTAGAACTTGTAGTAAGTAATGAAAAAATCTTAATCTTCTTATATTAAAAATTATTTCCAAATCATATAAATTTAGTTATAAAATCAATTCGAGAAGATATGAATTTAAATACATTTTTAGATTAAAGTGTAAAATGTGATTTATAAAGTAATTTTGATTAAAATGGTGATTATAAGATAGATTTTCCAAAAACAACAAGAGAAGTACGTTCAGTATCCTTAAATAAGCAATTAGAAGTAAAAAAAGGAAAGATTTTATCTAAATAATATTGATTGATTATATATTAATTATCTAAATTACAATCATAAAATATGCCTTCTTTTAACATGGATTGATAATTCCAATTAAGTCTTAAATTTTCTTCCACAATTGGGTTACATACATGGATAACCTTCTTCTGGTATATTGTTAATAATTTAATTGATTAATTGTCTTGTATTAGAAAGTTCATTATTTTCTTTTACTTTCAAAACCTGATCACAAATGTTACCAAAATTAGAGACTGCTTTTTCAATTTTAGTTGCATATTCCTAATTTAAATTGGAGTCCAATAATAAAATTAAACATTTTAAACCAAGATTGGCTATATCATTTTCATTTGTAGTACAATCATTCAAAACTTAAGTGATATAATCAATTAAATTTATATTTTCCTTTTTTCTAATGATAGATAAAATATTACTTAAATTCTGAATCTTATAAAAGATTTAAAATAACACCTAAACAATAGTAAACGACCTCTCTTGAATTAGAATCTAATAATACTATAACACCTTCTGATATTCTCGATTTCATTATTTATTTAATTAAATCCTTCTACCTTGATAAATTTGATAAAACTCGTAATCCATCACAGCAAACTTCTTAATCTTCATTTTAAATAATAAAATGTCCAAGAGTTGATATTAATTCATATTTAACATTTTTGTATTCAAAATCATTTAAGAATGTTTATTTCTCATAAAAGGTTAAATTAGATAAACAACTTAAAGTACAAGATATGATTTCCTAATTTAAAAATTAAAACTTACTTATTATTTTGTAATTTATGTATTCTTTTATAATAATTTTAATAATTTTGATATCAATATTCTGTATTCATTTGAATAATTTTTTAAAATATCTAATCCTATTTATTCTATAGTTAATATATTTGCAATTAATCTTATAATTCTGATTAAAGCATCAATATCCTTCCTATGAAATAAATTATTAAATATTACTCCGATTGTAATATTTAGAAATCCCATGCTGCTCTGCTTTAAGAAAATTAATCAATTTAATTTAATTGTTAAGGATTAATTTCTTTTGTCCAAAAATAATCGAAGCATTAGAGAATGTCACCAAATTAATTAAATTTATAGTAAATTAATTATCTAATTCCTTCAAAATATGTAGTCATATTGGCTAATAAAAAGGAAGCTCTAATAATTATATAAATATTTGTTTAATATGTTTTAAAGAAACTTGAAATATTTTGCATTGCTTCAGTATTTTATAAAAAGAATTCACAACATTCTTTACTTAATGACATCTTTGACATAATTCTTAAAGTATTTAAAATTAATTCATAATTCTTACTATAATTAACCATGCTGATAACTAATTTTTTAATAATTCCATTCTAAAGATACATATCCACACTGTTATTTTCATTAGCTAAATTTCTTAAAGTAGCAGTAATAGTAGTATATAAATTGAGTAAATCTTTATCATATGTTTAATCATATGGAAATGAATGCAAATAACTCTCTATCAATTATATATAAGTAGGCTATAATAATTTTTATGCTTCTTTTTAATTATTAGCTATATTTTTAATGATAACAAAAATTAAATTCAAATAAGGCAATTATTATTAGGTAGTGGACTAGTCTCTAGTTAATTAAGTAAAGAGTTTTAGAAATCTAAATAAAACAAAACTTAAAGAATTATCATTGATTAAATTTAAGAATACATTCTCATTACTTAATTAAGCAGTCTTTTAAAGAATAGCTAAAACTTATTAAGGTTAATAAAGTAAAGATGGTAATTATTCTTAAATTTTTGAACCACTTTTTGGTCTTCTTAAAAGTGGTTTAGCTTATTTTTAAAATAATAATTCTAATAAATTTAAGGTAGTGAATCCAAATAATGCTGCTTTGATGGCAAATAACCTAACCTATAGATCATTAAAGTCTATCAATTAAATACTCTGTTTTAAAATTTATTCTTTGCTTTAATCATTACATTCTGTATTTTAAGTCCAATCTTTAAAAAAAATGTAACATTTCTATACCCATTCTAACTTACTTGGATTAATTTATGTAATAATTTTACTTTTCTTATTATATATTATCTACAAGCCAATTAATATTTGCAGGCTGAATATCCATTTTTGAACTTTGTGGTCTAGAATCTATTTGTTTATTTAAACTGATTTTAGGTGGTAAACCAATCTTTTGTTGTTAAGGTCGATTTAATGTTATTTTTGTTAGAGTCAATTTCTTTTCTGGATTCATGAATTCGAAAATTGAATATAATTAAATACAAAATATAAGAAATAAATACAACTGTTTAATGAATATATTATATTGAAAATAATTTTTTCATAAATTATAAATCATCATTAATTAAGAGAAGTATTCTAAAGATTCTCTTCTACTTTTTTTCTTTTACTATCAGGTCCATCTTAAATAATTACACATTTTGTAATTTCTTCAAGAGGTTCCTCATTAGTTAGGAATTATTTAAATTTTTTTTTATTACTGTTTGTTTACTCAATCTATTCTTTATAACCAATTGAATTAATTAATTAATCTATAAATGATTGAAGTAAATTTTCGAACTCTGTTTATCTTTTGCTTTGATGAATTTGATGTAATCTAAATAACTGTTAACCAAGATTCATTTTAACGATTGACAATAATTCATTACTTGATATTTCATTTAATAATTGAACAACCTAAATTATTATAAGAACAATTACATCATCCATTTATTTATCATTTCTTATTAAATCATATAATCTAATTACTAAACTTTTAAGTAAATGCTCATTCAAATTTTATAAACTAGGCAATATATTTTAATAATTTCCATTCAATATTTTATTAGCTAATTCTATTGCTTCCTTCAATTTCTTTGTTTCTGTCTATATTGGCCTATCATTCCATTTCCTAATTTTTTCAAGACGTAAATCAGCACTAAACTTTTATATAAACAAATACTGTGTTCCATCTGCTAAAAAATTAACTCTCCATAATTAAATTGTGCTAGTCTTCCTATTCGAAATTGAAGAGATCTATTTATGATTATTCTATAATTACTTATGCTGGCCACCATGGATCTAAAGCTTAAAAAACTACTTACAGCCTAAGACTTTAGCCCAAACTACTTCATTTATCTCAAATTTCACATCACAGCCTTATTACATTCCTCTCAATTATCGTACTGTAAAACAAATAATTAATCACAAGATATTATAGGATTTTTTTAAAATTCGTTAAACATCACATTCAACTTTAATTATAATATGAATATAATTTCAGAAATAAACAAATGTCTTTAGCATTTATTTCATCATATCAACTAACCATTATTATTCACTTGTATTATGTCTATGAAGTCCTATTACCTAAAATTGATAAACTTTGATAATTTTAATTTCTTAGAACACTAACCTTTTCTAATTGAACATTTGAATTATTACAATCATAAATATTGACAATAATTAAAGTTAGTTAATAAACTTACTAAATTGGATTTTCAATTTGAAGAAGATGTTGCGTATCTAATTAATGAAACATAATAAATTGATCAAGAATTTTTTAAATTTAGCAAATTAGAATAAATTCCTTTAAATCATAATAATAATGAAAAATGTTTTACGCAATTTAAATATACTCAGGTTGATGTTTAGTATTTAATACTTATTTAATTATTTTAAAGCATTAATAATTAAATAAAAATTAAATATGTTTCATTAGATAATTTTATTAGATAAATTACTCTTAAAAGATCTATACCACATCATCAAATTAAGATCTTTAATATGAACATTAAAAAAGTATAGACCTTTGAGAAAAAGAATATAAGAAACATTGTCTTAAAAATAAATTCATAAAAGGATTAAAAGGAACACCAAGTAATAAATAACAGATTCTCGAGTTTTAATTAAAATTTTGCTAGCAGATTTCACTCTTTCAAGTAAAATTTAATTGAATAAATCATCATTCAGATTAAATTTCTGCTTTTCAAAGATAAAATTCCCTTTTAAAAACTTAATTAAAACCTTAAAAAATAACTACAGATTCATTTGTAATAATAAGAATAGATATACAAAGACTTCAAGAAAATCTAAAAAATAGAACAATTTAAAATAAGAAAAGGAAAATAAAATATTAGCTCCTTTAAAAAAAGAAAAATAGAATTAATTCTTAAGATTTCGGAAATCCAACCAAAAGTAAAATTAATTACAGAAATAAAAGTCCCAAATATCCTTACAAAAATTCTTATCAAAACTCCTCAGAAAAAATAATTTAAATATAAAGTAGTTAATTTTTATAAAAAAATATTGATTAATTTTAGTTTTCTATAAGTAATAATTATAATGAATTTTAGATTATTAATTCAAAATTCTCAAATTTTATTGGATTCTTATAAATTTTATTTTTAAAAATGACTTATATTTATATTTGATCTGAGAATTAATTATACAGGATATACTGATTATTATTTCAAATGATCTTCTGAGAATTATATACAATATATGATCTTATCTGACGTTCTTAATTTATTACATCAAATAAATTTATAATATAATGATGTCCTTAGATATTTAAAATGACTATTTAGAATTTGCATCAATTTTAGATGAGAAATACTATATAATTGATACAATTGGATTTGGAAGATATGCAAAGTAAAGTGAATTGAATATAAATATAGAGTTAAGTTGGCAATAGACATAGAGGATAAACAAAAATATGCTGTAAAAATAATGAAAACAGACCCAACAACAAGTTAATGTAGATCTGATACATTTATTAATGAAATTTCAACACAAGCTGAATTTGATCATAAACACATAATTAGAATCATATATGTAATTATGCAATATAAATGAATTTAGTGTAGAATGAATGGAAATTACAAAAAAATAGATGGAAGAGTATAACAGGTTTCATATTTTGTGATGGAATTGGCTAATTAAGGAGAATTGTTCTAGTTATTGGAATAAACTGAGCAATTTTCTGAAAAATTTGCAAGAAACATTTTTTCTTAATTAATAAAAGGTAAAAAGCATCCTTTATTGTTAGCATAGGAATTGAGCATCTGCATGAACGCGGTGTTGTTCATAGAGACGTCAAAGCTGAAAATATACTTTTTAGTAATGGTATACTTAAATTGGCTGATTTTGGATTTAGTACAAAAACTATAGATGAGAAAGGATCAAGAGTACAATTTGAAATATCCTAACATATAGGATCTCCGGAATATAATCCTCCAGAATTATATAATATTGGTAAAGAATAGGTTAATTTTTAAATAGGCAAATAAAAATTTTATAATCCAGAATAAGCTGATATTTTTGCTGCAGGTGTAATCTTATTTACAATGGTTATCAGATCTGCACCTTTTAAGACTTCAAAATCAACTGATCCTTATTATTCCTTAATGAAAAACAATAAATAATCATTTTGGAAGATCTTTAGTGAAATAGCAGATTCATCAGCTTAATTTAAGGATTTAGTTGAAAAAATGTTAGATGAAAATCCATTAAAGAGAATCACTATTGAATAAATTAAATAACATCCTTGGATGTAAGGTACTTATTCTCTTATTAGTTTAAGGATAAATACTTAATTAAACAGAGTTTTAAAAGGAATTGAAAAATAGATATGATATGATTTTTAATTAATAAATAGTTAAAATCACAAACAAGAGGGATACTAAATTCTCCACAAGAAAATCAATTAAAAAAGTAGAAACTGAAACAATCAGTAAAAATCTCACTAAATGTTCTTACGAAAATTTTGAACTGATCGATATGGTAATTATTTAATTTATTTATAGATAAATGCTAAATTGTAAATCAAATAGCATTTGCCAAAAGAACAATTTAAATAATAATCCCATAAGAGTGAAAAATTCAAAGTAGGAATATAATAAAAATAATAAAATTAATAAAGTTCTAGAACAAACTAAGAATCAAAAAGATCAAGCCCAGGATCACCTTCGAACGATTCTGATAATTGATAAAACCAAATTATATATATATATATTGTAATCATTCAAAATCTTTAAAGTTTGAATTTTATTATTCTTGTTTTGATGATTAATTGGTTTTAAATATAGAATAATTTTGATTCTATTCTTTTCCGATAGTTTTTGATAAATGTTTTATTTATGGAATTTGAAGATATTCTCCATTCGTTCTTCTACTTGTATAATTAAGTATAGTTTTATTTTCATTGAAATTGAAAAACAAATCTATTTTATTGCTAGTTGTTTGTATTGGATGAATATTAAAGATTAAATCTAATCCATCATCAATTTCAGTTTTCATATGGATTTTTCTAATATTTTATTTAAAAATTGTATGTTTTTTTGATTATTATTCTTGTTTATTAAAAACACTAGTAAAACATTCATTACACAAAGATATCATTTAATTAAGAAATACAAGATTCATTTTGAATTCTTTGTATTCTTCCATTGACATTTTTGGATACATAATTTTGATAATTCGTGGAATTAGTTACTACTAATCAATTTTAACTTAACCAACATGGAGATTATGATTTAATTTTAAGATATTATCTCGAGAGAATTTTTAATTTTAAGATTTTCTTGTTAAAACATTATTTTCCCAATTTTCAACAATATCCTTTAAGCGAACTTTTGAAAATTCAATTTAATTTTTATCTTTATCACATCCAATACATTTAGAATTATCAGATAATATAATAGCTTTTGGGTAATTAATTAGTTATTTTTATATTTTGCTTGAAATTTCAAATTGAGCTAAAATAATAAAGAAATAATTTTACGCTAATTTAATTGTTTTAATTCACTATTTGAAGTTAAGACTTTTGAGCTAAATAATAAATAAACTTTATTTTTTTTTGCTATCTTAAATAATACTTCCATTTGACAAATTTATTTTTAATTTTATGTAACATTAGCTACATGAGAAACAATTAATCCACATAGAAGTTCTAATCTTTGAGTAAGAGATGTTCCTTTTAAAGTTCGTTATTCAATAGGTCCATTTAACATTTCAAATGTTACTGCTCTTTAATATATATCTGCCTTAGAAAAATTAATTTGATATTTATTTGAAAAACATTCAAAGAAACACAAGTTATTAGTCCATGTACATTTAATGACTTCATTACAACTACCTATTCAATGTTATATATATATCAAATACCTTTTGGATAAACAAATCTTTATAGATATCCTTTTGTGTTATCAGATATTTTGGAGGTTAGCATTTAATATAATAAGTGTTGTGATAAATACTCAAAAGTTGTTAAATTTTTAGTCTTATTAATCCAAATTGCACAAATTAAAAGTTAATCATCTTTATCTGTAACAAATTCATTTAGAATATCTTCCCAATTAAGTTTCGATTTGCTTTTTCTCATAATTTAAGAATCATGGCTATAATACCAGAAATATGGTTATCCTTAAATAATCTCAATAGTATCTGGAATGTCAATTTTAATGTTATTTTTAAATATTGGATCCTAAAGCCATAACAAATGAAACAGATTAAAGTTGAATCCATTTTCATCCAGCACAAATCTTTAAAAACTCATTCCTCTTTATTAAAATTATAAAAATAATAAAGCATAAATAAAAGATGGAAATGTTATAATTATTATAATATATTCTTGAAAACAAAAGAAATATTATAATAAATTAAAGTATGAGGTTTATGATCTAATGAATAGGAATATAATAAACATAATCATTTCTAATTCTATTAATCTATCGATAAAGTTTTAGGTATAATAACTTTTTTTTTTTTTCCATCCTAAGTTTCTCTAAACTCAACTCGTTATTCAGTAACAATTTCTTATTTTTTAGATTCTTCATTTTTTTTTGAAACATCTTCTTCTTCTATTTTATCATTGTTATATAACACTTTAATATATTCAGGTAGTTCTAATTTAGAAATTAATTATACATTCAATAGGAACTTCAGAACCAAAATGTCCTTCTTCAATTTAAACAAAAGAACAAAATCCATCACATGAACTGATAGCAATCAAATTGGAACCTATATTTAATGAATATATTAAATACCTCTAAAACAAATATCAGTAATAGATGCATAATGAAGATTTCCAAAAATAGCAATAGGAGTAGGACTATCAGTTGAATAAAGTAATAAGGAATCAATTGTTCCTATTGCAAAAATCATTTTATATGGTAAATCTATCAAAGGTTATTGAATATCTTAATTTCTTGTAAAGTATTTTGAACAAAATCTTATAACTAAAGCTGGAGTATTAGTAGGTAAAAAGAAACAAGGAACTTAAGGAGATTATCTTAAGAATCCATAAGCTCCCATAATTGGTTTATTATCAACCCAAAATTCAGCAGCAGGTAAAATATAAAACGATCCATCAGGACTCCAATCTGGTCTTCTAACAAAAGTAAATAAACTAGTTTCTCCTAAAAAGATTCCATTTTATTTTTTTTCTTCTTATTATTATTATTATTATTATTATTATTATTATTATTATTATTATTATTATTAATCTTATAAATTAGATTATTATGAATCTACTTTTTAAGCATTTTCTAATTTTCTAACCACAAGTTATGGATAAAACTATAGATTATTAAGATTTCTTTTTTAAGCTTTCAATATTTTCCAAACTCTAGCAGTTCTGTCTTAACTTAATGAGACTATAGTTTTAAGTCTTGGATCGATCGTTACACCTTAAACATAAGATGTATGGCCATCCAAAGTTTATAATTGTTTTTATTTCTTTACATTCCAAACAATAACATATTTATCTAAACCTCCAGAAACTAAAATTTCACCATTTTTTGACCATTATAAATCATATATTTCTTTGCAATGACCAGTTAAAATTGAAAAAGGCCACCATTATAATTTAGGTTCAGATTAACCAAAAGTTTATCTAACTTATTAATTCCAGATTATAATTTTATAATCATCAGAACCAGATGCAAAATTTTTGCCATTAGGGGAAAATTTTAAGCAATTAACAGTTTATTCATGTCCAGAATTAATTGCTCCAGCAAACTCAACAATTTTACTAGAATTTTCTATTATTGTCCACATTTTAATGACTCCAACATCTTCACTTAAATTATCTTTTTCTGCAATCCTTGAATCTGAACCTCCTGTAAGCAATAGATTTTACGATGGGTGAATTGCAATTGCCATTATTCTTTCTTTTTCTCCATGCCAAATCATATTTGGAATAGCTAATTTCATGTTTAATTAATTAAATATTAGGCGCGTAAATTTAATTATTTACATATATACATATATATATCATTCTAAATCAGGTATGTCATCATCAATCTTTTAAGTTAATTTTGCTTATGCTTTTTAAATTAACAAATCTAAATTCTATCTTTCCTATTTCTACTTCAATTCTTATTATTTTATTTATTATTGTTATTTTTCTTATTCCTCTTTTTTCTTTCTTTCAGCTATTTATTTTAGCATTTCATTAGGATTTACTTTAGGCATCATAATAACTAACTCCCCTGTTATTTCTGATCTTTAAATCTTTGATCTTTCAGCAAATACTTCTTCATCTAAACGAATTTATGTTAATTTCCCTTTAATTCTCACAGACACATAAGTAGGATTCACATTTACTTAAATTAATGAAGTATCTAAATATTTTGGAATATTCATCTTGAATATCACATTCTCTGGATCTTCCCAATTATTTAAATAAGGTTTATAACCTCCCTCATCACATTATCTAACTTTTCCATCATTCATTAAAATTGATGTTTCCTTTTTTTCCTTAAACTTTTCAGGATTTCTTTATCTCTCTTTTTCCTCTCTATGATTGATATTATTATTTTATTACTTTTCTTTTGCTTATTTCAAATACATCTCCTTCCTTGTCTCAGGAGTATATGCTACTTTATCTTCACTATTTGGATTCAATTCTTTTCTTATCTTCTCTTCATGTATTCTCTACTCCTCTTTAATCTTCTCTTCCTCTATAGCATATATTAATTCTTTTTATAATTAACCCAATATCTATTTTGCCTTTATCCTCTCTGTATGAGTTATTTCTTTACCATCCAATGAGTGCAGAGAATCTACTTAACTTATTATGTAGTCTCGATATCCTTACCAACTAAAATTTATTATTTCATTTTATTTACTCTGTACAAGGATTCCCTGTTAAATATAATTCTTTCAATCTACATTTTTAGAGGCATTAAACTGACTTCTCTATATTTTATAAATCTACAAAATTCACTGTCATATCTAACTTCATTAATGATTCACAATTCTCTATTCCTTCTATCACTCTTATATTATTTAATGCTAAATTTAAGTATTCCAACTCTCGAAGTTTATTCAAATTTTCCATCTTCTCAATTATATTGTTTTATAACAATAATATTTTCAAATGACGGCAATATACATCTAAATTCTCTATTTTCACTATTTCCTCTTAATGAATTGAAATCTCTTCTAAATTTGTTAACATCATTTCATTATGCTCTGCTCTTTTTCTTAACAATTCTTAAGTTATTCTAGACATCTATACTCTTTTATATTATTAATTATTCAAAATTATAATCAAATTATTCTCATTCATTAACAATCTCCTCTTTCTAATCCTCTATATTTTTTAGACCATATTTTTCATTACTTCTTCTCTATCTCCTTTACTTCTATCTCTACAGTTTCTAACCTTTTATATTTGCTAAACTATTTGTTCCATTTATTTATTCATCTAATTTCTCTTTCAATGCTTTTATTGCATAATTCTTATTTGTTTCTAAATCTCGACTTTTCTGACATTTTATTTATATTCCTGTAGGTCTGTGGGTTAATTATACACAATTTGATGTCTTATTTATCGCCTATCCTCCAGGACCTCCACCTTTTATATATTTCCATTCTAAATCTGTCTATTAGATTTCAATTGCCTTTCTATTCATTTTCATCTCCTTTATCGATACAAAGGCACAAAATCTAGAATATTATTTTACAATATTAATCATTTTATTAAATCATTATTTAATCACAATTTTTCTATGAGTAATAAATTAATCTCTATCTTATTGTTAACTGTGTCTTTCTGTAAGAAAATTCAGACGTTTGTTTTCTATATAATTTACTATAATTACAAAAATCATCTTCTACATGAGGTTCATTATTATTTACATTTTAAAGATTCAATTTGAAATCAAATTTTTTATGATTTTATATAGACTATGTTGCCATTTAAATATATTTTTTGACTATGTCATCTGATTTTTAAGAATTAATATTCAAAACTTTTGATTAACTGTGGTTTGCTTGTTATTGATGCTAAGACTTAGTACCTAAATCTACTCCAGTAGTTTTCTTAGAATATTAAGATTTAGCTTTAGAATTACTATTCATCTTAAAAGTGTTTATTGTATTGTATTATGAAGGCAACATATAATTAAATTCAGGTTTTTTTTATTAATCTGCATTTTATGAACTTCTAATTTTCAAATCATGCAATTTATGAAATAAATCTTCAGCTATAGGCAATTATTTTGTATTTCTATCAGTTAGAGAACCTCCTTTTGTAATTTTATCGAGTTAATTTTAATTTATTTTTTTTTGTTAAATATTAATAGGTTGATAAGCTTTTTTTAATTATTCCTGTCTTTATGATATGTTTTGTATACTCCCATTATTATTATTTTAATCCTATTTAATACTCTTTTATGAACCCTAAAATCCTTATATTACAGTGGATGTACTAGCTACGATTAAATCTTAAGAAATAGTTGATCGTAATTATCGATTATGATTACCTTTATATTCTCTCAGCATCTTCTGAATGACAAAATTATTATCAATCTTTTGTGCTTTATTTTTATCCTCTAAATCTATAGGTTCAATATTTCCAGATACATATTCATGAAATTATTCTACTTATTAATCAACTGAATCTTTTATTTTGGACATTTTAAAGCTTGACTAAGAATGTTTGGATTCACTCTTTGAATTGGCAAGAATGGCTAAAAGAAAATGAAAAGTAAATACCCTTCTTTTCCCTAATGTCAATATGATTAGTTCTTCGTTTAACAGTTTTCATAGCGTGTAAATCTTTTATTATATTAGTGGAAATAGTTTATTAACTTTGAATAGGGGATTTTATATAGAAATGCGATGGTAATTTTTTTAGTTAATTGCTCATTTAATTTATAATGAGGTAATGTTTATTAAGCATGTCATTTAATTATGGAGTTTCTTCTTAAACATTAATTATATTTAACCCTTTAAAATCAATACGACTGAATTTCTTTGGTTAATCCTATGATGAATAGATGTCATGCTCTTCAGTTTCATAACTAATTTATGAATTAGAGGATAGTTTTGAATTGAGAACGTTGTTAATAACGATTGGGTTATGGGATTTGTTTGTATGATCAGTTTGTTAGACTCTCTAATAATAGAGTTTATCAATGCGCTTATTCCTCTTTATCATCAGTTAATGTTAATCAACTACTAAAAGATAGGGATGTGCATCTTTGTAATTCGTCACATAAAATTCAGTCAATATATCAAGTCTTGGTTTGACTTCATCCTACTTGTAATATCTACAATTTAAGGAAGTTCAACTACCTTTTCATATATTCTTATTGCTCATCTAATATCACATAATCCTTATAATAAATTACATGAGGAGCGTTCGTAATTTAAGATAGGATTTCATTTATAGGTTTTGCGAAATAGAAATTGAAGGCTTCAAAGTATTTAGTTTGTAATTTATCCAGAATTAGTTATCTAGTATTTTATCGACACAATTGACAATTATTCTTCATGGCTCAAATTATCTATAAAATTAATATAAAATGAAAAAGCTGAAAAGTAAACTAGAGAGCACCAATACAGACAGTTTTGGTATTTCTGGAAGTGATTTCACAAGAACTTAGAAATCTAACCGTCGATTTTTGATCAACAATACTATGAAAATGTAAACTGAATCAACAGATTAGTTGAAATTGGAATTACCACCTGTTGTGAATCTACCTTTTAAGAGTAAGATTAGATCATAGAAATAATCTCGAAATATGTTAAGAACAAGCGATTTATTTAATGTATATAAGGCACCTCAAACATTGGCAACGAATCCGGAATAGTTGTTAAAAAAGACGAGATAATATCAATTATCACAAACGCTAATAAAGTATTATTCTGATGAAATTGCTACTATTAAAGATCAGTAGACTTTGGATGACTAGGAGATAGAAAACTAGATTTCTAAATATATAAATGAAGCTATTTAGAGTTTGGAGATTTTGATTAAGAAAATTCAAAATTTATTGTAATATAAATAAAATAGGGAGAAGAGTGAATAAGAAATGAGAGAAATTATGCAGGAGTGTTTTAAATAGAAAAATTTATGTATACAATAAAGGTTGTGTTATATTTTTGGCAAAATGGAACAACTGTTCTTTAATCCATTATCAGGAGCCATATATTTTAAATTGTGCAAACGGTTGTCAGATAATGAAATATATTTTCGAAATAAGATGAAAGCATATCGAGGATTAGGAGAATGCTTATTGAGAGTTCGACCTAAATTAAGTTAATTGTATTTTACCAAATATTTGATGTCAGCATGGAAGTTGAATGAGAAGAATCACGAACTATATGCTTATGATTTATTAGGAAAATATTATTTTTATGTTGGCCAAATTGAAAAGGCAAAGCAATTTCATGAAAAAATGATAGGAGGTTATTGTGAAGTATGTAATATCTATGATGATTGTAGGTTCCTGATTCTAGAGTTAGAATATTGGCCTAAAGTCGTTTAGAACAAGGTTCTTTATCAAATAGAATTAATAGAGAACATCAAGTAGTTGATATTGATGTTGTAACGTCTGATGATGAATGTTATGAAATTGTCTTAACTTAACCATAATAAATTACAGTAGCCACTGTGAGTTCTGTAAAATATTTTCAAAGAAAGATTCCTGATCCTAAATCTGTAAAAGAAGAAGCCAATACTAATATTAGATAAAAAAAAACTAAATATAATTCTCAACTCCTTGAAATTGGAACAGAATTTGACATGTCTAAATTAGTTATTTCAAATCCTCATCTTAATATTGGAGCCATTAAAGATCGTGTTCTATTAAGTCATATGAGTCCTAACAGAAAACTAGAAATGTATTAATACCTTTGTTTGGCCAGTGATAAAAATGCTTTCAATAATGTTAATCTGCTATCTGGATTATATGATAGATTTGAAATTAGTAAAATCAACAAATACCTGACTAAGTTGATTTCTCTTTTGAGCACTGTCTAATAATGGTTAATCACCTAATTAAAGTCAAAATCAGTTACTCGTAGATGTGCTCTGCTTTGAAATATTATTATTTTAGTTTATATACTAAATTTTTTATTTTATTATTTTATTATGTCCAACCGAAATACAAAATCTAAGAGTCCTAACATTAAAAAACAGTAAAATTTTGACAAAGATTTAATCAAATATCTTATTTTATAAAAGATAACCAAACCTTCTGTTCCTGCCGAAATGATTACCAAAACCTAAACCGATGAAGATTCAGAACTCAATTAATTTAGATAAGAAATTGAAATTAAGTATTCTTAAATCCTTTATCTTATTTCTAGATTCAAGAAATGTAAAATCAATTAGTAATTTAAGTTTCCAAAAGAAAACTACGAATCTTCATCTGATAATTCTCTTTCATCTCTTAAAGATGTAACTCTCTATTAGTTAAATCATAATAACTTACAATCTATCACAGATGCAACCTAACCATAATTCATTAAACTACTCAACCAAAAATTAATCAAATTAACAGATTTAATTCAAAATGAAACTTCAAATGAAAATCCAATCCTAAATCTTAATTATTCAAGGTTAATCTCTTAATAAATATTAAGATTACAAAAGCTCCGTGTTCAGAATCTTTCCAATACATCCATAACAGAATAGATTGATTTAACTGTAACAAGTCAAGGTCGTGAAAGCATGACTTAAAAACACAATTTTAATATTGGCTTTAGAGCTACCCCTACATTGTCTAAAGAAAAGAAAAATCCACCTAAAAAAATACTTAATATAGAATAACAAAAGTTGCTAAATAATGCAATCAAGTAATTTAATCATTTGTTAATTTAGCAACCCATTCCATATCAGAAATAACTAAGGGAACAAGTCTTTACTTAACAACACTGTTTATGCTCAAGACAAAAAAAATATTGAGAACATTAGAATTAAAACAGAATATAATGATTAAGAATCGAATTTAAGTCATTTTTATTTACTGTCTAAATCAAGGTAAATAATTATTTTATTATTCTATTTTCATTTCAGACCTAAGAATAGAGAAACAAATACAAAAATTAAAAAATAAGATTCCTCTTAAAACCATAAAATGTTAAATTATACAATAGATAGTCATATGTTAGAAAAGTTAAAAGGCACAAGGAATGCTAAAAGTTAAAACAAAAATTATTAAAATTGATTTTAATTATTTATTAATAATTTGTGCTTTTTTCACTTCTACACTCATACTCTATTGCCATAATTTAAATCAATAAGATATATGTGCAAATTATAAATAATAGTAAAAATTATATAGATTAGAAAGATGTTGTAAAAAACGGATTTGTGATTAATTAATATAAAATGAAAACTTTCTTTGGGTTTACATTGTTGTATTTGATATTGGCTAAGTATATTAAACATACTACATTATAGTCAAGGAATTTAATCAATTCAATAAGAAAAATTGCATCCAATTTCAAAAATTATACTTGGATTGTCAGAAGTGTAATCAAAAGATTTTAATTTCCAATAATTGTTTGTTTCACTAGATGAATTGGCAGATTCTTTCTAAAAAAGGGTAAATGATGAAAATACTACTTATGAACAAGATTAGTAATCATATTTTTCTGATGTCTAATTCTATGAGAATTAAATAAATGATTTTAAGAACAAAGTTTATTTTGATCATTATCTCATAGATTGCATAATTGGAAATTGATATCAAAGAATTAAATGATGAAGGATTACGTTTATAAGCATTTTTAACAGAAGCTAATTAAGACTTAAGTGATGCAATTAAATTAGTGACTTAAAAGGAATAACAAATCAACTCAGATAATTCAGTTTTTGAATAACAGAATTAAGAATATGCTGATACAATAAATGTTCTTGATTAAGCAATTACATTACTTAATGAAATCAAAGATGAAGCTTCATTAATCTAAAAATAACAACACATCAAAGAAGTCTCTTAAAATATGCACAAAAGGTATGAAATTCTTTCTTATGATTGTTAGTATGAAAAAATTGTCATCAAAAAGAGTCTTTTATTAACCTTTAGTAAATGTTTTAACATAATTATCATAAAACAACTATGTAGATTAAGAAAACCTTAATAAAGTCATTAATTTTATGAGTTAACTTAGATAAAATTTGATTGATGCATAAATATCATTGTAAAATCAACATGAATCATAATCTAAATTGTAATAAGATATTTTATCTGAAACCTAAGCTAAAGTTAGTGAAATTTAAGATTTTTTAATTCCATTATTAGAAACAGAGATTTCCATCAAGTAAATTGAAGTTAGAGCTTTAAATTCAATATTATAAGATGCTTAGAGTAATTTAGTAGAAGCTTAAGATAATCTTGTTGCTACTTAAAATAGATGGATTGAAAGGTAATAAATTATACTAATCATTAATTTAGAACTGCAACACATAACAACTTATTATAACAATATAATAATGAGTTGCTAGCTATTAAAGATGCCGAAAATGCGCTAAAAAAAGGTGGTATATTTAGATAATGATTTTGTTTTAATCAAAAACAATTAATAATAAATGCAAAATTATTTTGTTAATATAAAAATTAAAATAATGAAAATTTTACAAATATTTTTCATCCTATTGTTTTTTGTATCTCCTTTTTATTCTTTTTTTTTTTACTATTTTTCTATTCATTTTCGTTTTCTTTAAAATTCTCATTTTTTGTTTCTTAATTATTATTATTTTACTCTTCTTATTCTTATTCTTTAAGATTTTTTTCATTTTCTTCATCAATATCCCTTTCAAGGATTTCTTCTATATCAACTATTGTTTATCTTTTGAATTTAGTTTCCTTGTATTATATTTAAATTGTGCTCAATGATGGGATACAATTTCCATATTTATCATATCCAGTCGGAATACCGTTAGTTAACATTTTAACGAAAAAGGGAAAAATAAAAAATACAAAAGGAATACAAAGTAAAGCATACATTGTTCTAGTAAAAAATAACAAATCTCCAAATGATTAAGTAGAACTATCTTTTATTTTATAAATATATAATATTACTAAAATAATTAAATAATCTTTACTTGACATTATGATTGCAATATTCAAGGAAATAAAATCATAAATTAGAAAATATTTAAGTCTGCCTCCTTTTGAATCTTATGCAATTGTCAATTATTCTTTTAAAAAAGCCCCTCTGGAATAAGATTTTCTTAAAAAAATATATGCTATCCAAACATTTAAAACTTAAACGATTAATGTAAAAATAAGAATGTGAACTTAATGATGATTTCCAGGTCCACAATCAAAAAACAAATAATGAAAATAGGCAAGAAAACATGGAAGAAGTCCATTAGTAATAAATTACATAGATTTATACTCAGCAATATAATTGACTAATTAAAATTCTTCATCCTTTATAATTATTTATGAATACTTTATTAATGCATAATAGTATAATAATAAACATCATAGGCTAAATACCCATATATGGAAGTAATTAACAAATTTTCATGATTTGATATGAGATTCTTCTCATATGATCACGATTAGTGAGATCTGCAGGATAAAGAGAATATAGTATAAAATTTCTTATCTATTAAATTATTCCTTTTGAATCCCTTTTCCTAATTTCTACTTTACTAGTTTCTAATTTAGCTCTTAATTCCAATCTAATTAAGTCAGTGAAATCTTTCCATAAATTGATTGCAGCATCCTAAAAAAAATCTTACATAAAATCGTAAGGTACAGATTTTTAGACACTTTCAGTAATTTTAGGTTCTATCCTACTCATTAAACTAACAATTTAAGTATCAACCTATCCTGCAATCCAAAGATTAATATGTTATTTTTTTTCAAGTATTTTATTTTTTATATGAGTGTCTAATTTTTTTAATTATTTCTAAAAAATGGAGTTATAATTAATTACTTTGACTTATTTTTACGCACTTGTTGCTTATTTGGATACAAAAGTCTTCAACTAATACATAGTACTATTTTACTCTTTAGCCTTTTTAGCTGCCACTTCATAATAGTTATCACCATTTTCATCCAAACATATTTTTTAATTAAGAAAGTCTGGAATTTCATCATTTTTTTTAGGCTTTACATATTTTTTGTTTGCCTGCTCTTCGGCAATCTCTTTGATTTCTTATTCTTACATTTGCTGAATCAGTTCTTCTGGTATTATTGCTTTATTGAAATCTAATTAAGGAACATCAGACGCATTTTAATCAAAGTTTTGATTAACTATTTAAAAATAAACTCAGTACAATTTGCTTAATCATTCCCATCTATGTTTGAATCTGGTTAGATTTAATTTGGGAGACTAAGTGGTGATTTTGAAAAATCTTGTTTATTATTAAATTCTTCTTCTTTCATTTCTTTGTATTGATCCTTACCAAAATGTTTATTAAAAGCATCCTTGGTTTGCTATTTCAATTTTTTGAGCATATTTTATTTAATATTTTTATTTCAACCAATAAATTTACAGTCTCTTAAAAAGCATTAAAATATAGATTATCGTTTTAAGAAAACGAAATGTATATCTAACAATTGATTATGTAGAGAAAGTAATAAAGATAGTGTTTTAATATTAATATTTTTTTCGTTGTCATAAATATTGTTTATATTATTTCATAATAAATTGTTTAGTTAGATAAAGACAATTATGAGGTCTGTAAATAATGCAATTAGAATTGGCACTTAAGAGTACTCAAAAATATAATTATGAAAACAGGCATCAAAAACATAGGGTGTTGAAAGTTCCAAGAAAAACAAATCATCACATAACACTTGATCCAATAAACAGATTCAATTAAATAAAGGACTGTGGATCTAAAAAGATTGATTTTAAATTAGGCAAATTGATTGGTTCTGGAGCATAAGGTCAAGTTTATTAGGCTATGGACATGGACACAGGAGAAATTGTGGCATGTAAAAAATTACTAAATCACTTAAAAGATCAGTAAAAATTAGATGTAAGATGTATTAACTTAATTAGGTCGAATTATCATTTTTGTAAATTCTTTAACACAAGAATGTTATAAAATACATTTCTCACGAAAGTACAAAAGAATGCATCCTAATATATTAGGAATTTATGCCGATGGGTACATTTATTATATTAATCTAAGGATCTATTTCTCAACTATTAAGTGATTTTGGACCAATTAAAGAGTAGACTGTGAAAAGATATACTCAGTAAATTCTCAACGGTTTGGAGTATTTGCATAAAAAAGGCATATTACATTTGGATCTAAAATCAAGCAATATATTATTAGACTGTAATGGATAAGTGAAGATTTCTGATTTTGGTTGCAGTAGGCAAAATAAAGAAAATTTATGTTAAAGTATTTTATAAGGGAGTGTTCCATGGATGGCACCTGAAGTAGTCAGATAAGAAAGAATTGGACCAGCTTCAGATATATGGTCTTTTGGCTGTTTGATTTTAGAGATGATAACAGGTAGACCTCCATGGAGTGAATAAATAAATTTTGATAATCCTGCTACAAGTTTACTTAGTATTGGATTAAGTGGAGAATATCCTAGAATTCCTGAAACAGCATCTATATAAATGAAGGAATTGCTATTGATGTGTTTTTCACTGGATCCTTTAAAGAGAGCTACTATAAGATAACTTAAGTAGAGTGCTTTTTTATAATGATTTTAGTATTTTTATAATTTGTATGTCTAAGAGTATAAATTTTCCAATAATTTTAAAATATCCATTTGTTTAATCATTCTAAATGATAATTTAATGATTATATAAATAATCAAAAAAGATAAAATAATCATTTACTTATGAATCGATAATAAGAGCAAATTAATTAAGAAGAAATACAAAAAGAAGTTCAGATATTTATTAATTCTCTAGTTATCAAATGAAGTTATAAGAATTAGTATTTTTAATTGTGTTTGCTAATTTTACATGTTAATCTTTAGTTGCAAATTAATCTGGCTATTTGATTCAAAATACATTATCATATTTGCTTGGTTTATGGACTTATTCACTTTTGTTATTGTGATGCTTGATAAGAATATTAGTAAATTCTTTTCTGGGCTTCATTTTTTAGAAAAGGTGCTGAGCATATCATTTAAAGTAATTCATTTATTTCAAATAATAAGATAACTATAGTAATTCATTTTGAAGTTAAAGAAATTAAACTCTATTATATACCAGCAACTTAATTAATTATCACAATTGGATTATTTCTTTTCTAAGTACTTCATCATGATTAATCAAAAAGAAAGCATATTATAGTAATATCATCTTATCTATTAGATTGCTCATTCTTATTCTGTTCTCTATGTTATTTAAATTCTCCTCTTAACCTTGAAATGGAATAATCTATTTGGTTATAATTATTATTAGACATTTATAATAGCATGGACAGCCCTTGGAATCAACACATTCTTAATTATTTTATTAATGATAACAATGGTTGAGAACTGCTTCCTCAAACATATACCATAAATAGATGGTAAAAAATAATATTATTAAGGTACTTTAATATTTTGGTTTGTATTTTACATCTTTGGATTAACCATTATCCCATTTTTTCTATTAAAAACTTTGTGTGAATTTTATGAAAATGAAAATACCTATAGTAATGTTTAATTGGCATCAGTTTCTTTGCTTGTCTGTATTTTGATTTATCTCTTTTTATTCGTTTTCTTCACTTTAAAAATAAAGAAATAATTGATGTATTTTATTTATAGTATTTTAGTATTGTTTTACAATTTGACAATAGATAAGCTGCTTCACCAAAAAGATAATCATAGGAAAATCCTTAAAAAAAATGGAGAAAATTAAAGATTCCCATTATGTTCATAAGGATTTCAGCATCTTATTATAAAATGCTTGCTCGATAATCAACTGCAGATACTAGTACTCGTAATACTAGTTCTATACCTATATGCAGTGATATATTGAGACCTGATTCGCTAAACTTTCGTTAATCACCATGTTAAACAATGATGAAATAAATGAAATCTATACCAAAAGATTAAGATTCAGGAGATTTTTGTTTGATTTGTTTTGAAAATGAAGCTAATGTTGTTCTACATCCATGTAATCACGGAGGTATTTGTAATGATTGTTCTGAAAATTTAATAAAATCAACAAAGCAATGTTTTCTATGTAGATCTGAAATTAGATTTGCATTAAAACTAAATTAAAAAGATGGTGAAATGTTAGAAGCTACTGATGTATAAAAAGTTTGAATTATTAATCATATAATCTATTATCAATATATCAATTATCAAGATTCCTTAATTTTTATTTTCGTCTCTGTTTTTATTATCTTTCCTTTAATTATTAAATTAATTCTTCAGTTTATTTTATTCTTTTGAGTTATTCTTCTTCTATTTTTTAAGGTTCCTTCTTGATACCAGGTAAAAGTGGTAATAATGGTGTCCTTTCTTCAGTTCCATGTTTGGTACTAAAAAAATTTTAATTTTAAATTTTACCTTTTAATGATCAAAGGTTTTGGTTCTCCTTCAATATCTAATTTTTTTGGTTATTTAAGAGGATCAACCTTAGATTATTTATTAGAGATCCTAGCAATTTTCTTAACTTGAGGATTGTAAATATAATTTATTTAATTATTTTTAGTTGAATTATTTTAATAAGGGTCAAGTTAAGAATCATCAATTTTTTTATTATTTTTAGAAATAACAGAATTTTCTTGACTTTCATCAATTTTTTTATTTAATCTAGGTAAGAAATCTATATTGATAGAATGATTATCTTCTACATTTTCTAAATTCTATTTTTAGACAGCTAAAGTTTAAATGAATTAATATTTATCTACTTTAGTCATTCTAATAGGATTATAATTAGGTTTAGGTAATCTATCAGTTAAATAATGCATATTTCTTGGAACTCTGATAGTTTACAATAATAATTTAGCACCTTCTTCTTCAATCAAAATTTTATCGTCTAATCTATTAACAATTGCTTATAATTATAAGATTTTATCACAACTAGGTCTAAGATGTGGTTAAACTTATAATAATGCACGTATAATATTGCTTAAATCTTAACTATATATAGTTGGTATTTTTGGATAATATCCTTTGACTACTTTTTTATAAAGACCACTCATATCTTCTGCTCTAAAAGGAGGTTTAAGTGTCGTCATTTCATATAACACACAACCTAAAGACCAAATATCAGACTTAGAATCATAAGGTTAATCTTTCCATACTTCTGGAGATGCATAGTAAGGTGTTCCAGTTTAAGTATAAAGTAATATTTTCTTAGCAACTTTAGATACATTCATATCACCCAATTTAACAGTTCCATCACTATTCATAAATACATTTGCTGATTTCAAATCTCTATGATATATTTTCATATCATGTAATGCTTTCAGTCCTTTTACTATCTATTATATGTATTATATATTCATTATACTTAAATTAAGATATTCCATATTTCTTTTTCAGACATAAGAACTCCTTTTTTTTAACACTCTATTATTTTCTAAAATAAATCTCCATCATCTGCATATTCCATAACAATACTATCAAAATTTATTCTAAGAAAGTTACCATAAAATTTATGACTATTCCTCTAAAAACGCTTCTTTATATTGAATAACATTTGCATGTCTAACACTTGCTAAAATCCTCACTTCATTTAAAGCATTCTATTTCTCCTTATCTGAAAGTGACTGTAGCCTAACTTTCTTTAATGCATATTCTTGTTAATCTGCAATTCTTTTTATTTTATAAACCTTTGAATAAGCTCCTTCACCTAATATTTTATAGTTTCAGTTCTTACCTAACTCTTATAAAATCTAAAATTCCTTTAATGACATATTTTATTTTTATGATAAAATATTATTAATAAAATAGACAGAGAAAAACACTTATTATAAATTCATTTCAATTATTTCTAATATAAACTTCTTCTTCCAAAATTGGTCATTTCGTCTTATTAAACTTCCTCAAAATTTTACTGATAATTAATTATCTATGGTAATTACCTACTCTACGTTCTTTATGAATAAGCTCTGACATCTATTTTAGATACGTCAAAATACTTCGATTAGTCATTGAAATTTATGAATCTTTATAATCCTTAATTTGAGTTTCTCTAAAGTCCTTTTAAAAGTTCCTCTAAAATTAAGTCATCTATTCAGGTAAAAATCCTGGTTCTTCTATCATCATAGTGTTCTTCTTGATTGTAGATGGTCTTTTTTAAGGAGATTCTCTTTATTAATCATCACCTAATCTTTCTCTTAATTCAAAATTCTCTTTAGATAAAAATTGAATTTCTCTATACATAGATTCACATTTGTAATTAATTTATTCTTCCCTTTCTCTCATTTCCTTATTAGAAAGTAATAATTCCCTCACCATATTAATTGAATTAATTAATCTATCATTAGATTATGAATTTTCATTTTTCTTAGCATCTTCTTCTGAAGACTCTACCTCCAACAATCTTTATTAATTTTATAATAAATTATCCAAATTGCTTCTAGTATGCATATTATTCTAATTATTCTCATTTTTTTAAATAATATTAGATAAGAATTCAATGTGCTAATTAGCTTTACTTAATTCCAATTTCAAATTATCTATTTGTTATTTTAAATCATTTATAATTTTCATTTTTGGATCATCATTCTTAACTGGAATATTTACTATATAAGCTGCCTAAATTAATTTTAAATTTATACTTTTGTAGCATATTATAATGTTGATACATTTTCATCGTAAAAAGAATCTAAAGGCGCAATACAAGCAATCATTAAACAAAAACAATTACCTCCTATTGATTACTTCAATAAACAGGTTAATTTAGAATCTCTATAAGGAGGTATTGTTTTATTATTTGTATCACTCAATATTGCAATCACTTATCTTAAAGTCATTAAAGCTTTATTTATTTCAATACTCTCTTTAGCTTATCTTCCTTCTGTTCCTGTTATACTTATTCTTTCTGAACCAGCTAAATCTACTAATTCTAATTTTGATGTTATAAAATAATCAGGATTCTTCAAATCTGTACTCTCTATTTTTATTTCAAATATAGTATGACTACGAGAAGATTAAAAATTTAATTTATGACTTGCTGTTATTCTATTTCTGCTTCCCAATTTAAATAATTAGATAACTTCTTCTGCTGATTTACATTAATAAACAAATAAATTTTCAACAACAAATTATTATCGAACATTCCATCTCATTTTTAAACCGTTTATCTAGGTATTCTAATTAATTTTTGTTGTTTCCCCTAAGAGATCATATATTTTTTCATTATAAATTTGTAAATAAGAACAATACACTGAAAAGTCTTTTTAAAGCCCATTTTATTTTATCTTATTAAATAGACTATTGATTGTTTTAGGGATTATGCCTTCATGCTTAATTGCTATTCCTTCATCATCACGTTAACCCTCCATTGTATATGTTTTACCAGAACCTGTTTAACCATATGCAAATACTGTCACATGATACCCCTCTATAACAGATTATACCATTTAATCAATTTCACAACTCTTAAATACTTAATCTTATGAAGCTGATTCAGGTAATACATGATCGAATCTACTTGATTTATTTTTTACTTATAACTTTTTTTATTTCTCTCCTCTCTTATTGTTACTTCCTATCCACTGCAATCTATTCTAGAATTTAAATGACCTTATCTTTTTTCGTGATCAAGCAAAGGTCTAATTCGAACTGCCACTCTTATTTTTTATTTAGTTTACATTTGTTTAATATAAATTAATATAATTCATCTAACAAACATTTACCAAGCTCCATTATTAACCTACTATTCCATTATAAAATAAAACTACACAATCAACTTTTTAATTATACTATATTCTAATTCAATTCAAATTATTATTTATATTTATAAATTTTATCTGCAAGCTACTTGCTAACAATATTTAAAAACTACTATTATTATACTATATATCAATAAATTGAAATTTATTAAAGAGGAATTTTAATTCATATGGAATATAATTTATTAGTTTAAATTACCTTATTTTTTATTTAAATGGATTGGTTTTATATGCAATTTGATAAATAGAATTTATAAAGGATCTCGATTGAAAACATTAATACTTTTGAAGAGTTTTCCAAAAAATAATGAAAAATTACATTTTCATAAATTTATAAAAGAAAAAAATAAAAAATTTACAATCAGGACTTAAATTTCATCAAGTATCGTTTGATAGATACCATCTCTTCTAATGCCTTTTAATTCTAGTCCTCTAAAAATCTTGCTTTTTAAATATATTCATCTAATTTGGGCAATTTAAAAGCTGATTTTACTTTTTCTGATTTCTAGCGATTTTGCTTTATTTATGGTAACATTATTTAATTAATATAATATATTTATATGTTTAATCTATCAGTTCTTTTTATTCCCTTATTATTATTTAACTTAAGCTGTCTCAGGTCTTTTCTGCTTATTTAAAGGAGACAAATATTATCCAAAATATTGAACATAAGTCTATTTCAACTATTCTTTTATTGAAGGGGATTAAGATCTCTATCCTGAATTCAATTGAGGAGGAGCATTATGTATAGGGGATTGAGATCTTTATTTTTTATCAAAATTTGCTCTTATTCCTGAAGGTTTAATATTCTCTAATTCTTCTAATGCTCTCTTAATTGGACTAACTTCATTTTCTTGAGTTCTTTTATAAGTGTAACCTTAGAAATGATTTTATTCTCTTGCTCTTTTCTCTGAAGTCTAGTACCATGGATCTTATTCTTCAAATTTATCAAAATTAGCAGTAATTTTGGATTTATCTGGAACATATGGAGCTTTAACAGTTCTTATATTGTCCCAATCAATTCCATTAAAAAATGGATGTTTTTTAATTAAATTAACATCGCCCAATCTTTCAGAAGAATCAGCCATTAATCTTTTAATTAAATCATTACAAGCAGGTGAAATTTTAGGTTCTTTAGGAATAGCAAAGTGTTTTTTCCAATTAACAATTTTCTAACATGTTTTTTAAGGAGTATCACTATAAAATGGCGGATAACCAATAACCATTTCAAACAAAATAACTCCAACACTCCACCAATCTACTAATTCGTTATATCCTTTTTATGAAAATACTTCTGGTGCAATATAATCAGGTGTTCCAACAGTAGAAAATGCTAATTATCTTCTTGTTTATTATTATTATGTATCTTATTTTCTTTCTGTGTATGGAATAGACAATATTTCATTTTATTTATTACCCAAATGTTTACATAAACCAAAATCTGATAATTTAAGATGTCCACTTTCATCAATAAGAATATTATCTGGTTTTAAATCTCTATGAATATAATTAAGTTTATGCACAGCTTCTATTGCTAACACTATTTCAGCTGTATAAAACTTAGCCTCTTTTTCAGGGATGATATCTTTTTTAATTAATAGTGTCATAAAATCACCACCACTTAAAAATTCCATTACCAAATATAAATATTTTTCATCTTAAAATGAATATTTTAATTATACAACCCATGGACAATTTGCTTATACTAATATATCTCTTTCTGCTCTTATATGCCCTAATTAATTTTTAAATATCATCTCTGATTTCTTCATTTTCTTTATAGCTACAATCTCTTTTGTTTCTTTATCTCTACAAACACGTACTTCACCAAAAGCACCTCTACCTATTATTGCAATTGGTTCGAAATCCATCACTGTGATCTTCTGTCGCCTTGAAATGATAAATTATTCACTTTTTTCTTAATTGTATAGCTTCTTTATGCAGAATCTCCTTCTTTATAAGCTCTTATTCTATTGGAGTGAAATTCAAATTCTGCATATTTTATTACAATTGTTGCCAAATCGTCTTTTTCTCTCTTTCTTATTACAAACTTAATTGATATTTTCGTTCTATGTAAGCTTTACATGCTGCAACTCTATCCTTGGTTTGATTACTTAGTTTCACTTCTGCCATTTTTATTATTTATATAAATTATTTATATATTTCAATCTCATCATAAAACATAATATTTTTATTATATTTCAATCTTATAACAAAATTAAGATCTAAAAATATATTCTTATAATTTATTAATTCTTTATTACACCTTTTAATACCAAAAATAAAGAAATTTATTTAGATTCTAAGAATTGTTTTAAAAAACGTATATTAGTTTTTAAAATTAATTATATTGTTTTAAACTAAATTTTTATATATGTATATGTTATTTATTTAGAGCTTCTAATTTATTAAATAGCAATTTTACATATTTCCCATCTATAATTTAGGAATTAAATTTAGTTATTTCTAAAATTATTATTTATTTATTATGAATAATTTGCATAATTAGAAAAAAAAGAGAATTCATGAGGTAAATTATGCATTAAGAGTCATTAATTCAGCCAAACCAGATATTCAAAATATTAAACTAAATGAAAATTTATTTTAAGCTCAATAAATGGCTCAACATTCAAAAACATTAATTAAAGATATATAGAAAGATGTTAGATTAACCTTAAAGAAATATGATTCTTATGTTAAGATGAGTGAATCTAATAGAAAAATGACTGATAAATAAGTTAGTGAATCCACTAGAAGATATTAAAGTGAAAGTCCACGTAAAGAATAAGAATCAACAGAAAAAGAATTAGAGACTTTAAGATAATAACAAAGAATTCTAATGACATTGCTTAACAATTTATAATAATAAGAAAAGTTAATAGTTTCATAAACATCTCCTATATCTCATCAAAAACCATAATCTATAATTGATAAAGAATGGTTTGAATAGAAAACAAAATAATTATAGTAAATTTAAAAAAAATAAGCATAAATAGAAAATTCATCATCAAAAAAATTAGAGAAGAGCGATGTTATTTAAATTGATTTAAGTAAAGTTAAAAGATCTCCTAATAGTAAATCTAGTTCTGCTCAGCATTTTTTTAGTCCAAATAAAAATCCAATAAAGAATTCTGTTACATATTTTTAAAATTCAACTACAAGTTATGCAAACTTGCACAGAAAAGAATCTAATTCACCTTAAAAATGGGGTTAATATGGTGTGATAAATTCATAAAAACCAGAAAAAAACTTAATAGTTAGTAAGAGGAATGAATAATGGAAATAAAGAGTTGATAATAAGATAAGAAATGAATTTATAAAAAAATAAGAAAAAGAGATAAAAGCATGCACATTCAAGCCTAAGATTTTGTCTAAGGCTGCGAAGAGCAATCGTAATAGTAAGGAAACTTCAACTGATTTTAATGAGATTATGTTTTTAATTGATGATATCAATGAATTTAATGATAAATTAAAAAAATCAACGATTAAAAAATGATTATAATCATATGTATTTAATATAAATTAACAATTATTGATTATAAATAATAGGCTTTATTTTAAAAAATCAATAGAATATTCCTTAAAAGTAATTTTAAAATTTATCATACCATTTTGCTCTCCAATCCTCAAGAGATTAATTAATAAGACTAAAATATAAAAATTAATTACTTTTAAATAAAACAGAAATATCTTCATCATTTGAATATGGTGGATTAAATCTACTTTCAAGAACATGAATAGCATTTTCACCTTTTCTAAAACATGGTAAAGTGTATCCATATCCACTATACATCATTTTAACAAGCAATAGAATTTAATCTTAATTTTTTTTACATGCAAGAAATCCTATAAAAATAGTTTTTTAAATAAATTGAATAGTTCAAATTTTTTCCACCTAAAACATCAAAATATTCAGGTAGTAATTTAAAAGGAACATTTTTTTCAAACTCTAATCTTTTTCAGGTGATTTACTAATAAAAAAATCCAAAATCAATATGTAAAATTTTACGAGTTATAAAGCAAATTATTCTTACTTTAAATTATCCCCAGTTTTTACTATAAAATGAACAAATCTACAAGATTTAAGATGACAATAAGGAGATTATTATCTAATTCTTTCACTGATTTAATTTGAATCTTCACCAAAGATTTCTTAACCAATCTTTTTAAAATCTAGTTATACATTATTTGTTGTTTTAACTTTTCTTTTTTACTTAATTCTATTTGATAAAATTCAGCTAAATAAAATATATCTACAAATCCCTTAACTTTGATTTGATACTTGGGATATAGTTAAATTAGATTAGTTTTAAAAATCATTAAACATCAATAATTCAACATTGAATTCTGAATTCTTTTTTCTTTATTTTTTATCTTCAAATTTATTATCCTCTTTTTCAACATTATAGACTTCTGACCAAATACGAAATGGAGCTCTTTCTTTTTTTGAAAATATTTTCGTTTCTTATACAACAATATTTAAAATAGTAAAGTGTCTTAATTAATTTTTACATATATTTTAAAATAAATACCTTTTACAAATGGAATAAATACATTAGCAGTCAATTATGATTAATCATGAAAATGTAATCTAATCTAGAAAAACTTTCAGTAAAAATTTCCAAAGATTTAGAAATTAAATTATCTTAAGCCAAAATAAAATTATTTGACTATGATTGAATTTACAGATTTTTTTATTTATCTTATAATAATATTATAATCATAATTAAAAATTATAAAAAAAATTGAATTTTTAGAGAAAAAATTAGCATTGAAATTAAATAAGAATAGATTATCAGNATCTTCATCATTTGAATATGGTGGATTAAATCTACTTTCAAGAACATGAATAGCATTTTCACCTTTTCTAAAACATGGTAAAGTGTATCCATATCCACTATACATCATTTTAACAAGCAATAGAATTTAATCTTAATTTTTTTTACATGCAAGAAATCCTATAAAAATAGTTTTTTAAATAAATTGAATAGTTCAAATTTTTTCCACCTAAAACATCAAAATATTCAGGTAGTAATTTAAAAGGAACATTTTTTTCAAACTCTAATCTTTTTCAGGTGATTTACTAATAAAAAAATCCAAAATCAATATGTAAAATTTTACGAGTTATAAAGCAAATTATTCTTACTTTAAATTATCCCCAGTTTTTACTATAAAATGAACAAATCTACAAGATTTAAGATGACAATAAGGAGATTATTATCTAATTCTTTCACTGATTTAATTTGAATCTTCACCAAAGATTTCTTAACCAATCTTTTTAAAATCTAGTTATACATTATTTGTTGTTTTAACTTTTCTTTTTTACTTAATTCTATTTGATAAAATTCAGCTAAATAAAATATATCTACAAATCCCTTAACTTTGATTTGATACTTGGGATATAGTTAAATTAGATTAGTTTTAAAAATCATTAAACATCAATAATTCAACATTGAATTCTGAATTCTTTTTTCTTTATTTTTTATCTTCAAATTTATTATCCTCTTTTTCAACATTATAGACTTCTGACCAAATACGAAATGGAGCTCTTTCTTTTTTTGAAAATATTTTCGTTTCTTATACAACAATATTTAAAATAGTAAAGTGTCTTAATTAATTTTTACATATATTTTAAAATAAATACCTTTTACAAATGGAATAAATACATTAGCAGTCAATTATGATTAATCATGAAAATGTAATCTAATCTAGAAAAACTTTCAGTAAAAATTTCCAAAGATTTAGAAATTAAATTATCTTAAGCCAAAATAAAATTATTTGACTATGATTGAATTTACAGATTTTTTTATTTATCTTATAATAATATTATAATCATAATTAAAAATTATAAAAAAAATTGAATTTTTAGAGAAAAAATTAGCATTGAAATTAAATAAGAATAGATTATCAGTATTATTAAGCTCAAAAATATCTAGGTAAATTATTAAGATAAAGAAACAAAGCAAAATGTACTTAATTAATGACAGAGAAGGTTGGCTAGAAAAATATTTTGTTATTAACTAAAACTTAAACAATTGCATAACAAAGAGAAAATGTATTTATGCACCTATAAACATAAAATACATAGATTATAAAGTTTGGCCTTATATCTAATTTAGATTATTTATTGAAGCATATAACTAAATTAATTAGTATATTTAATAGTTTTAAAAGAAAGAATCCAAATTATTAACAAAGCTATATACCATATAATTCAGATTAATTATGAATATTTATATAATTATCATGTAATTCATTTTGTAATAAAAACATGATTATTTGATGTAAAATACTTATAAAAAATGACTTGAAGATTATCTTAAAATAAATCAGAAATAAATCTTGAAAGCTTTGATTGTTATAAAATTGCAAAATTAATCTATTGGTAATATTTGATATTTGTAAAGAATATATTTACATATTTATAGAGTAAAAAAAGGTATGGAGATTTTAGAAGAGATATTGAAAGACCCTCAAGATCATTTACTTAAATATAAGGTTGATTTTGCTTAAATATAAATACATAAGAAATTAGGAAATATTAAGTAGACATCTCTATTACTTAAAAGAGTATTAATCTTTTATATGATTTATACATTTTATATTTAAATATAGTTTAACTTATTGTAAGTTTCAATTATTAGATATATATCTTAAAGTATTTGAAATATATAAAAGTAGTTACATAATTATTTATAGTTTTACTGCAATAGTTAATTATTTTATTAAAAAAATGATTTATGGAGAGTGATTCATGAATTTATACTAATTCTTGAAGAATTGATAGTAAATTAGAGATCTAATAATAAATTTACGGAATTGAAACCTTTAATAAAATATGTTGAGCGAAAACCCTATAATTCTCTATATGAAAAACCCAGATCCTATATTTTATGGAATGATGGATGATCTAGTGATTCAGACATTAAAGAAATAGAATGCAACAATAATAGTAACTGAATTGGAAGAATTAAGTGTCATAATCGGAGGAGTATTGAATAAATGAAATAATAGGAATTTATATTTTTAAGAAATGGAGAGCAAATATAATTTGATGCATTTTTAGGTTATGGATATATGGCACCAAAACACTATATGGATTATATGTATTTTAATTTTGCTGCATATACATCAGGAAAAACAACATTATATACTCCATAAACAGAAAACATATTATAAAACAAATTATTACAATATGCAAAATTTAGTGAAGGGTAAGTACCATTTCCTCGTTGTAGTGCATCATTTTCAGTTAAGTAATTTAAATAAAACTTATCTTAATTTGAAAATAAGTCAATAATGAAAGAAGTAGTAGGATATGAAGGAACAGGTGTAAAATTATCAAGCAATAAAATATAAAGTACAGAAATCTTTTGTAAATCTTTATGGAATGGAGAATAGGCTATAATATAAGATTTTATAAGTGATTCTGTAGGTAGGTCAATAAGAGTATTAGTTATAGGTGGTAAAGGAGTATCAGTAACAGAATTCTAAGATAATATTGTATAAATGATAATATATATTAGGATTTTAAATCGAATGGGTATAGTGATGATTTTAAAATAGAATCTAAAATGGATAGTGAAAAAAAAGAAGAATATTTAAGATTAGCAGAAAAAGCCTGTTGTGCAATAGATCCTTAATTGACAATAGGAGGTGTAGATATAATTGATTCAAGAAAACATGGATTAGTAGTTTTAGAAATAAATTAATGGCCAGAAATAACATTTTCTGAAGATGCTACTGGATTACCATTATTCGATTATTTTGGTTAAGAATTCATAAGAAAGATAATTAAAAATAATAAAGAAAAAGTGTGATCAATTTGATTATATTTATTATTGATATACAATCATTATTTTTCTGCTTTTTTTCTAAACCATTTTCGCATATTATAAGCATTTTCATCATCAGCATAATATTTTTCTTCAGTATCAAATGTTTCATAACCTAATTTATCTCTATATAATCCTAATGCTGCTCTATTAGATACACGAACATGTAATGAAACATAATGTGATTCAAATATTTTATCCATATCTCTATGTGTACTTTACATTACTTTATTAGCTAATCCTAATTTTCTATGAGTTCTTAAAACTGATAAAGAGGTAATATGTCCATGTTCTAACTTTGATCCTTCTTCATCTTCTTCATCTTATTTGGCCAATACATAACCAACAATTCTACCACTATTCTATTCATAATCAAATTATGTTAATTACTATATCTTCTGCAACATAAAGTAATGATTACCAAACCATACCATGATATAAGTAATATTTAAATGTGTAATTTTCTGGTAAACACCATAAATTACAGTGTTGCATATGTTATAAATCTTACATCTCAGCTCTTCTTATTGATACCATAATTTAATTAGTAATTATTATTATTATTTATGAGAAGACCATAAAGTGCATAAGTTACCAAAATACTTATCAATAGACCCAAAGATGAAATTATTGGTACTAGACAACAACTTAATTTATTAAATGAAGAACATAAGAAAATAAAAACTCAAAATATGCAACTCAAAGTATAACCTAAATAAATACTTAGAGATAACTTATGAAATATGAACATATTGATGAGAATCTTATAAATTCTTAATAATTATTAGGACGCACTTCTGAACAACCTAGTATAATACCTACTCTTAAATATAAAATTAGAATCTAATAAAATGAAATTAACATATTAAGATAATAATTATAAGCATAATAAAAACAAATGAAAATTACTTCACTCTAAGAATTATAATTTTAAATTCAATAATACTAAGAAGAAACTGTTTAACTTAAATCTATGCTTGATGAAGCATTAAATCTTAAAAATGAAACATAAAAGTCTCAATATATTGGTTATTTATCTAAAATCTAAGAATTAAAATTGGAAATCAAATAATATATATAAGTCTGTGAAATTTAATAAAGAGACATTAAATAATTATAATAATAAATTAAATTATAATCAGATCAATTATAGACATTATATTCTGAAAAGAAAAAAATTGAAAACCAATTTAAAGAACCTTAAATTTAAAAACCTTAATAATTAGAAAACTCTTAAACATTTTCTAAATAAGTTGTAATAAAAGATTAAAAAAGAAAAGAAGATACTCCTGAATATTCTATGCATGAAAATACATTATTATCTTAACTTTTAGAAAAAGATAGAAAAATTAATGAGCTTGAAGAAAATTTAATTAGTCTTAATAAAATTCATAATGTAAAAATTAATTAATAACTCTAATTCATAGAATAATAGAATGCTTAATTAGGAATGAAATAAAACATAATTTAAAATTTAGAATAAGAAATCAACAAGTTAGAACTATAAATTAAAGATATCAAACTCAAAACACAATAAATGATGTAAAATAAGATTTGTGAAGATAAAGCAACTTAAATTTAACATAAATCGAAATGGACAATTGAAGAAATCAAAGCAATATTAAGATTTAGATTAAAAAGATCAATGATTGAGCAAAAAGAAATTTCAAATTTTTTGCTAAAAAAAGGAGATTAAAGATTCTTTTCTATTTAATCATAATTTTAAAAGTATTACTATTGAATTAAATAGATTTCCTTTTAATTTGAATATTGAACAATCATATCACATTACTATGTTTTTATTAACTGAAGAGTCAGCATTTGGTCAAAATATACTGGAAAAAGATTTACCTTAATAAGTTCTTAAATCAAGAATATTTCATCTTTTACCTTCTTATGAATTATTAACTATTGAAGAAGAAGGATAATTATTTTAATGTATGTCAAGAAAATTAATCAATAAGATAAATTAATTATAAGATTCTGTTAAATAAATCAAAAGAATAGAAAAGTAATTTTTTTATTAGATTAAAATTAGATCAAATATTAAAGAAGGATTTTGTCTTCCAAAATAATTATTAGAAGCATTTACATTAATTTTAGATAATTGTTTCTCAGAAAAAGAAGCTGAATATCTATTTTAATTAAATTTTGAAATAAATAAGTCTCCAATTTTAATTAATATTTCCAGATTAGTGAATTTATTTTAAATGAAACCAAAATCTGGAATTAACAAAGTTTGTAAGATTTTACATAAAATTTAATAGAAAAAGAATTATCATTATTTCCCTCAACATTGTTATTTTCATATAATAAAGAAGCTATCATTAAACCAAAAAGTAAAATTTATTTTTATTAAAGGACCATCGTTATTATTAAATTAAAATGTTTCTCCTAAATAAAATTTGGCAGGATAACATAAAACATTAAAATTAAATTAAGCATTTTCAGTTATTGACATTGTTCCAATTATTAAGAAAAAACCTATTTTTTCTATATCCAGCATTTTATAAATCTAATTGGGGAAGCCAAAAAAAAAACAAATTTTCAAGCCTGATTTTACATAAACAGATGAAATAGAACTAAGTAATCAAAAAACAGTGAAATATCTTGGAATAAATTAAATTATTTAATTAAGCTGGATTCATTTTAATAAAAAAACTGATGCTTCAGTCACTTGCACTAAAAATTAAATGGCAATTACAAAACAGATTTAAATTTCTAAAAATTTTAGGAAAGAAAAAATTGAAAAAGAAATTTAATGTAATTTATAACAAATAAATTAAATTCATGATAGTATAGAGGAAAGAGTAAAATAAATTGATAATATTCCTAAAGTTCATTAGAATATAACAATAGAAGATGATAAAAAATAATTAAATAAAGAAGAACTGATAATTAATAAGTAAGATAGACTACAAGAATAATAATTTTAATAAGAATAAAATCAAAAATTATAATAATAGACATAATAGAAGAATGAAAATGAATAATAGTAATTTTAAGAATAGACTTAAACTGAATTTAAAGGAGATTAGGAAATTGAAAAAATTGTAACCCTTTATTTGGAAACAGTTATATAAAATTTTGTAATAAATTAATAAGAACTTAATAAATGAATAATAATGATTTTAAATAATTAATTTTTTTAAGGTGTATCTGTATTTATTATAATGCAATAATATAATATCTATAAAGACTAAATTTATGATTAAAATATATTACTCTATAATTTTTAAAGAGATTGAAAATTTATAGATTATTAAATGACATCAATATTATTACTTTATTTTAATATAAATGAGTTTCAGAATATCAATCTCTCCATAAAGAAAACGTAGTAGTACTGGAATGCCTTAATCTGCTAGACCAATGAAACCAACTTTGAATTGTACTTTAAATAATATTGTGGAAGAAATTAAAAACCTTATGTAAAATTATAGAATAATAAAAGGAAATAACTCAATCCTTAGTTTTAGAACCTTTTAAATTAGTTAATAAAAATAGCATTTGATTTAGAAAAATAAAATACAAAATTTTATTATGCCCTTCAATCATCAAAAGCTTAAAGTATTCAGAATGTAGATTCCATTTAAAAGGAACCCTCATCTCATTAGGATAGAAATAAATCTAAAGATTGTAGTCCAACAAAGAAAGAAAACTCAATTAAAAATACAGAAATGATATCTAGTAGTAGATTAGATCCAACTCCAAAATAAAAATTTTTAATTAGAAGAGGTTCTCTTGATGTAGATTAATAAGTATCAAAAGTAAGAGTTATTTTATAATCTTATTAGGATCAATTAAGAAAAATTAGTTAAGAAGCAATAGATTAGAATTTTATATTTAACTTACTCGATTTTAAGCCATCAAATTTAAAATCTATGTCATATAAAAAATTAAAATAAATCTTTACACTTAATGAAAAAGATTTATATTAGTACTTATAAAAAATAGATTATTAAGGTATTTATTATGTTGTTCAAATGATAGAATATACATTGTATCTATATGAACCACTAAAGTTTATAAGAAATTTATCAGACAAATGCATTTTATATATTGATAAATTAAAGAAAATAATAAAATTATCATTTGAAATACCATAATGCACTCCAATTCAAACATTTGATAACTATTAGAAATTACTTTTAGAATTGTTTGATTGTGATAGAGCATAAGTTTATTTATATGATTAGAAATCTCATATATTTTGGAGTAGAGCCTAAGATAGCTAATAAAAAATTTATTATCCATTTAAGGGTATATAAGGATTTGTAACAAAATAAGGTTAATTACTAAATATAAATGATGTTTATTAAGATGTTAGATTTGATTAAGATTATGATTAAAAATAATAAACTAAAACAAAATCAATGTTGGCTTGTCCTATTTATGAAAAAGAAGAAATAATTGGTGTTATTATAATATCTTCTATTTAACAATTATTTAAAAAGGATGATGAACTTCTTATCTAAATGATTTCTTAAATGGCTGCATAACACTTTTATTAATATATTTTTTAGGACTATAATTCTAAAACTTGTGAGGCTTTATAATAAATCTTAAAATTTTCGTTAATATTATAACAATCAATAGATTAAAAGTAATTCATTATTTTTGCATAATAAATACTGTCTAAAACATATGAATTGAAATAAGTTTAAATTTATTTTAAAGATATGTAAGATTAGGACAGTCTTTTCACATTTATTGAATAGTAGAGAAAGAAAATACCAAAAGCATGTGGAATTATTGGATTTGTTTACAAAACAGGATAATTCTATATTTCAGATTCTTGTTATAGAGATAAATATTTTAATAAATTAGCTGATATTGAAACAAACCTTCCAACAATTACTATACCTATTAAAAATGATGATAAATGTATGGGTGCTATTTAATACATTGATACAAAAGGTATTGATAACATTGTAGGGAAATAATTAAAAAATTATTAATTGTCAAACTTAGATTTGATTCAAACATTTGCTGTAATGCTTAATTTTGTAAATAGTAAATTGATTATATAAAAATCTTGATTTGAATCATATTAAATATTTCTATTAATTCTAACTATTCTGTAATATTATTTACCTTAAATTAAAATTAAATGAACAATCCATTTCAAAATCCTATAGGCAATCCTAATGATCCAAATAATCAATTACTCTTAATGTCTTTAGCTTAAGTAGATTCACAAAATATGTTCTTCTTTTTAATGTAGAATCCTGATTTCGTGGAAAAATAGGATGAAGTAATTATTCATTAATCATTTAATTAGAATTTATTCAAAAAGACATCTATAGGATTTGTTAGAAATACATTAGGTATTTTAGTTTTAGGAACAGTCCTTAATTTGTAAATGAAAAGAATCCCTAAAGTAAAATCTATTAATATTTCCAAAGTTTTTAAATTGGCCCATTTATGTTAAAATTCCTTTAAGAATACCTGTTTTTTTTAGTCCATTTTTCTTATTTTAATAATCTCTAACAAATTAACTTGACAATATAACATAATTGCATCATAAATATTATTCAAGAATACTAAAAGTAAAAAAAACTGGCGATTTAAGATACTTTGATCCATAAGGTATTTTATAAAAGCAATTTGAATAAAAAATGAAAGAATTAATGAAATGATTAATTTATTTATCAATTGTTTTGCCTTCATTTTTTTATCAATTTTTATACTCAATAATTTGATCTCTTTGTAAAAAAGGCAATATAACTTTGATTGAATAGATTAAAATTAAAAAACTTTTAAATGGTTATGTTCAATTTTAAGCCTTTTAGAACAACTAAAACACTTAAATGTAAATTTTATGGATTAACCAAATTTTTACAAAAAATTCTGTCATTAAGTTTATACAGAAGTTTAGACGTCAAAATTCTAAGTAAGAATCTTTTAATTTATTGTAAGACTATTAGAAAAAAAATATATAAAAAAAAAGAAATCTAAAATGAGAAAATCAAATTTAGAATAAAGGGATTAAAATTAATAATAACTTAAAGAATTCTCTAAGATTTAAAAAAAGCCTTAGTAGAGATTTAAATTAAAAGTTACATATCCTTCTAAAAATAATTTCTAACAAAAAGAAACACAGCTTCTTTTTATTGGTATACTATCTGAATAAAAATCTTAATCAAAATAAAAAATACGTTTAAGCCTCTCAATTAAAAATTCAATCAATCGATCAGAACGCTAGATGAGAATGATTATCAAAACTCTAGCTAACAAAAAACCATGGCTATTTATCATAATTTTTATTATTTGAGCCAAGTTCTACCAATTAGCAATGCTCTATCAAAAAGCATTGCAGAAAAAAATGGTGAATTTATATGATTAAACATTAATTTTGCTAAAAGAAAAATAAATGAAATAAATTTAATATGGTTTGAAAAATTATTAACAGCATAAATCAAATTTTTTGCAATAACAAAAAATTATTTTCAATGGTATTAACCAAATTAAATAACTGTTTTCAAAATATTAAAAGAAAAAAACTAGAATAATTTGATTTAAAAAATTAAAAATATATAAATCTTAATCATCGACTTTTTGGCTGATTTTATTAAACTTCTTAGATGGCATCTTATATAGGCTTTGTTAAAGGTTATAACTTTTATTCTGATTTATCTATATTCTGCTTATTTTAATTCTAATTAGAGCCATTTTATGAGTGGATCATAAACATATCGATAATTTAAAATTTTATTTTTATTATTATGTTATAAATTTTTACGTAAATTTTTTCATATTAAATTTATAATTTTTCTCTAAAGTTGTTAACACTTTATGAGTGTTCCATTATTTAAAAATAAAAAATTGGTAGAATTTCACGACAGAAGCAAAGAAATTAAAAGAAAAAAATTTTTATGAAGACACTAACAAAAGATGACTCTATTAAATGGCAATTTAAGATTAAATTAAAATAAAAAGATATAAGATTATAATTGGTATTTGAAAAAATATATGCAGATTTTATAAATTGAAATGATGAACATGATAAAAATTCTAAAAGAAAGTATTTTATAAATAAATAATCTTTTATAAGTTTGTTGTGATCTTCAAAAAATTTTAATTTAGCATAAAAGTTTGAATCAAATTAAAATAATAATAAGTAGTTTATGATAGAGTATTTTATAATACAAACATTTTTGAGGAAAATTTCAATAGCTAGTGGAATAATCAAATTATCTAAAAATAATAAGGATTGAATTGTATAAAATTCTACTTAGGAATTTATTGAAAAATTAAGAAGAAAAGGTATAAAAAAAGAAAGAAAACGAAATAGGAAATTTAAATAAAATAATAATCAAAATGTTGATATAATGGTAAAAAATGAATCACATGAAAAAAAAAATGCTAATAATTTATAAAGTATTTTATGATTAAACAAAATATTTAATAACCTAATGAGTATTTATATAAATTACATATTGATGTGAAATTATATATTTTTAATGATTATAAATTATTATCTAGTTAAACATAGTTAAAAATTTCAGAATCAAATATATTTTTTATATTTTTAACAGATAATTATAAATTGTTATAAAAATATCAAGTTCTCAAAAAAGAAGTATAAATAGTTTTAATTTATGATAATTTTCATTATAATTTTTTTACATAATAATACTTGAAGATGGTACTTACCAACATTATTGAAAGATTATAAAAAATAGAGTAACAAAATATTGAAAAGGTCTCAATAGGATATAACTCAAGCATTATATTTTAGATCTTTATTCACATTGATTATACTTTTCTTTGGATAATATAAGTATGATTTTTATCCTAAAGATAAAGTTAAACTAATGTTTTATTCATAATTTTTTGTAGCACTAGGAGCCTCTTTATTATTTTATGGAATCTATTTCATAACAACTTCAGAAGCAGCAGTAATAAATTCCACTAATGCAATTTGGAGTTAGATTATAAGTTTAATAGTTAATAAAGAGCCAATTACAAAAAGTAGAATGATTAATACATTTATATGCATAATTGGGATTGTATTAATAATGAATCCGAAATTATCTCAAAAAAATGATATGCAAAGAATTATTGCATGTTTAAGTGTATTGCTTTGTAGTGTTTTATAAGCATATGGATTTATTAAATTAAAGTAAATTGGAAAGGAAATAAGACCAACAATTATTACATCCTATTTTCATCTTGCTGTTATTTTGGTTATGGGTGTTTAACACTAATATGTAACTACATTTGAGTATTTTGATAACTATTTTTTATACATATTGGCTTATGCATTATTTAGTTTATCTGGACATTTACTCTAGTTCAGAGCTTAAGCTTTAGTATCTTTTGATAAGATATGTAATTATCCATTTTCTTTAATGATTTATTAGATATTTTTTGATTATTTTTTATTTGGAAAGATTTTGCCAATTCAAGGATTTCTTGGAGGAGGATTGGTAGTTTTTGGAATCTTTAAATAACTTTAAGATGATAAAAAAATAAGATGATTATAAATAAGATCCAAAAAAAACATAAAAAAGATTAAATAAATATTAATTAATTTACTTCTATTTCATTTTAAGTTTATCATTATATTTATATAATATAGGTTTCATTAAGTTTTTTTATTTATTTTAAAATATAAGAATGCATCTTTTCTAATCCTATTTTTTAGCTCATTTCCAAGTAGAGTATAAAAAGT